ATTCTCCACAATTCCATGTTTGATGAACAAGAAATTTATTTCATCCTCGTCCTTGATGTTTCTACTGTGCTATATCCGTAACTGCTTAGTAAAACATAACTGCATGCCGCACTTTTGAAATGAGAGATGATGTTAAACCCTTTTGGGAATCCTTCTCCTGGCTTCTTGTGACTTAGTAAAAGTCACTTTACACCATGTGTTCAAGTATCAAATTCTAATTTGCTGAAACCGAAAGAAAACAGTGGGTGCAAATGGATCAACCTTTTAAATATTAGACTATCAAGTCGTAGCAATGTATGACTACAGCCTCCGGACTTTAGTGGGGAGAATTTCGTTTTTAGGGACACTCCCAATGCACCCTAGATTTTCATGCAAGCCTGTTGCTGTCTTTAAATACGCCATTTCTTTGAACTGCAGTAATTTGCAAAGATCACTCTCACTTAGATATGGGATGTATTAGTTGGTAGAGTAGGCTTAGGGCAGCAATTTAAATATATATATTTTGTAACTCTTATAGTTATAAGAAGCAGTTGCCTGTTACCCATACACTGCACTTGTTGAGAGGTTCATCCCCACCCCCAGTACAGCGATCTTCTTCCCCCATTGGATGTCCTCTTTCTCCTGTACCCTATACATTGATGCTGGGCACCCAGTGGTCAATGCACTGCTAGACATTCATTAAACGCTGCTCTCTGTGTGATGTTACTGTAACGTAACCCCATAGCCTGAGTATTTACTGCTGGAGGTAAACTTGTATCTGGCTGTCCTCTGCCTGAGTCCCTGCCTGTCAATCTGAATAGGAAGCAGCCCGCGTATCGTGTATCCAGCCTCGGTTACTTCTTCAACTAAGGGTGGTTGATAAAAGGAAATTGGCAAGGTAGAGGCCACAACACATCCTATAATCCATGCTGTGTGCGTTTATCAGTCTTCGAGAATAGTCCATCTCCTCCGCCAAACCTGCCGCAGAGCGCTTACAGAGTGATCTGGGATCATTTTCATTTCTTTGTAATAATAGTAATAACAAAGTATTTAACCAGGAAAGGTACATTCAGATTACTCTGGTTTCCACGTAATGGCTGCACACTTTATCTATAGATCCTCTTGGAAATTACAGATCGGAAATCCAAAGAAATAAATCGAAAATGTATGTGTTTTCTAAATAAGGCAGAGATGGATATTTTTCACTGTTCGTTCTCTTTGCTCAAATAATGCTTACTCTGCTTGTGGAGGTTTTTCCAAAACATATGTCAGCTATTAATGGGACATTACAGGCTGGAATGATATATAAACTCTTATCTATCTATATATATCTCTTCATAGCTTCTCATGGTATTCCTGACATTAAAAACAAACCGCATTTCTTACAGACAGCCTTTATCCCAAGCACCTACATTACAACTAATTACATTACTGAGCCATAAAATACTGTGAGTCATTCAATCTGCAAACTCCAATAGCCTTGTCTTCCCTTTAGCATGTAATGCCTCTAGCTAACATATTTCTAAAATAATAAATCTAACTATGACATTGCTGTCTTACAACAAATACCACTGAAGAGAGAGAGAGTGTGTGTGTGTGTGTGTGTGTGTTTTTATATACCCCACTTTAGTCCATTCTATATTTAAGGTGACTTTGTTAAACATATTGTGAGACATCTCCTCTTTTTGAAGACTGGAAAGTTTAGCTGTGAGATGTGTCATCAATGGTACATAGCCATTATTATACACTATTTAAATAATTGGAGTCCTGGTTGAACAGGAAGGCCAACAGGACAGCTTGAAATGTCATGTATTAAAACCGTAAAATGTGCAGCAACAAGTCATAGAGCATGCATTGAGTAGCATTCGGTGTCCTTGTGCTCACTGATCGTGAGGTTCTGTTGCTCTAGGGGATTGTTTAAATCAATCTCTTTTCTGATTTTATATTAATTCAAAATCTGGTTGGTAGGGGAAAAAAACATCATCTATCTTGAAACAACAGAAAAGGTGTTTTTAAATTTGTGACACGTTGAAAATATTTAGTTGTAAAAAAGTTAGTTTGCCATCGTTATACAGACCTGGCAGTTTAGAAGGTCTACATTTGGGAGGGGAAGCAGGTCATGGACATGCCCATTTTACAGTTGGTGTCAATTGTGATGTGTCCCCTGTAAAGGATTGCCTGTCTGCACTGCCTCTATGCTTTTATTATTAGTGGCATTTATAATGTGGCAACATATTCCACAACATTGCACCAAAACAAACAAACAAAAATCCAGTACAGTATACACAGATGAATAAAAAAGATAAAGAGAGCACTGCCCGTTGAAGCTCTTTTATACAAAGTACCTAGTTAGATAGCACATGAGCTTACAATCTAGTAAAATGGAAATGGAATGAGGGGTTAATTGAGTAAGACCTCAGTTGGAGCAATTGGTGGAGCATGCTATAAATGTAGAAGGAACCCGGGCAACTGGGTGGGATGCACTTGGAGAAAATGAAGAGTTTGAGTGTTCGATGTAAGCGAGGTTCATGTATTGAAGTCTAAGAAACTGGATGGAGATAAGACACAGTTATATGAAGGTATTAATGGCTAGGAGGGGCAAAGGATGAAGAAAGAGGGGGTGGGTAGCGCTGAAAATGGCAATGAAAACAATTACAGAAAATTAGTGGAAAACTATAGGTATAAATGGTAACATTGTTATAGTAAAATAATAATATGGTGACAAAGGTTAAATAAATGAGGTTTTGTATTTTCCACCTTTCACTTAGTATCTGAAAGATGTAGAGACTGCATTTTTGCTGTGAGCTGGGATTGTGGTCTGCTGAGGCATTCGCGTATGGTCTAAAATGATCCATATTTAATCATGCCTCCCCACAGTCTCAAATTTGGCTGGATCATCTTAAACTCAATCTGCACAAGTTGGAGACTCAAAACATCTTCATACAGAATCCTATTCAGATGGTGTTCAACCCGAGTAAAATACTTGGGCGTTTGGCTAACACCAGATGTTTCTAATTTATATCAACAAAACTTCCTACTGATCCTGACCCGCTTAGCTAACAATCTGAGGTCTTGAACCTACTCATGACTCTCATGGCAGGGCAGGATTAACGTAGTTAAATTGAACCTGCTCCCAAGAGCGCTATACCAATTTCATACCAATTCCCATACATATTTCCAGATACTTCTTCTCTGCCCTACAGTTGGCCAACCTGTTTGTTTGGAAAGGACACTCACCAAGAATAAAAGATTCAATGTTCCTCAGGCAAGGGTGGGACTGGCACTACTCTCCTTCCTAAAATGCTATCAGTTAGCCAATCTTAAGTGATTCAAACAATGGCGTGGCTCAAGGGAGGCAAAGCTTTATAGCTCACTGGAAACTTTTCACCGCCTCCTCTCCTTGGCTTTAAGAAAAGGGTTATGTCCATCAAATACATGTCATATCCAATTATAGGTGCTCCATTGAGAGTCTGGCACTGTGTCTGCATCTTCTGTGACCTTTTCTCAATTCCAAACCCATTGATGCCACTTCTGAACAATCCAGCATTTCCATCTTCTTGGGGATGGAGAGCCCTATCTGTCTGAAAAATTTGGTCAATGGTCGGAAAACTAAGTCATTCAATGCCTTGGCCCCCAGACAAACACAAGGGATGCTCTCCCATTCCCACTATATGCAACTTCATTAAATATATACCCCTGCCTTACCTCCTGAGCAGAGAACTCATGGCTTTTGAGTCCCTCTGTATTGAGGGGATGTGTGTCGCTCTGGGAATTACCAATAACTGTACCAATAACTATTGCTGAATAAGAGGTTACTGCTCCCACAGTTCGTGGTGGAGTGGAAGAAAGACTTGAACGTTTTCCTTACTGGGGAACAATGGCAGAAGATAATGATCTTAACACATCAGAGCTCTATATGCTCTCATTTCCAATATATCAATTCCAATACAAGTGAAAATATAGTATAGTTAAAAAAACATGGACATATAGCTCTTGATAAAGTCCATAGGACGAAACGCGTCGAGCGGAAAGGAAGCTGCCAGCATCCCCATAAAGATTTTCTGGATCGTAAACAGTTCAACTCTGCCAGTTTTATCCTCTTCAAGTTTCATCTGGGAGAAGACCATCTACTATCTGGAGACTATGAAGTCAGATCCACATTTAAAGGGGACTTAGCCCAGTAGGGGGCTGACAAGCTTTCTAGCACAACGAAGATATGTCTTTTTTTGTGCCACTACTTTTGTGAGTGAACTCACTTGTATCTATTTTTTTTTTTTTTTACTGTGTTATTAAATACTTCACTATATGTTTTATCTCTTTACATGTTATACCTGCCTACATGCATGGTAATTCTATTCACACGTTTGTGGCGCCCCCATTGGTATATGTTTTTTAACTATACTATGTATTCACTTGTATTGTTTTTGGAATTGGGAGTGATCCCTGTTCTGGAGTGGCTACCCTGCACTGTCTTTTGCACTTTATTCCCACATACTGCCCCTTGTAGATTTATCAATTACAAGAATCTGAGCGGACTCCAACTGCAGTGTATATAATCTTTCCGATTCTGTCTGATCAATGCTGAAGGTGCTTTTCGGTCCCCAGAACCATGCTATACATATTCTGGTCCTGCACCCTAATTTTCCAATTGTGGAAGGTGGCATGCAAATGAATAGAGGATATCAGTGGGACTATGTTCCTGTTTAATCCAGATAAAGTCCTATTTGTCACGATACCTAGTGACCCAACATGCAGTGAATATGATGATAGATTAGGAAATGTTTACTGGTCTTTAGAATGGCCTGGTTATACATTATTGGAATAAAGAATGGTCAGGGACAAGCTAAGTCAGGGAAGCCAGAAATTAGGGAAGCGAAAAACTAATAGCCGAGTCAGTGAGAACAGAGCGGAGAATAGTCAGGAGGAAGCCGAGATCAAAAATACCAAAGTAGACACAGAAATACAACACACTCTTGGGATCTGTAAACAGAAACCACAACAGGGAAATGGTCATTGGCGTCATGCTATCGACGCGCATGCACCACTTCATAATAAGGGGCGGGGCTATAGTGTCTGGCGTCGGGACCGTGGAAAGATTGGAGCAGTGATTGCCTCTGCTAACCTAAACACTAACAGACATGTCTCCATGGATACAGTTTTTCTCTAGCAGCACACTGTAAGGAAACCAAGTATATTTAACCTCATTCGGTAGTTTCCTCCCGAACCGCCAGAGCCTTAGTGATTATAGCCCTCCGTTCGGTAGTTAGGGTAGATGAATCCTATAGCAATTCCAATAATCTCACCAGATAATTCCCTCAGTGAAACACACGAATCCCCAAACATCAGCCGAAGTCAAGAAGAAGGGTATAAAATGAACTCTCCTTTAATGGGTGCACACAGCTTTTATGCAAGTCCCCATGCAAGGGGACAGCCCTCAGGGAGGGACAAACAATAACCAATCACAAACAGTAAAATGTTAACACACACCTACAATTCCCTCCCCTAGCCAAGGAGATAATTTAGTCTGATAAAATAGTAACTTAATTATCTCCGGGCTGAAAAATCACTTTTTTCCCAACTTTCAGAACACCCCTTTATACTGGGGGTATCCCCATAAATTATGTGTCCCCTGATAGCCCTGATCTGGGTGGCCAACATATTTGAATTTCACCCAGATCGGTTCAGGGGTTTGCAAATTTTATGGAAGTCTTGTGTGACCGGCTCACCCTGGGCTGCATGCCCAAAACAGTTCCACGAATTTGGTGGGTTTTGCCGGTCACTTTCGAAAAAACATTAAAATGAATTAAAATACCGAATGGATCCCTCTGGCTCCCAGCAGCGTTCATGCCCCTCTGTCGAATGCACCAAAGTACCGAATAGCGCTCTTCTAGCTATTCGGTAAATAGAGTTCCAGCATTCGTCTGTTTGGGACCGGTGTTCGGGAAATCGAGTGTCTGTAAAACAGTTCCATGCACTCGACGACCAGGTCCTGCTGCCTTTGTTCGCATGAACAAAGATGGCCGCGGTTTTCTCTGCCATGTGGCGTTCGACTAACGAACGCTGGACGCACAGACAGAGGTAGCAATTTCACCTAAACCTTTGATGTTCAATGAGCCAAAGGGGGGTCCTTGTTCGGTAGTTTCATCTACCGAATGCAATAGGCAGCCATAGAGGATAAAAAGGGAATGCAAACAGTAAATAACATAGGGAACAGGGGGTTTCTTCACACACACAGCAAGACTACGCATCATTACCACCCACCCTCACCTTCATAAATACCTCTCACCTCCACCCCTCCCCCTTTTTTTGGTTTTCTCTCTTTCTCACATCGAGTTGGGAAATTTCACTCTGCATATTTGAGAGATGGACTCCTATACTAGCTTAACACTTAGACTTCTCACCAAAAATCTGGTAGACTAAACTGCTTGGCTAAGTAATTCATTGGCCTTTCCTAGATGGGGGAAAATTCAACCATGGATTATCCTTGTTTTATCTCTGTCATATGTCTATCTTTGTTTATTCTGTTTTATATATTGACAAAGATTTGAAAATACAAAAAAAAATTGCTGGATCATCCTGAATTTGTGGTCCTCTGCCAATCTCTAGGTTTGGTCTGTTTCTTTCCATAAAACACAATATCATTACATGTGCTCTTGATGCAAAGAGTACGATTGCCCAACACTCCCAGTTTCGGCAGGACAATCCAACATTTGAAAAGCTGGACACTAGGGAGCTGTTCCAGGTAATTTTTGAATTCTCACATTAGTCAATAACTCTGAATAAATACCAGGCACTCCAATGTCTTCAGGCACCTTTATTGGAACATGTGGAACACTGTTTCGACCGACAATGGAGTCTTTTTTTTTTTTTTTAAACTCATTGGGAGTCGAAATGTTGTGGTGTTCCACATGTTCCAATAAAGGTGCCTAAAGGCATTGGGTTGCCTGGATCCTTTTTCTAATGCTGGAATTTATTATTTTCTGGGGTTGTGCTGGCCTTTGGTTCAGTTAAGCACCCTGTCTTAAGTGAATGGAGTGCAGTTCCTTTTCCATTTTGTGAAATAACCCTGTGAATGTCAAATTATGGAACATTGGCAAGAAAAATTAAATTTATATGCCAAAACAATGTAATTAGCGGTGGTTTTTTTTTCTTCTTCATTTTAGCTTTTTTGTCACCTAACCTTAATCAATTTTCCCTGATTCTTAGAGAAAATGCTATTTTTGTACATGTAAATATAAACTTAGTATCAGAAAAGTAAGACGACAAACATAACTCTTCTTCAACCAAAGGCTGTAATCGAACAGTAAAGTCTGCAATAAGCAAACTGTGCTTTAATAGAATTCTATATCCTTTTTTCAATAGAATGCCTGTCGTTTCCTTCTTAAAATCAATGACACCATAATTGCATATAGCGGTGTAACTGAAAATAAAAAGTCCTCAGTTACATAATTACTTTCAAATAACCAGAACAGATTTATAAGACAAATGTTTCAATATCTGGTGGTTTATATGTTTCTGCATTTCCTTTCACCCTGTAAACATTGGGTCAAAAAAAGAAAGCTTATTAGATTTTAGGATTGTATCTGTATATCCCAATGGTGCCATTATGGTAAAACACGACCCTTAACCCCTACATTATTCTCACACACTACATTACAGTTCACCCCAGTGTTACACATTAACCCTTTACATTACCCTAACATGCTGCATTATCACTAAACATCGACTCCTTCACTACACATGAATCACTACACTAACACTAACCATTAACAGTACCTTAACACTTATACTAACCATAATCTGAAAACCTCATGTAATTTGAAAAACACATAGCTGAGCAAGCATGTGAAACATTTACAAATCACTAGACCTTCTGACTCTTATAGGTTTTTTTAATGATGTTTGCACCCCCCACCCCACCCATAGTACACTGCTGTGCATTTATTCCACATAATGAATGGTTATAATGCACAGATTACCTTCATGCAGTTTAGGGAGGCCTAATTTCAGGCATAACTGGTATGTGCACCCTAGTCTGCCCTAGATTACAGGGAGTGCAGAATTATTAGGCAAGTTGTATTTTTGAGGATTAATTTTATTATTGAACAACAACCATGTTCTCAATGAACCCAAAAAACTCATTAATATCAAAGCAGAATATTTTTGGAAGTAGTCTTTAGTTTGTTTTTAGTTATAGCTATGTTAGGGGGATATCTGTGTGTGCAGGTGACTATTACTGTGCATAATTATTAGGCAACTTAACAAAAAACAAATATATACCCATTTCAATTATTTATTATTACCAGTGAAACCAATATAACATCTCAACATTCACAAATATACATTTCTGACATTCAAAAACAAAACAAAAACAAATCAGTGACCAATATAGCCACCTTTCTTTGCAAGGACACTCAAAAGCCTGCCATCCATGGATTCTGTCAGTGTTTTGATCTGTTCACCATCAACATTGCATGCAGCAGCAACCACAGCCTCCCAGACACTGTTCAGAGAGGTGTACTGTTTTCCCTCCTTGTAAATCTCACATTTGATGATGGACCACAGGTTCTCAATGGGGTTCAGATCAGGTGAACAAGGAGGCCATGTCATTAGATTTTCTTATTTTATACCCTTTCTTGCCAGCCACGCTGTGGAGTACTTGGACGCGTGTGATGGAGCATTGTCCTGCATGAAAATCATGTTTTTCTTGAAGGATGCAGACTTCTTCCTGTACCACTGCTTGAAGAAGGTGTCTTCCAGGAACTGGCAGTAGGACTGGGAGTTGAGCTTGACTCCATCCTCAACCCGAAAAGGCCCCACAAGCTCATCTTTGATGATACCAGCCCAAACCAGTACTCCACCTCCACCTTGCTGGCGTCTGAGTCGGACTGGAGCTCTCTGCCCTTTACCAATCCAGCCACGGGCCCATCCATCTGGCCCATCAAGACTCACTCTCATTTCATCAGTCCATAAAACCTTAGAAAAATCAGTCTTGAGATATTTCTTGGCCCAGTCTTGACGTTTCAGCTTGTGTGTCTTGTTCAGTGGTGGTCGTCTTTCAGCCTTTCTTACCTTGGCCATGTCTCTGAGTATTGCACACCTTGTGCTTTTGGGCACTCCAGTGATGTTGCAGCTCTGAAATATGGCCAAACTGGTGGCAAGTGGCATCGTGGCAGCTGCACGCTTGACTTTTCTCAGTTCATGGGCAGTTATTTTGCGCCTTGGTTTTTCCACACGCTTCTTGCGACCCTGTTGACTATTTTGAATGAAACGCTTGATTGTTCGATGATCACGCTTCAGAAGCTTTGCAATTTTAAGAGTGCTGCATCCCTCTGCAAGATATCTCACTATTTTTGACTTTTCTGAGCCTGTCAAGTCCTTCTTTTGACCCATTTTGCCAAAGGAAAGGAAGTTGCCTAATAATTATGCACACCTGATATAGGGTGTTGATGTCATTAGACCACACCCCTTCTCATTACAGAGATGCACATCACCTAATATGCTTAATTGGTAGTAGGCTTTCGAGCCTATACAGCTTGGAGTAAGACAACATGCATAAAGAGGATGATGTGGTCAAAATACTCATTTGCCTAATAATTCTGCACTCCCTGTAAAGGGAGGCTCTAAGCAATAAAACAACGTTATATTCATGAAGCAATTTTGGTGTATAGATCATGCCCCTGCAGTTTCACTGCTCAATTCTTTGCCATTTAGGAGTTAAATCACTTTTGCTACTGTTTATGCTGCTGTAACCCCATTTCCCATGGCTGTGACTCACACCGCAAACCTGAAAAAAATTGTTTAATTTTAAATCAGATCTTACAGCGCAGTGTATTTACTTTTTACGTTTTTATCTACTGCTCTGTTAATTGAACTTTACTCATACACATGAGGTGATATAGCTGTAGCATAGAATTCTGTACAATGTTATGCTGGAAGTCTACACACAGAAACCACATCTAATGATAATTTCTTCAAGTTTTTGATAGCAAATATAGAGCAAGTGGGAGATTTGTTCCCTACGTATCCATATTCCCAAATACTACAGATTGTCCCCCATAGCTGGCCTAGAGCCCCAAGACAACGACCAAGGAAGTATTAGCAGCGAGGCAAACAAGGCATTTGCGGCTAACTAACAATCCGGTCGGTCGGGCGGCGCTGACGAGGGAACACTTTCCTCTGGGCGCTCTGCTCAGCTCCCTCGCGCGTGTGTCTGTTAGTGTGAATTTATTTTTGTTAGTGTATGTGTCTGTTAGTGTGTGTGTTTTTCTGTTAGCTAGTGTATGCGTATCTGTCAGTGTGTGTATTTAGAAGGCGGGGCAAGGGGGAAGGGTTGGGTGGTGGTGGTGCAGGCCCTCCATGTCCATTTTGTTTGGGGCCCCCAAATTCCTTCAAACGGCCCTGTCAATGACCATAGTACACACCAGCCCAAATACATATAGTAAAAACCAAAGAAAAAGTTACCTGCGCTCTTTCCAAATCCCTATGTATTTTTAAACAAATGGAGGTTTTTAGTTACCTCCAATGGCCATGAGGTGGGTCCTAACTCTAACCATTCACCTTGCTTCCTTGAGCTTTTGGCATTTTTTTTATATAACCCTTTATTTGCCGTGGGCAGTTTTGTATACTGAAAACTATAGTGTGTGTGTGTGTGTGTGTATACAGGCATTGCCCAAGTTATGGGTCCCATATTTCATGTGAAAATTATGTTAAAAGTATTAGCAGTGAGTGCACCTATAAAGAATAACGTGGCCTATTGTAATGCACTTTCATTGGTTTAGGCAATGATTTTACCAGTACCTATTTGTCATTATTATGCAGATTTGTACGGAGCCAACTGCTCGTGTGAAAGATTCTGGATTCAATCGTTTTCCACTTTGGTCCGAGAAAAAAATCTACCAGGGAAAGAATTATTTAATTATTTAAGAATAAATGGTTTAATTTCTAAGTATCTTCCGAGTAGTATTTCAGAGGCAATGAAAGATGTAGAATTGCTATATAATCAATCTAATTCTAAAGGAAACATCTCAAAATGTGTGCAAGTACTATTAAAAATGAGTAAAGGCAATAATTGTAATGCAAAAAGAAAATGAGAACGTGATCTAGGTATAGAACTGCACTACAATAAGTGGACGGCCTCTCTAGTATTCACCTATAAACATATTCATGCTTTGAATCTGAGAGAGATACAATAGATGGTATTGGGTTCCGAGTACATTGGCTAAATTAAAGAACTGTGTAAATCCAGATATAAAGTGTTGGAGATGTGGTGGTAATTTTGGGTACTACTTTTTTTTTTTACATATGTGGTGACCTTGCCAATTGATTATTCCGATTTGGGAAGAGGTCTTTTTGTTTATAAAAAAATCTATGCGATATTGAGTTAGACAGATCTTAAGAGGTAGCGTTATTACGATACAATCTCAATACAGTGTATACGTTTCCTCTCCCTATAGTCCTTCACATCCTTACAGCAGCTAAATTAATGGTCCCTAGGAAATGGAAATCAGCTAGCCTACTTCGATGTGACAGATTATATAAACAGATAATGCAAAATGGAACTAGGTTGTGCAAGAACAGAGAATTGGAACTCAAACATGGTTAGAATGTGGTTATAATGGATTAAAAAGTTAGACCCCCTTAATGCGCATATATTATTGTAAGAAACAGGACTTGTCAATGGAAAGATAGGGCTTCAACATTTATCTCACAGGGACGCCTAGGTGTAATTTGTGTGTATATTCAAGATGTTAATAATGTATATGTATTACAGTAATTGCGAGTTTTTTATTAGAATTTATGTCATGTCAAGTCATGTATGTAATGTCATTTGAAATAAAGAAAAATGTATTAACAAAAAAATAAAAAGATCCTGGATTCAGTTGTTTACATAGGTGGAGACTAGATTATCTGATTGGTAGAGATACCAAATCCTATATATGTGGTTTAGTGTGAACTATGGAAAGCCAAAGGAGACTGTGAGATAAGCATCAATCTGTGCTACATGGAGTTCTCTCTTGAAAGAGCTTATCTGATACACTAGGGATTGTGGACAACTCAACTTGTAGACAAGAACAGCTCAACTGGGAAAAACCTCAGTTTTGTCAGTTGCTAAATTTTTGTTTAGTGAATAATCCATGAATAAATGTATTGGGGAAATCCTGAAACTCTTTTGGAACTGATTGCCATGATGTGATAATTAATTATACTTCACATGACATAATAAACTGCTGGCATTGTGTTTTCTTCTCTCGCTTTTTAGAAAAAGGACTTTAATGTGGAAAATCTGAGCAAGCCAGAATTGCGATTCCTTTTAAGTATATTGGAAGGAGAATTAGAAGCAAGGGACCTTGTGATCGAAGCCTTAAGGGTAAGTTTATTATTTTTACTTGCTTTCTTAAAATGAATATTGAATGCAGTTTTTTTGTTTTGTTTTTTTTTTGGTTTGTGTTTTTTTTCTTTAGTATTTTGTTACATGTGTCGGTGCTGGGAAAATTTTACCAATGATGGCCTCAATTTTAATATTTTGGGATAAAGTTTTAACTGATTTAATATTTGTAATACATTTTTTTGACATGATTTAGTATATCGAAAATATTTTTAAAAAATTTATTTCTAAATTTATATATTTTTATGTGATATATTGGGGGGAAAAAATAATATTCAAAACGTTTTATCCAACATTATTAAAACATTTCACAAGCATATCCAACAATTTTAAATTCAGGCCAGTGTTATTTAATATATATATATATATATATATATATATATATATATATATATAATCTCAGAAATGACCGCACTCCAAGGACTTTATAGAGATTTTCAAATAAAATTTAGCTTTTATTCAATCCATTTAAAAAGTCAACGTTTCAGCTCCCACATGGAGCTTTCATCAGGACAAAACATAACTTACAAGTGCAGACACAAAGAAATATATACCCCCAATCCCTCAAAATAATTTACCTTAATTGTGTACTCACCTAGCCATGAGACAGCTTGCCCTGCATTAGAGAGTAATGTAACTCTGAGTGTGGTGGCCATGTGTGCAAGGCCCAGGAAAGGGGCGGGGCTACAGGTTACTAAGTAACAATCCAACTGGACTGGTTGCTTTCCACTTTGTGTCCTAGTAGTAGCTACTCATGATTGAGCTCAGGGTAAAGTAGGAGTGGATACAGAGTCTAGAATGTTTCAAAAATGAATCTAACTGTCTTCATATATTTTAAACAGTATAACAGGCTGGAAGGGCCATCAGGAATCCAAAATCTGTTACCATACTGGAAATTCACTCTTTGAGTGCTGGAGCAATTCATCCAATGCAGCACTGAAAGGGTGTATCTGTTCCTGTGTAACTGAGGAAAGAGCTGGACTATAAGTCTATTCTTAAACTTGTAGCAAATAGGGTGGGCATATCTCATGGTTCGGATCTAAAAAACACATTTAATATAGACATACATGATTTTAAAAATAAAAATAAAAACAACAGCAAGACCTTGAACTTATCCGCTCACTAGCAAACGATGTGAACTTGGTCATTAGACCGGCGGACAAAGGTGGAGGAATAGTACTTCTTAACTACTGTGACTATCGAGTGGAACTTCTATCCCAGCTTCAAGATACAGACACCTACACCAAACTTAAGGGCGACCCTACAGCATGTATCACACAACAAATCTCGGCAATTGTACAAAGAGGAGTGGAAGCTAACTTTGTGACAACAGAGTTACAGAAATTCTTGATCCAGTCCACACCTAAGACTCCGATTATTTACACCTTACCCAAGGTACACAAGACCATTGATCATCCACCAGGCAGACCCATAGTGTCAGCCATAGGGGGAGTACTGGAACCATTGGCTCAGTGGCTGGACTATTTATTTAAAGATACAGTTGTCAAGCTTCCCACCTGCATTAAAGACACTCCAGACCTATTGAAACTTCTGGACACCATCAATTTACCCAACACTACTACACTGCTGGTAACGTGTGATGTGAAAAGTCTCTACACAATCATTCCTCATTTGGATGGTATAGAAGCAATGCGCAAAGTGTTACAAGACTCAACAACATACACAGGCCCCCCGATTGAATACATCATGGAAATCCTGGAGGCAGTCCTTACACTTAACTACTTCAGATTTGAAGAAACTTGGTACCAGCAAATAGCGGGGACCTCCATGGGAGCAGCTATGGCACCCATGTATGCCAACAGCTTTATGTATATATTTGAGACCCTCCACATTCTACAACCGTATGAAGCAAATATTTTATTCTATAGGCGCTTCATTGATGACGTGTTCCTTATATGGAAGGGAGATCACCAGTCCATTTTGGAGATGATAGAGGCCATCAACAGGGCACCCACACCGGTCAAATTAACGATGACAGTGAGCCAGGATGCAGTGAATTTTTTGGATGTCCATATCTTTAAAAAAGAGATGAAGCTTGGGTATACTTTATTCACCAAGACAACGGATCGTAACACCCTACTCCAGGCTGACAGCTTTCACCCACGACACTTGAAAGAATCCTTACCACTCTCCCAGTTCCTAAGGGTTAAAAGGAATAACTCAGAACCCACGAGAGCATACTTACAAACTAAAGAAACATGGAATAGGTTTAAACAGAGAGGCTACAAGGATGCTACTCTTCAGAAAGCACTTGATAAGAGCCAACAGCCTATGAGAGAGAAAAAAGATGATACACCACGACTTGTCTTTCCGACCACCTACAATACGGCATCCCACAGCCTCAAGAACACCTTGAACTCCAACTGGCGTTTACTATCAGAAGATCCAACACTACCAAAAATCTTTCAGAATCCACCCATGTTGTGCTATAAACGGGGAAAAAATCTACGTGACCTCCTGGTAAAGACGGACCCAGTACACTGCTATACCAAACAACAAACAGCACAGAGCCTTGGTTGCTATCGCTGTCTGGGCTGTGTCACCTGCAGCCACATGATACCTGGAAAATCCTTCCAGCATCCACACACTGGGCGGAAGTACCAAATTAGGCATAGGTTGACCTGCACATCGGATTTTGTCATCTATAAACTCCAGTGCCCGTGTGGCCTCTCCTATGTGGGCAAAACTGACCTCCCACTGAGGGAACGGATCCGCAACCACAGATCCAACATTCGCATTGCCTATAGGGACAATAAGGCTGAACTCCCTGTAGCAAAACACTTTTTGGCCCATGGCCACACGTTACCCACCCTGAAATTTATGGCTATAGACCATATACCCCCCCTCAGACGTGGGGGTGATCGAAGTAAACTTCTCCTACAACGTGAAACGTTCTGGATAAAAACTTTGGACACAGTATATCCCAGAGGCTTGAACGAGAAGTACACATTATCTATGTTTCTATAGTACATTTTTTTGTTTCCCTGTAGGAGTTAAATACACTGTTTAATCTAATCCAATAATCCTAAACATATTTGTTTATACAGCAATGTGTATAGCTTGTCTTGTTGCTATAATTTGATTTATGCTCCCCCTGCATACATTGCATATCATTGCATTGCTTGTTCCATGCATGGTAATTAGGTTATTACACATAGTTTGGGCACACATACTAATCATATAGGGGTTAAATACCCTACTAGACCACCATACTCCAATGCTGTGTGCTATGTACCTAAGAGATAACACTACTCATGTCACATCTTGTATATAATCATAAATAACTATGCAGGGGACACTATGCAATTCAACACTGGTCATTTTGTCTGTCCATATTATTTATTAAACTTTAGTACCCTATGCATAATCAATGTATTAACATGGTAACATCTCCTGCCTTGAGCTGTTGTTTTTATTTTTATTTTTAAAATCATGTATGTCTATATTAAATGTGTTTTTTAGATCCGAACCATGAGATATGCCCACCCTATTTGCTACAAGTTTAAGAATAGACTTATAGTCCAGCTCTTTCCTCAGTTACACAGGAACAGATACACCCTTTCAGTGCTGCATTGGATGAATTGCTCCAGCACTCAAAGAGTGAATTTCCAGTATGATAACAGATTTTGGATTCCTGATGGCCCTTCCAGCCTGTTATACTGTTTAAATATATGAAGACAGTTAGATTCATTTTTGAAACATTCTAGACTCTGTATCCACTCCTACTTTACCCTGAGCTCAATCATGAGTAGCTACTACTAGGACACAAAGTGGAAAGCAACCAGTCCAGTTGGATTGTTACTTAGTAACCTGTAGCCCCGCCCCTTTTCTGGGCCTTGCACACATGGCCACCACACTCAGAGTTACATTACTCTCTAATGCAGGGCAAGCTGTCTCATGGCTAGGTGAGTACACAATTAAGGTAAATTATTTTGAGGGATTGGGGGTATATATTTCTTTGTGTCTGCACTTGTAAGTTATGTTTTGTCCTGATGAAAGCTCCATGTGGGAGCTGAAACGTTGACTTTTTAAATGGATTGAATAAAAGCTAAATTTTATTTGAAAATCTCTATAAAGTCCTTGGAGTGCGGTCATTTCTGCTATGTCTACATGATCCTTGCCAGACCAGCACCGGGCACCACAGGATTACACCAGGAGTGCAAGCCCTCGCTATATATATATATAATCTCAATGTATAGTTCAGAAAATAAAGCATGAATTATATACTTATATTAGTGTTGCTCACTTTTCAAATTTTGTGTTTTTTTTATTTATTTTAACTTGATACCTATCATGGAAACTTCCATTTTTATTTTTGTTTTAACTTCTTTTTCTTCAGATTTTACATTACTATTATCTGTATTTTTAAGGTGGTTGCAATTAACCTTGTAATGCTACTTTGTCACATTCAAATAATCAATGTAGCCCAGTTCTCTGTTGCATTCCCTTGTTGTAACACTGTGACAATTATTTTTATGGAGCTACATTTATGAAATATAATTTTATGAAAATGTCATTATCACTCAGCATGTCTGTAACATCATAAAGTGTATGAGTTATTTCGAGAAGATCTGCTAATTGAAAATATCTTCAAATAGGTAGTTAAATCAACATAACTACAGCTAGGTTATGTTGCATAGAGTACACTGACACTGCCCCTTGGATTAAAGTAACTTTATCACCTCCCAAGGTCATTGAATACTTTGCAAACACCCCTGATGGTAACATCACTGCTTGGGGTGCGTGGCATGTTGATGTAGCAGAGGTGGGCTCTACTTACCCAATGTTGTCCTCCTTGGGGACCAACATCTTCAATCTTCAGCTCCTGGATCCTCATCCACCAGGAGACCATGTCAGTGCTGTACTCTAGTGCTTGTTCGACAGTACAACACTGATGTCTACAGAATATCCCAGAAGACCACGTGTGCCTCCATAGTTATTGTCTCGTGATCAGCTAGACTAGCGATGGCTTGTGTAATTGACAGAACTTTTGTATATTTTGTCAACGTGATGCTTTACCATAAAACAAAGCAGTCCCTACTTTGTCTTGTGATATATTTTGGCCGTGTTGGAATTTCAAGGAAATGCACTATTTATGAGAATTTCATGACGTTTTTATCTTTATAAAATGCTCAAAAATACCTTTTGGTGACAGAGCAGCTTTTAAAATTAAACCTTTTAGGAACCATTTGAAATAATCCGGATGTCATTGACCCTTTATGTGTAAGTAAACATGGGTTTTAAAATATTTATCCTATAATAGCTGCTTTCTGGTGCCGTTAACACAGTATTTTGTTGTTAATCCAAGAAGAGTAATCCAAGATGGCTGGTTTTGTTACACCATAATCTTTACCAGTCTCTGCTTACCATTTGAAATAAAATAGTATTCGGAATGTTTTTTTTGGTGAATATAATTTTGATTTATATTTATATTACTTACGTATATGTCGGAGACTCGCAGGTCTCTGAGGTGAGTAGTCATAATTTTTAGAGAACATCAATGTATGTTTGGGCTCGCAGGCCCACAATGTTGACGGACTTGCAAGTCCCTATTTTCCAGATTCACAAGTAACTTCATGTACATTTTACCATCTGCCATTTATTTTACTAATTAAATCGTGTTTATGTGATTTATATGATTCATGTACAGCAGCCGGGATTCGTGTTACATTTGTGTTGAGGTTCGCAGACCTCTTATCCAACCTTTATTGTTAGGCAACGTTCCAGTCCCTACATCTTATGTTGGGTATTGTGTCTTTAGCAGACTTATGTGAGCCTCCACTTAGTGTCCTGGATGTCGTGTGTTTGGGGTACGGTGTACCCGTGTTGAGAGGTTTATGGCTCATATTTCGGGAAGGTGTGATTGTAGCTTGTTGCTGTCCTCCGGCTATTTTGTGATGATCCCGTCTGCTCGGCCCATGTTCCAGTAGGATCGTGTCTCTTGGAGATTATGGGATGTGTGTGAACCCGTATGGGTTTTTCATTCAGGGCACTAGTGTCTCCTCTATATGTATTGATTTCTGCTTTGGTTGGGGTATTGTCCTGCGTGGGTCTTTAGAAGAGAGGGGGTAGGGAAAGTCGGGGTTAGGGTGGGGAGGGGGGTGTCTGTAGTCATTGTCTTCCGTCATCTGTCGTCCAGTGGGTGTTCTAAGTCCTAACTGTCCGTGGTTTGGCGTACGTCTGTTCCGAGTTCCATTTGGAATCCTTCCTTCGCTGTCTCTAGGATCCAATATGTCCAAATGTCCATGTAGGACTTTGGGGTCACGTTAGTCGTCATGGTCAGTTCCTCTGTTATTCTGAGTTCCTCCATTTGGCTGAACCAGGTCTTTAGTGGAGGTGTTATGTTCTGTTTCCAGAATTGGGGGATTACTCGTTTGGCTATATTAAGTATTCGGATGGTCATGGATCGTTTGTACTTAGAGTGTGGTGTAGGAGTGTGGTGTAGGAGCATTGCTGCTGGTTCCAGGGGGGGTGGTTCGTCTGTAAATTTCTCGAGCATTCTGTGTATGTTTTGCCAATATGGTTTAATTTTTGTGCAGTCCCACCAGATGTGTTTCATGTCTCCCTTTTCTTGTTGGCATCTCCAGCATAGGCCAGGTTGATCTGGGTCTATCTGATGTAGGAGGTGTGGTGTCCTGTACCAATGATTTGTAGGCTGTCTCTTGTGTTTTACTGTGTGTGGAGCAGTGGTGTGTGAGGTAGCAAATGGATTCCCATTCTGTGTCTGTCAATGTGTGTCCTAGGGCTTTCTCCCATTTCCCCATAAATACAGGTGTCTCGGTTGGGATGTCTGTTTGTAACATGGTGTATAGGAAGGACACTCCGTGTGGGAGCGGGTCTGGGTGCATGCAGACCACCTCTAATGTGGTGTGTTCTCTAGTGAGTGCTAAGCCCTGTGGTAGGGTGCGAATGTAGTTGGTTAGTTGGTAGTATCGAAAGTTGTGCATGAAGGTCGGGGGTACTTCTCCCATCATGTCCGGAAGCTTTTTACATTTCCCTTCCTGTATGACGTGATGTAAGCATGGGTGTGTGTCTCTGAGGGCTCTGAGGGCTCTCGGGTCTAGTCCCGGGGGAAAGTCTTTGTTAAACGTCAATGGAAGGAGGGGAGAGGGGTATGGCGATATGTTCCCCTTCATCGCTGCCCTCCTCCATATTTTCAGGGTGTGTTTGGTGTAGATGGACATTTCGTCCCAGTTCGTCGCGTTTCGGTCCCAGGGCAGTCCCGAGATTGGTCTACCCGCCTCCGTCTCCTCCACCGTCTTCCACAGTTTATGTACCCTGTCTTTTGTCCACTCTACAACTCTCTGTAGGTGTGTGGCCACATAGTATAGGTGGAAGTCTGGGAGGGCTAAGCCTCCTTTATCTTTAGGCTGTGTCAGGGTGGTGAATTTCACCCTGGGTTTCCCCCCATTCCATACGTATCTGATCATTTCTGTTCTGAGAGTTTTAAAAAAGGGGCTCGGGATCGGAATGTTTTTTGTCATCTTACTTTCAATTTTTTTTTTCAGAATCCTCTGTGGTTTTCTTAACTACAAGAACCAATTGTTTGTTTTACCATTAGAAGATATTCTATTTACCACAATTTCCTCTTTTTTTTTTTCTTTTTTTTTTTCTGTGTCCTTGTAGTTTTGTCCCTGTAATGTAAAACATTGCATTCTGCAGAACTTTATTGTTTACATTGCAAGGTGTATTTTTCTCTAGTAGATATCACTCACCATTTGATAGTTTTGGACCTCATTGATATACTTTTATTTTAACATTTTGAATATTTGTAGTTTATGCAAACATGATGAAAACTGTTTTGCTGTTTACTCCACTAAAAGTCTGCTCTCTTAGCCGTACCCTCCAATTCTATTACATATATTATATAATTCTATTATATAGCCTTCCTTAGCCCCATATGTACACTAGTTAGTTAGTTGAGCTGCAGGAGGACTAGCAGCCAGATTATCACCACATCTGTCTGTCCTGTACGTGCTCTGTCTAGTAGAGCTATGCAGTGAGGGATTTAAACTCGTAAAATAAATGTCAGTTTGTGTACTGATCTAGGGCATCACCCTACTGATTGTTCTAATCTCCATTAGCTACTTCCATGTATAGAACAATTGATTATTTCTTTACAGCAGCCCGAAGCAGGAGAGTGCATATAAATTCTCAGCCAGACACCCCCCGCCAATTTCACGCTGCTCGCCACGTTGGCATGATACTGCTTGATCAACCTTGAGACCGGTAAAATGATCTATTATCATATCAGTACTGCTGCTTGCTGAGCATCCTCGGTTGCTGAGATCGACTGGTGGCTGAGGGGGGCATTTAAATCCACTCTCCTCCTTCAGGCTATTGAAAAGAACAATCTCTCTATTCATTGTACAAGCTAACAGAAGGGGAATACAGTCGTTAGGGTGATGCACTATGATATCTGATCAGTATAGATCGCAAACTGAGTTACGAAATGCTATAAATATTGTACCATGTTAGACGAAAATGGGGGGTTTTAAGTTACTGCGCCTAATGAATGAATGAATAATTTATGCAGGATATGTCCTCTATACCATTCCACTGAATTGTCTTTCTTGGTAACATTATCCACTCTCTGACTCTATAGAATAATAGCTCTTTGCTTTTTAAAGGGAAAGGGTCACCTTAAATGATTTGTATATTATTATAGATTAGTGATATAGGTTGAAAAACAAGATTTGCTTCTAAAAAGTTCAACCATTTCACTTGTCCCTGTTTCTGGTTGATCTGAAAGAAGTAGAAAAAGAAAAAAACAACCTCGTGCCCTTGTAGCCAAACGAGAAGTTCCTTCACTATGTCAAAGTAACTATTTGATTTTTTCATAATTGAGAGGGCTATAAATAAAGTCCATTGTATCTATGTTTAGCCCTGTACATTTTTGAGTTTCCAAAAAGCATCCAGACCTCATTTTGAAGATTCTATTGAATTTGAGATGACAAATAGGCACAGACCATTTCATATCTTTATTGTTTTTCTCTGAAGAGCCTTTTTAATGCACTAGGTGAAATCTTTTTAGCGGTCAGTGGCTGACCTCTTGGCCTTTGTATATTTCTCTTAATGACTAGGTCACCATATGCAATGCCTTCTTTGATCTGTTATTTCTAAGTTAAAATACAATGAATGAATGTTTGCCTTTCCCGTGAAAAGACAATCAGGGTTATTTACTAAATGGAGAATTCAAAGTGAATTTCAAATGTAATGCCAGATTGGCTGAACTGACTTTTGTACTAATTTGGCTATTTTAACCTTTAATTTGAAATTCCTTAATGTGCTTGGTTTACAGAAAGATAATTTGAGATCCACATCCCTATGCTCCTGGAATTTAAAATGAAACCATTTTAAACTGTGTGGCCTTTTTACACACCTGGTACTGACACATGATCCATTGTTATAGCAAATATAAATGAGTTCTAAGGATAGAACCTTTTATTGTATGGAATGTAAAGTCTCATCTATCTGTATGGAAGTAAAAGGGACACTGATACTTTCCATGATTTTTAAAATCCGGTTTACGTATCCCCTATATTTAACACATTTGTGTTATGTGAGATCTGAAAAATTAAAAATAAAGGGACACTCCAGACTTTAGCTTGCTGAAATGCTTTATGTGTGAAGAATATGTCCTCTCTTTTTTCATTTTGGAAATGGTGTAGATGTCAATAGAAATTGACACTTTTTATAAATTAAAATGGTGACACCGTCTTGGCTTTCCATCACACATCAGGTTCTGTTACTTCCTGGTTTAGTTGGCTCAATAAAGGTAGCAATTTTCCAAAGCACCTGCCTTGCAAAGACTTCTCATTGAGCTGCACTGGGAAGTCTGTGATTGGACAGCCACCGAAAGTCTGGGCGGGGTTAGGAGAGGGATTTTAAAGGCAGCAGACGAGATCTAAAGCTTTTGCAAACTATTTTTAGATATATCTCCAATGAAAGGAAATGCATAATTAAATGCATGTAAGTGTTAATTTAGGATATATTTACTTATTTTGTATCTGGGCAGTTGAGATTCCCTTTAAAATAAATAAAAAGAAACAATGTAACTAATACATAGAAATCGACAACACTCTGTCCTGCAACTGAGTTGCGCCATCTTGTCTCCCTGTCAATCATTGTTTTAATGTCTATTTTCTGTCATTGTATGTGGGAGTGGAGAAAAATAAACTATTCTCACATTCATCTTCAGTGAGTGCCCCTTGCTGTGTCTGGACTGAACTGGATTATGTCATTTGCTAAATCTTTAGTCTATATTTAAGAGAAAATAGAGCATCTTAAAAAAAAAAAAAAAAGTAATAAAAAAAATGTTAAGCTATAGGTGATTTCCCAAATTTTATTGAAAGGTTTAATTTAGAGAGATGTGTAAGTTCCCTTTAAACTACAAACATTTGTGTGTTTTTTATTTATTTGTTTTGTAGTATACCCTAGAACAGGGATAGACAAACATCAGCACTCCAAATGTTGTGGACTACTTCTTCCCTGATGCTTTGCCAGCATTATGGGGGATGTAGTCCACACCATCTGGAGTGCCGAAGGTTGCCTAGAAACACTGATAGTAAGTTACTTTGGTGTGACTAAAGGAATGATAGATCAATGGGTTTAACGCAAAGCAACCTCACAGTATTCAGAAGAGCTATATTGGTGAAAAGCAACAAACAAAAATTAAATAAACTGCATCAATGGATTGATCCACAATTATGTTAGGCTTCTAAATGTGAAGACGTGGCCACAACCTTTAAAGGAACACTATAAGGTCAGGAACACAAACCTGTATTCCTGACCCTATAGTGTTTAGTGTTGAATCAATGCATCTCTATGAGGAAAATTCAGCATCTCCATGCAAAGCGTGGGGACACTGAACATCAGGGCTGCTTTTTTGGCAGCCCTGAGCCAGGAAGCACCTCCAGTGGCCATCTGAGGAGTGACCACTTGAAGGTGTCCCTAGGGGCTTTTTCTCTGAAAAGGCAGTGTTTGCATGAAAAAAACCTGAAGGAAGCTATTATACTCTCCAGAACAATTACATTAAGCTGTAGTTGCTCTGGTGACTGTAGTGTCTCTTTAAATCATTGAAATAAAGCAGAATACCTGCAATTTCTAGTGTAAAACCCCCATAAAACAGTTTGTTCAAGATTGTAGTATTCTTGTGTGAATAACATTGCAGATATCCTGTTTTGGGATTTTTTTTCTTTCGACTCAGTCCCTCCTTTAAATTTAAAGAGGGAATGAATATGAATACACATGTACATGTAATGGCGAAGGAGAGACAAACACTGGAGATTGCCACATTTCTACAATTAGTTCAGTCTGACTACTTACAAATAAAATGTAAGAGCTATAGTGAGCAAATTTACACTACACAAGACCTTTCATTTAAACCCCCACCAAGATTTGGAATGCATTCTGCTAATGATTAGCCACTTGCTCTCTGTTTTCTAAATGTATAATCTTTTTTTATTTCCTTTTTTCCTAAACTGTAACATCAGTGATATCTCAATTTATTTTTTGATAAAAAAAGATTCTAAAATGTATGTATTTTATTTATTTAGTTTTTAATAAAATACAAGATAATATGCAATTCTAAAATATAGAGTTTACTACAAGGGAACTATAGGAGGAAAATTACTCTTTGTTAGTGCGATATACATAAAAAAAAAAAACAACACTTTTTAAAAACCGTTTAAACAAAAAAATATATTCAAACGTTTAATATTCATTTTAAATGCACTGTTTAGTAGGTCCTGATGCCGATAAACACGGACCTCTTCTTAACTAGGAGGTAATTCTCCAATCAGGTGTGTCTGATTCTGGTCTATAGGGTCTATTTTTATCCCAGAAACAGTGGAACCGCTCCGTAAACCGATAGCAGCTATTCTGTGACTGTTATCAGATGATGCTTAGCTCAGTTCACAGTTCATTCTGGTAACTTGAGAGACAGATCAGAGTCTTAAATCTGCAGTGATTTTTACAAATTGACGCAGTTCTAAAAAATGTCAAAGTTCAGTAAATGCAAGATACCGGTGGTGCTAAAACTGACCGTTTTAATAAATAATCTGTCCTCGGTGTATTATTTATATATTTTTTGCTACCAATATCTTTAGATTCACAAATAATACATCATTTGATTTTGTGATCTAGTACATCTAGAGATTTCTAATCAGCAAATTACATTTCTTCAACAATTGTATTTACGATTATTTGTTTCTCTTTTAAGATTATGGTAAAGTGGTCACAGAATAGATGTTGAGGACTGCGTAAGCCCTTTTCAGTGTTTATTTAACATGGCTCTTAGAATTCTCCAGGCAGGATGTTATGTCAATTGAGCTAAAGCTGTTACAACATGCTAGGACTAGAAAATAGATGGTCTAAGACCAGATTTCAAAAGGTGAGGCCAATTGTGTTCAGTAAACATTGTAACATAATAGTTTGTTATAATGCGACACATCTGAGTCAGACGTCCAACTGACCATTGTATTGTGTTGTGTTAAAGGATTCTGATAAGATGCAATGGATTTAACACATGAAAATTCCGCAGTTATTGTTATCTACATGGAATATCTGATTTCCTCTCTTTTAAATGCACCGTTCTCTGCTCCCCACTCTACAATTCCAATCACAATTATTTATATTAACATATTCCACAGCACTGTACAGTAGGTAAACTATACAAACACAAAAATCTAACAAACATGATTGGCATACTGGAACAAGAGGTGAAGAGTGTCCTGCCCAAACAAGCTTACTCTAAGCTAAACCCAAAGCTTCTAAAGATAAATAATGCCACCTATATGAACTAAAATATGAATTTAGTAAAAAGGAACTGCCTAGGCACCATAACTACTACATACTTTTATTGGATATAGAAATAATAGTGGGGGAAGGGGAAGGGGTGATCCAGAGCCACTGTAGAATCCCCTCAAACTCTGCTGTTTAAAAAAAATAAATAAATAAATTCAGGCACCTTTCACATTATGGAAGATCCTACAATGGGGTCTAATTTCAGAGACTACAATAGAACGCACACTTACTGGGGTGGGTTAAACACATAAGAGCATTTATTAACATAGGACCTTTTAAAAATAAAGTACTTTTGGTGCAGTGGTGGGCTTTGCAATGTATGGCCAAATTTAATTTCAAAAAGCAGACGGGTACCATAGCCACGACGTAGCACTGTAGTAGGTATGATGCCATTAGGCTACAAAACCATCTCCTGGTTCTTGCTCTCAACGGTTTGACCAAAACTGGGGGTCTCTGAGGCACCCATACCTTGGCCCCTAGAGGTCATCAGCCTTTCAGGGGGCTCACAGAGTGTGCAGCAGCTTCAGCAAGGAGACCGTTCCAACAATGCATTACAGGTAAGTATATTATTATTATTATTATTATTATTATTATTATTATTATTTATATTGCGCCATCAGCTTCCGTAGCGCTGTACAGTGGGATTTGCTTCATTTTATTTTTTACATATTGTTTTGTGCTCAGTAATCTCAATAGAGCTGTAAACATGCTAACGTTAAAAATAAATATATTTAATTATAATGTTGGAGCATTACTTTATGCACTTTTTTTTATTTCATTCTTCTCCCTTAGGCATTCCATTAAATGGTCTTCACAGTGAGAGAATATTAAATTAAACAACGAAGTCTTAGAAAGCTGGCTTGTTAAGAGGCCGCTTATAATTTTCCAGTGCAAGCATGTCAAACTCAAAGGCTAGCACATGCCAGATAAACAAGGTTTAATTTTATGTGTGCCTCAAAAAAACCTCAAAACTTAAATTTTCATAGAAGCGTAGGTTTATTTTGAAAAGTACAGTATAAAAAACAAACACATCCCTCTATACTAAATCCCCTTCCCCCCGCCCCGCCACCCACCAATATATACTAATTCCGAGTCCCTCCTCTATACTAAATCCCATTCCCCCCTCCTTCCCTTGCCCTGCCACCCACCAATATATACTAATTCCGAGTCCCTCCTCTATACTAAATCCCATTCCTTCCTCCTTGCCCCGCCACCCACCAATATATACTAATTCCGAGTCCCTCCTCTATACTAAATCCCATTCCCCCCTCCTTCCCTTGCCCTGCCACCCACCAATATATACTAATTCCGAGTCCCTCCTCTATACTAAATCCCATTCCTTCCTCCTTGCCCCGCCACCCACCAATATATACTAATTCCGAGTCCCTCCTCTATACTAAATCCCATTCCCCCCTCCTTCCCTTGCCCTGCCACCCACCAATATATACTAATTCCGAGTCCCTCCTCTATACTAAATCCCATTCCTTCCTCCTTGCCCCGCCACCCACCAATATATACTAATTCCGAGTCCCTCCTCTATACTAAATCCCATTCCCCCCTCCTTCCCTTGCCCTGCCACCCACCAATATATACTAATTCCGAGTCCCTCCTCTATACTAAATCCCATTCCTTCCTCCTTGCCCCGCCACCCACCAATATATACTAATTCCGAGTCCCTCCTCTATACTAAATCCCATTCCCCCCTCCTTCCCTTGCCCTGCCACCCACCAATATATACTAATTCCGAGTCCCTCCTCTATACTAAATCCCATTCCTTCCTCCTTGCCCCGCCACCCACCAATATATACTAATTCCGAGTCCCTCCTCTATACTAAATCCCATTCCCCCCTCCTTCCCTTGCCCTGCCACCCACCAATATATATACTAATTCCGAGTCCCTCCTCTATACTAAATCCCATTTCCCCCGGCCATTGTTTAAAAGAACAAAACAAAAAAAACAATATTAGCCAACAAGCAGACTCCACTCACATTGCCGCTGCCAGTATGCAAGTCCGTAGTCCAGCCTCTGGTATACCCCCAATGGTGCCGTCCGCCCTTTGTGCCAAAGCGGATCCTCCTGCTATTCCTTGAAACCCTGTAATGGTGGAGCAAGTGGATGTCACGTCGGAATGTGACGTGGGCTTGCGAGACACACACACTCTCTGACCGGCGCACACACACACTTACGCATTCTTGCACACACTCACATAATTTTATTTATTGTTCCCTACCTTTTGGGAGCTGGTGTGGGGCCTCTCCCTGGGGTCCAGTGGGGATCTTCTCTCAGGAGGTCTCCTACCTTTTCCTCACAGGCGCAGTTCAGTGGTGCCAGAATGACGTCATATTCCAGCACCACTACAGACTGTGCACGAGGGAGCAGGGAGACTGATCTCCATCACTGCAGCCAGCGACCTGGCTGGTTAAATTTTAGCAGAATAGGCACCTACAACGTGGGGAGAGCAGGTGCCTACTCTGCCTTATTAAACATGTCAAACTAGCGGCTCGCCGGGCCACAAAGATATTCATTGTGGACAGCATGCTGCCCACGAGCTGCAAGTTTCACATGTTTGCCCTAGTGGAACTTTAATGTACATTTTAACAAAGATTCCACGTATCTAAGTACCTTTCACTAGTAGAAAGCTTAGCAGCTCCATTAGTAGTTACCTTTTTCTGATCCTGTCATAATCACACTAAGCTCGCTATGTGACACTGTGTCAAATCATGTCAAACCTCAGGCACCCTCAATTCAAGCATTTGGAACAAAGTATTTACCTAATCATGGTCCCGAAGGAGTTGAGAACGTAATAGAAATACTTTTTGTGCACTTAAAAAAAAAAAAAAAAAAAAAAAGTTTCTGCACTTGTCGGTCGATATTCATTGTAGTGAATTTTGTTTTGTGTTACATATTTTTCAACTTTCATGTAACCTCCTGTCTCTTTCCAATGCTCTCCTTTCTCTTTATTTATACCTCATCCTGGCTCGCTTCTGATATTCAATTTTTTTTCTGTTTTTACTTGCTGTGGTTTTTTTTCATTCCTCTAACTGTTTACATTGTTAAAGGGGCCAAACACCACAACAATGTATGCTGCTTGCCTAGGTTATGATACAAGAAGGTCCCTTGTATTAAAGAGATTCTCCAGTGCCAGGAAAACAGATCCGTTTTCCTGGCACTAGAGAATCCTAGTGTGCCCCCATCCCACATCACTGAAGGGGTTAAAAGCCCTTTAGAGACTTACCTGAATCCAGCGCCCATGTCCTTTGGCGCTGGGTCAGGCTCCACCCACATTCCTAACCCGCTGACGTCCTCCCGCGGGGGAGACTGCATGCGAATGCATAGCATAAGAACATCCAGTGTCGTTTAGACAACTAAAAGTTGCCTAAGAAGCTGAAAGTCCCTCTAGTGGCTGTCTGGCAGACAGCCACTTGAGGAAGACTTAACCCTGCAAGGTAATTATTGCAGTTTATAAAAACTAAAATAATTACACTTGCAGGGTTAAGGGTGATGGGAGTTGGCACCCAGACCGCTTCAATGGGCTGAAGTGGTCTGGGTGCCTACAGTGTCCCTTTAATAACTACTTTTGTAAAAGTGGACAGTGATTTCCAAAATTTGCCACAGTTAAAAGCCCACACCCTGCCTCAGGAGCATAACAGGAAGTATTGCTTGCCACCTGCCTGTACAAGTACTTGTATGACATTTGCATATTGGACAGGCACACACAAACAAGTCCCACCTCTCTGAGAAGAGATGAAGGAACCAGTACTACAGCCATTCCTATATATATTGATTCTTCAAACTGCTATCAGATAAATTATACTCCTACCGATCTACATATCTCAAAAAAACCTTGTTAAGGGAAGCTTTAAGCACCAAAACAACTGCAACTTAATGAAACCGTTTTGGTGTATAGATCATGCCCCTGCAGTCTTAATGCTCAAATATCTGCCATTTAGAAGTTATAGTACTTTGTTTATGCAGCCCTAACCACACCTACCCTGTATGTGACCTTCTCCCTACACATTCCTGTAAAGAGAGATCTAATGTTTACGCATCCTTTATTGCACAGTCTGTTTAATTTAGAATTTATCATCTCATGCGCTGTTAACAGCAGGATCCTGCTGTGTGTAATTAAAGCTCAATAAACAGTACTGGAGATGAAAAACTTCTAAAGGAAACACACTGTATGGATTGAAAATAAAACCACGTTTTCATGCAGGCTGGGAGTGGGGGGGGGGGTATGGCTTGGGCAGCATAAAAAGTAACAACAATAATTGAACTAAATGGCAGATAATTGAGCAGTGAGACTACAGGGGCATGATTTATACATCAAAATAGCTTTATTTTTATCTATACATGTTCTCACAAGAACAAAAGCCTGCAGAGACAGGCTATAGACACCAGAACCACTACATTAAACTGTAGTGGTTCTGGTCACTATAACATCCCTTTAAGTAACACATTTTTATTATTACGGATTGTAGTAACCCTTTAAGGCCAGAGAAGCTCAACTAAGAGAATAGACTAAAATTCATGAAAATGGTTTATTTCTTTTTGATTAGTGATTCAAACACTCTGTCAGGCACCGTTCAGGCTCTGAACCTCGGAGAAGCCGCCAACCCTGAATAGAGAAGGTGACAATTTTACAAGCGCAGAAAGCCTTTGAATGTGATCAACAGGTGGGAGATCTGCCAGTGTCGTTTGTTAAATACATGTAGTACTGTCAAAAGCAGGATGCCGCGGGGATCATGTCGAAAGCTTTACTGCTGATGTAACCGTGTAGAACACCCTAGTACAGGCATAGGCAACTTTCGGCACTGCAGATGTTTTGGACTACACCTCCCATGATGCCTTGCCAGCATTATGGGTGTAAGAGCATTATGGGGGATGTAGTCCACAACATCTGTAGTGCTGAAGGTTGCCTATCCTTGCCCTAGTATATGGACACTGATGGACAATGACAAGAACATCTGCATAAATTATGCTAATGTCTGAACGTACAGTTATTTACTCAATAAAATATACATTTAGTCGCTTGTGTGTTCTGTATATAAACAATACTTGTATTAATCTCAATGAATCTTTTGCCTGGAATAACCTCCAGTCTGCAGATATAACATGCTGTGACAGAAGCTTACAGTATTTTGTGTTCCCATTAATTGAACTGCTTGGGGGGATATCTCAGCCCGATTCCTTTATTTTTTTTATTTTATTTTTTTGATCCTTTAGTAGATTGTTCATGCAAAAAAGAATTGGATACTTATCTTAGAATTTACTTTTTTTTCTTTCTTTTATTTACTATCCTTTCATTGTCTCAGTAGAGGCTCAGAGTGCAGCTCAGAGCTACGTCAATGAAAAGAAAGTTATAGAAATGATTATCACAATATCAAATACAAGTAGAACCTTGGGGGATTTGATAAAACCTGAAATAACTGGAGGGGACATGTGATAATGACTCCCTTTCAAGGGACGTTAGACAAGGAGTGCATGGGGAGAGAAACAGTGTTTGGAGACACCTGGAGCCCCCTCCTCCACGACTTTGTTTCCCAGAGTTCCTAGAAAAAAAGTAATAAACTCATACACACTGTACATTATATATACAATCTCACATAGCAATGTGGGACGTCTGAGTGAATCTCAGAGCTTGATACATTAACCTCGGTGGTGTGAGGTGTGTATGAATGTATCATCTAGATCCATGAAAACAACTCTCGTAGAGTATCTTTGGTCAAATCCTTGGTCTCCCTTCCTTCACGGCCCTTAACATCTTAAAGGACCACTAAAGTGCCAGGAAAACATACTCGTTTTCCTGGCACTATAGTGCCCTGAGGGTGCCCCCACCCTCAGGGACCCCCTCCCGCCCGGCTCTGGAAGAGGGAAAGGGGTAATAACTTACCTTTTTCCAGCGCTGGGCGGAGAGCTCTCCTCCTACTCTCCGCCTCCGTTACGCCCCGCCGGCTGAATGCGCACGCGCGGCAAGAGCTGCGCGCGCATTCAGCCGGTCTCATAGGAAAGCATTTACAATGCTTTCCTATGGACGCTGGCGTGCTCTCACTGTGATTTTCACAGTGAGAAGCACGCAAGCGCCTCTAGTGGCTGTCAATGAGACAGCCACTAGAGGATTAGGGGGAAGGCTTAACCCATTCATAATTATAGCAGTTTCTCTGAAACTGCTATAATTATGAAAAAATGGGTTAACCCTAGAAGGACCTGGCACCCAGACCGCTTCATTAAGCTGAAGTGGTCTGGGTGCCTAGAGTGGTCCTTTAAGGATCTGGCACCTGCTGTGAATAAAGTGGCTTTCAGGATAAGATTGAGATCCTGAATAAGGTTCAATAAATCTTGAAAATTTATAAAATGACCGTTTCTTTATTGGATCCCGTTCCCGATTTTACAAGATCTGCAAGCCCTGATTTGGGGTGAATCTATAGAAGAGAGTCTCTCATTGTCTCATGTTCTCCTAGGACTTTCTCTTCCTTTTTTCTCTCTAGTTCTCTTCACTCCTTCTTTTCTCTGTTCCTCTTGTCTTTTCTTCCCACTGCCTCGCCTTCATTTCCCCCGAACCTGGTTATCTATTATGAAAGTTGAATTGATTCTTGCTCAATGTGAGCCCCTCTCGGGCTGTATTTTCTTTCTTTTGGTACTTAGTCTCATAGGTTCTTTGCTATAATTTTTATGTTTGTTGTATGGCTTGTAATAAAACTTCACTTGCCCCCCGCACCCTGTAAAGGTCCCATGTGCAAGTGCACTGCAGACATCAATATATTTTTGAATATCTGTGAATTGGGGTCAGCTGCCTCCCTGTGCTACTGAGCTAGATTGAACTAGATTTTTAAAACACCACATCTATGTTAATTTGTGACCTGCGTGCTTTATATCAGATAACATTTATATTTATTGACGTATCTGAGGCATTCGGGAATTGTTGACATTATATTTCAGGCTAATCTTATTGCCTGTTAAAGGTGAGGCTTTCACATACAACTTGTTTCTAGATGGTGATAGCAGTAACCAAAATAATGATCGGTATGGTGTTAAATCATTTTTGAGGTGATTTTTTTTTTCCTGTATATTTAAGTATTAAATTAAAAAAACAAAAAACCTAAGTCAAAGAAAATATATTAAAGGGAACCTGTAGCCACTTACCCTGTCCTACTCTCCATGACACTCCGCTCCATGACACCAGCTAGGCAGTTTCCATAGCAACCTCAGTGCATATGCTGTGGTTGCTATGGGTGGAGAACAGAAATACTTCCTGTGGGAGGTCTCTCTTGCTCTCCTTCTCAATCATTTCCTCAGCAGTGGGTGTGTGCAGAGGAATTGAGAGAAAAATGTTTTTATTTTTATTTTTATTTTTTTAAAAGACCTTAAGTTGTTTTGGGCACATTTTAAGTGCCGCACAGAATTTCTCAGGATTATTCACAGCAGCCCAATTTTTAGGATTTTTTATAAACCAGAATAGTCTAATTGGAAACATTTCCAAGTCCGCTACAGCATCCAGACAGCCTGTATGGTGAGGGAGATCCTTGGGGGGTTAAGGCATAATCCAGGGGGGAATTGCCCCCTTGTTTGCTCCTTGGTGTGCATGCACAAATTCAACCCCCTCTGACAGTCCCTTTCAAAGGGAGCCTGATCTAGCATTGAAACGCTTGATTCAGTGTTTAAAAGCTTTGTATAGGAGAGCCTGATTGGGCGAATCATTTTTTTTTTTCTGTAGTAAAGTTTTGAGATGCCCAAATTTCGGCCATATGTGCGTTCGGCTCAGCATAATTTCTGTAACGGAAAATCAATTCTGAAAACTAATCGGATGAACGGAAAGAGTCCAATCAGTAATATAATATGTATATATTTTGTAACACACTAATAGGAGCATTTTCCCACTATTTGGTTCACTTTCTCTCAACTCTCCTTTCTCTCTCTCTCTCTCTCTCTCTCTCTCTCTCTCTCTCTCTCTCTCTCTCTCTCCTTTCTCTCTCTCTCTCTCTCTCTCTCTCTCTATATATATATATATATATATATATATATATATATATATATATATATATATATATATTTATCAAATATGTGAATATTACATTTATAATTGCCTTTTTACTACTCCTCCTTTTCTCCCTCTATTGGTCACTTCTCAACTTTTCTGTGAAAACATTTAGTTAATGTCCACTAGTCATCAGTCATCTCTTTTTGGCGACACAGATGGTATTTGGTAGAACACATCAAAATGACATGCTCGGCAAATGTGCGTTTCGGGCAATTTGAAGTTTGTAACAAAATTAATAAAGTCTAAAAATTATTATTATTCTTTTTTTTTTTGTGTGCATGTCTCTATCAGTACACATGTGTGCGCCAACAGTCAAATTTTAAGGGACTTCACAATTTTATTCCAATGGGTTATTGACAGAACCTGAGTCTAACCGCAGACCGCTACTGTAGCATTACAGAACGCCACTGCTAATCCAATGACATTTAGTGTTGAGTTACATTTTAGTAAACTAGTACGCTTGAGAAGCTATTAATAAATGTGGGAGCTTATGCTCACTTCATTAACGGAACACTATCATCATGTTTATTAATGATTGAGAGTAAAGGATTAGTTATGACATAGTTTATTATTTCACTCGCGCCACCCCCTTGCGTAACGTACACGCAGGCACTCCGCCTACGTCATCCCCCCCTCTGATGATATTATTTTGTAATTATGCCTATAAGTAAAACTACACCTCCATGCTTACCCTTCCACCACGGAAGCCGCCATCTTTAAAGGGACCCTCCAAGCATCACGACATGCAGCTTTGCAGAATTGTAAAGCTGATTATGTAGAAAGTCAGCCTTGATAGTGTCACAGAACTGCAGATAATAGTAAAAATGAATGGGTAACTCCAAGCACCATCACTACTTAATTGATTTGAAGTGGTTATTGTGTCTGAAATTTGTATATGCATGGTAACCCCCTAGCTGCTGGGAATATAACTTCACCTCTAGCAGGGCTATTAGCCAGCCCAGAACAAAGTTATATAAGTTCTGTTCTTTGCACCTGGCAGTCGCAAAGAGAAAACAGACAGACAAGAGGAGACATTAAAACATGTGTCTATTACCAGCTCTAGACTTTGAGGCCTTAGGCAAAACTCAAACATGAGGCCCCACTAACATCAAAATGAAGAAAATAGAGTTGCAATACATGCACACATATACACATTGATGCACTGTCTACCTGTGTATGTGCCCGAGAGTGTGTGTCTGACAGAGAGTATCCTTGTATGTGTGAATGTATGTCCCTGTGAGCATGTTTGCGTTTTTGTCTGGGGCCGTATGTGTATGGCGTAGCTGCTTGAAGTGTGTTGTGTGTATGGGGGTCTGCCTGTGGCCGTTGTGCATAGTGTTAATGGCAAAGCTATGTTTCCTGACTGTGTTTATGATGAATGTCTTCAGCTGGTGACTGTGACAAGGTGAGTAAAGGGGTACCAGTGGAGTGTGTGACAGGGCAAAGGGGGTAAATGGACAGGGTGAGGGACCTGATGAGGGAGTGTGACAGGGCGAGTGGAGGTAAGTGTGTCACCGCAATTGTGGCATGGTAGGAGGGATGAGTGTGACATGATAAAGGGGAGTTAATGTGACAGGGTGAGTGTTGTGTTTGGAGGGGATGAGATTAACAGGATTAGGAGTGGATAATGTGAGTGTGAATGCATGAAGAGGCTGACAGTGTGGGGGTGGGTGACAGTGTAGGGAGGGGTGACTGTGAGGGGATGCTAACAGTGTGTCTGGGGAGGCTGACTGTGTGGGAGTATGTTGACACAACATTGTTGTGGGTGACAGTGTGTGGGGTGGATACTGTTTCTGTGAGGGGAGTGATGGTGAGAGGGGGTGATGGGGAGATGGAGAGGGGGACTAAATACTTCTTAAAAATATTTTTCCTGGTCCAGTGTGGATTTTCTGGTAATGCAGTGGGCTCCCTGGTGGTTGGTTGGTGGTATCTGGTCTACAGCTCTGCACACCATGTGTCTCGCGAGACCCATCAGAGCGTTGCCATGGTAACCCGCAGCATCACTCTGATTGGCCAGTTCTCGTGAGACACGTGGACACACTGCGGAGCTGCAGACCGGTGTCTGCGATGGGAGCTCTCTGTCCGGGCCTCGCACCCGGCGGCATACTGAGCAAGCCGCCGGGCCCTCTTCTGGTGTCGGGTCCTCGGCCACAGTCTGCTTTTAGGCGGCCACGAGGCCCCAGCCAGCGTGAGGCCTTAGGCGGCTGCCTAAACCACCTAATTAGAGAGCCTCCTCTGTCTATTACTCCTCTTCATTAATAATGTTTCCACTGGCTTTGCCTTGTCTGAACTGGATTGTTTGTTAAATCTTTAATATGAACGTGAAAAAGAGAAAAAAAAAATGGAACAACTCATGAAAAAGGTTAACACAAATTAAAGGGATTTTCAATATTTTAATCAACGGTGTGAATTCTGGAGAAGCGGCAGTTCTCCTCTAAACTGCTTTGTGATTTAGGCAGCCAGCCAGCAGTTCAATAGTTGAATCACCTCCTGTCAGGAGTTTGCATTAAGTGTACACTTCCCATGCATGCTGTGCTATAGAAATGTCCTGTCTTTTTATGATCACCAGTAGGAATGCAAATACTCTGCGCAAATCCAAATATGGTTGGATGCTCTTCGCATTGTTAGTAAGGATTGTACTGTGATTCTTCACTCTCTGAATGGAGTGCTGTTAAAAGGCTTGTCTATGGGTATCTGTATGTTTTAGTGGCAGAATACTGTTTCCATCCAGATCGGTCATTATGGTATTCGCTGTTGTTGTGGACATCATTTTGTATGTTCCCGTCTTGTACGATGAGGTGACTGAGAGATAAAAACATGACAGGCAACAACAAGCTGTCGTGCTGCTTGCAGCTGCTACAAACGGAAATGTTCTCTGCTCAAGAATATTTAAACTTTATGTTCAACAAGAAGCAGAACGATATGGCGAATATGTATCCAAATGCTGTGATTAGGGAAGCCGTGCAACATTCTAAAAAAAAAAATGGCACAGTTGCTATGGAAACCGTTTGAATCCACATCGGCATTCCAATATTTGGTAGATGGCCACTAGAGGAGGAGTTAGTTATTGCAGTTTATTAAAACGGTAATAATTACATGATCAGGGTTAAGGGTGATGGGATACTGCACCCAGATCACTTCAATGAGCTGAAGTGGTCTGGGTGCCTATAGTGTCCCTTTAAGGTGTTTTAATACACCGTTCTCCTCATGTTTTCCTTGGCTAATTACGATGTAATTTCCTAAATTTAAAAGAAACCAGAGCATCTAAAGAAAAAAAAAAAAAAGGTTAACGTAAGTTAAGGTCATTTTCAATGTTTTATGGTATAAACTCCAAAGAACTGACAGTTTGCCTTTACACATACACGTCACTAATCAAAATAAATAAATGTCATTGTCTTTTACAAAATCCATACGTTTTTGTTTTACGCCATCCTTTTTGGGGTGGTCCTAAACGCCGGCGGGCAGCATAGAACGTCTCCACCGTCCTTTGTACTTACCGGGTACTTACCGGGTCACCGCTATTCCCCTGACGGCGGTTGCGATCCTGGGGTCTGCCTGGGAGCTCAGGCAGACCCCCCTCTGCCCAATCCAGCCCCCCCCCCCCCTGGCAAATTCAAGCTCTTAGGCTGTCCCCCTAATGCCTGCAAAAAAGTTTTTAAAGTTAACAAAAGTTAATAAAAAGTTTAATAAAATAAATAAAAGTATATACACACTGCTCAAAAAAATAAAGGGAACACAAAAATAACACATCCTAGATCTGAATGAATTAAATATTCTTCTGAAATACTTTGTTCTTTACATAGTTGAATGTGCTGACAACAAAATCACACAAAAATTAAAAAATGGAAATCAAATTTCTCAACCCATGGAGGTCTGGTTTTGGAGTCACACTCAAAATTAAAGTGGAAAAACACACTACAGGCTGATCCAACTTTGATGTAATGTCCTTAAAACACGTAAAAATGAGGCACAGTAGTGTGTGTGTGTGTGTGTGTGTGTGGCCTCCATGTGCCTGTATGACCTCCCTACAACGCCTGTGCATGCTCCTGATGAGGTGGCGGATGGTCTCCTAAGGGATCTTCTCCCAGACCTGGACTAAAGCATCTACCAACTCCTGATCAGTTTGTGGTGCAACATGACGTTGGTGGATGGAGCGAGACATGATGTCCCAGATGTGCTCAATTGGATTCAGGTCTGGGGAACGGGCGGGCCAGTCCATAGCATCAATGCCTTCGTCTTGCAGGAACTGCTGACACACTCCAGCCACATGAGGTCTAGCATTGTCTTGCATTAGGAGGAACCGCACCAGCATATGGTCTCACAAGGGGTCTGAGAATCTCATCTCGGTACCTAATGGCAGTCAGGCTACCTCTGGCGAGCACATGGAGGGCTGTGCGGCCCCCCAAAGAAATGTCACCCCACAACATTACTGACCCACTGCCAAACCGGTCATGCTGGAGAATGTTGCAGGCAGCAGAATGTTCTCCACGGCGTCTCCAGACTCTGTCACGTCTGTCACATGTGCTCAGTGTGAACCAGCTTTCATCTGTGAAGAGCACAGGGCGCCAGTGGCAAATTTGCCAATTTTGGTGTTCTCTGGCAAATGCCAAATGTCCTGCAGGGTGTTGGGCTGTAAGCACAACCCCCACCTGTGGACGTCGGGCCCTCATACCACCCTCATGGAGTCTGTTTCTGACCGTTTGAGCAGATGCATGCACATTTGTTGCCTGCTGGAGGTCATTTTGCAGGGCTCTGGCAGTGCTCCTCCTGTTCCTCCTTGCACAAAGGCAGAGGTAGCGGTCCTGCTGCTGGGTTGTTGCCCTCCTACGGCCTCCTCCACGTCTCCTGATGTACTGGCCTGTCTCCTGGTAGTGCCTCCATGCTCTGGACACTACACTGACAGACACAGCAAACCTTCTTGCCACAGCTCGCATTGATGTGCCATCCTGGATGAGCTGCACTACCTGAGCCACTTGTGTGGGTTGTAGACTCCGTCTCATGCTACCACTAGAGTGAAAGCACCGCCAGAATTCAGAAGTGACCAAAACATCAGCCAGGAAGCATAGGAACTGAGAAGTGGTCTGTGGTCATCACCTGCAGAACCACTTCTTTATTTGGTGTGTTTTGCTAATTGTCTATAATTTCCACCTGTTGTCTATCCCATTTGCACAACAGCATGTGAACTTGATTGTCACTCAGTGTTGCTTCCTAAATGGACAGTTTGATTTCACACAAGTGTGATTGACTTGGAGTTACATTGTGTTGTTTAAGTGTTTCCTTTATATATTTTTTTGAGCTGTGTGGGTGTGTGTGTGTGTGTGTGTGTGTATATAAATATAATCGAAGTACTTTTATTTACACAAACGCATACATAAACCATTAATAAAAGTGTATTTTAATATATATTAAAAAAACGAAGAATTACGTTAATTATATATAATTATATATATATATATATATATATATATATATATATATATATATTACATTGAAATAAATCATTAAAATTAAATTAAAAATTATATACCAGTTTTAATTTGTTCTAACCTTATTTTGATATTAATATACATATATATTAAATTCAAAATACATTTAGAATGAATATATATATATATATATATATATATATATATATATATTCATTCATTCTAAATGTATTTTATATGTATTGCATAAACAAACTATGACTGCACTCCTGGTCTGTGATAAAAATCTTCAACGTTTCAGTCCTCCTTGCGGACTTTCATCAGGATCAAACAAGTCATGTTTGATCCTGATGAAAGTCCGCATGGAGGACTGAAACGTTGATCCAATTTTAAGATGAACCCAATAAAGTATTGAAGATTTTTATTACAGACCGTGAGTGCAGTCAACGTTTGTTGCTATTTGGATACACTTGAGCCCTGGCTGGCACCCGGCAATTTAGAAGTATTGTGCAGGGATGAAAAAGTGTGTGTGTGTGTGTGTGTGTGTGTGTATATATATATATATATATATATATATATATATATATATATATATATATATATATATATATATATAAATACCGGCACTCTAGGCTTTGTTCATCCAATTTATTCTTAGTTAATACAAAGATGTCAACGTTTCAGCTCCCGATCGGAGCTTTCATCGGGATACATTAGCATAACACAAATATATAGGACATATCAACCAATACTCACTAACCAAATCAACTGTACAACATCACCCCTGATGCCCGGCGTGCTCTCAGCGCATGTCTGCCTTCCGTTAAGCAATGCAAAGTTTCAATAATAGATGCTGTCCTATATTCATGTTCTCTACTGTGCCTGGTATCAGTGCATGATTTAAAGTGCTTATTAGTTGTGTGTATCAGTGTAAGGTTGTACAGACATTGATGTTGAAAACATGAACAGAAATAAGATTTAAAGATTATTAAGACAATATAAAATACCCTAGCTATTGATTACTATAAAGGCTATTGGAGAGAATATTGGTGAGTTTAGGGAAGATATTATGTACAAAAGTTATCAGATACATTTTATCAATTATATATTAAAAAGTAACTTTTGTACAAAATTCTGGCTATTGAGAATACTCGGAAATTCAAAGGGAGTTTAAAAAACGATGCAAAAAGAGCCAAAATAGAAAAATTCTCCAAGTCTATTTTCATTTTTAGTTTGACCGTTCTGACTGTTAATTTGAAACTCGATCCTTATTTTAGCAAATAACCCTGCAAAGGTCTATACATTCTAGCAGAGTCCACATTTTCTTTAAGGAAGACTTGGGCCAAAATGAAATTTAGGTGATGGGGTTATAAAGGGTGTTGCAGAGAAAGACGTGAAGCAAATATCCAAAAGTGGAGTAATTACTATGCAAACAAATTGAATATTTGCCCCTACTTTCTAAAAACACTGCTCAGCTTTTAGAACTCAGCAATCTTTATCTGCAAAGCTTTTATAAAATCTCCCCCGGCACTTGGCAGATTCCCCTTGAGCCTGTGGAAACTTTCAATACATGGCAGAATATCTAGTTAATAAAGACCTTGAAAATGATCTCTGGAAAACCGTCATCTTGTTTTGCAGTAAGTATGGCCCTTTGCGAACCAACTCCAGAGCTTAGAAAAAAACAAAAAATGTTCATCGTTGGAAGAATATTTTATTGACATTGTGAACACACACAACTCAGAAAATTACAGGTTACCTTAGATTTTATTCTTCTGCTATAAGAGAATCAAGTAAACCTTTGCAATTGTGTTAACACTGTCTTAATGAAACATTTACTGTGTTTCTACGTTCTGCTGAAATTATTTCAAAATAGACTGTGCCTACTGAAGTCAAAGTCCTCAATGTAAACGGAATCCCTAGAGATTATTATACATGGGCCTCCTTATTTAGGAACGAGAGCAAGCAATGAGGCCATCTGTCTACACGAACACATATCCTGAACTACATTTAATCACATGCAGAGCTACAAAAGCAACCTATATTTATTTAAAATAATAGGAAGCTGTAAATGTTTAACCCCCTAAGGACTGAGACAATTGTACAAGTTGTGATCAAAACGTAAACATAATTTGCGCTATATGTCTGTTCAGGGGTAATTCACCTCTTTCATATTATGTGTACCCACACTTATTATATATCATTTTGTTCAGGAGAAACCGGGCTTTCATGTCACATCAAATATTTGTATATTAAGCATAATTTATCATGAATTAAATATAAAAAGAAAGTGAGAAAATAAGAAATGTTGTTTTTTTTGTTTTTTTTTTAGTTCTGCCTGGCATTTTAACGGTGACTGTCAAAATACTGTTCGCGGTTACTGCAATAAAGTACACATATTTGTATTCAGCGATGTCTCACGGGTAAAACCGTACCCGTAATGTACAGGTTTAATGGTGTTTTGGAAAGTTACAGGGTCAAATATAGCACATTACAATTTTCAGTTCATACACATTGAAATTTGCCAGATTGGTTACGTTGCCTTTGAGACCGTATGGTAGCCCAAGAATGAAAATTACCACCATGATGGCATACTATTTGCAAACGTAGACAACCTAAGGTATTACAAATGGGGTATGTCCAGTCTTTTCTAGTAGCCACTTAGTCACAAACACTGGCCAAAATGAGCGTTCACATTTGTTTGTGTGTTTTGGCCAGTGTTTGTGACTAAGAGGCTACCAATCGGGCAAATTTCAATGTAAAAAAGGAAACTCAAGCCTTATATTTGACTGAGTAACTTTTGAAAACACCATAAAAACCTGTGCTATTATACTCTGGAGACTTCGCCGAACACAAATATTAGTGTTTCAAAATAGAAAACCGTATCACAACAAATATATAATCAGTGAAAGCACAGTCTGTGTGAAAAATGCATTTTTACGGACTATATCATCGTTGTGATCTGTTTTACTGTTTTTAAATGCTAACATTTGTGTTCATCGAAGTCTCCCGAGTAAAACATTACTGCCCATGTACAGGTTTTATGTTGTCCTAGAAAGTTACAGGGTTAAATATAGGGCTTGCGAGCCAAATTCTGTGGACTTTCAGCCTGGGTTGTCGGGCAGGTCCCTTTAAATTGTAATTAATAAAATTACTTGATTATGTAAAAATATTATATAAATATATTTGTAGAATTTAAATTATTTTTATTCATAGTTAGATATATATCTATATATATTCACAAAAAAGTGAACCTCTTGCACTCCTACTAAAAAAAAAAGTTTTAAATACCCGGTGCTAGGTCACAATAATATAAAAATATCAAAAAAAATACCGGCACTCTAGGCTTTGTTCATCCGATTTATTCTTAGGCGAATATCTCAATCTGAAGAAAAGCAATCAAAACTAAAAGGGTTGATTTTGTGATTAATGGGTTTGGAGAATTGATCCAGTATGGACATAACAAGTTGTTTCATCTAAATTAATCATTATCTGTGAGAACATGTAATATGAAGGAAATATGCCAAGCCAGACCATTGCAGATGGTATATAGCACATCGCCTACTAGGCTTTAGAAGTTCTACTTGGATATACGGTTTTTAATGTGCCTTTCACTGTAGTAGTAGCCATTTCACTGTTAGTTTTGTAACCATGGGTATCTTTATTCTTCTACTTTGTAGGCGCGAAAGAAAGAAGTCTTTGTGCAAGAACGATATGGAAGGTTTAATCTTGGTGACCCTTTCCTGGCACTTCAGAGAGACTTTGAAGCCAGTGCATTTGACAAGGAAAAGAAGCCTATATGTAACAACCCTCTCACCATCTTAGAAGCTGTTATGGCCCACTGTCGGAAAATGCAGGAGAGAATGACGGCACAATTGGCAGCGGCCGAAAGACGACAAAGAAAGGTAACATCTCTGAATAACGCTAACGCCTGAGACATGGCTTCCTGTTTTGCTTGTTTAACAAACTCTATGTCCTCATTGCTTTTACAGGTGTTTCTATAACTTTCCACAAGAGATCCCGTGCTTATAGATTAGCTTCCATTTATGAAAAAAACATGATTGACGCCATTCTGCAAGCTAACAGAAGTTATCCCGTGACTCTGAAAAGCTTGCCCAGTAGTGTCATCCATTCTTTTTTCATATTTGAACGTACTGCCAGGTAATGAACTACATATCCCTATCCCCTCAGTAAACGGGGTCTAACCATAATTGCTTAGCATTCAAATGGAAAAGCTTGCAGTTTTGAAGAACACAAGATAAATTCACAGGTGTAACTTTTTTAATATACACATGTACACACACACCATTAAAAAAGTGTGTTTCAAATCTTAGGCCTCATAGGAATGTCTTGTGCCTTTATGGTGCAACATATGTTCTATATTATAAATTTAAAAACAAACAAAAAAGCCCCATTATTTTACCTTCTGCTTTTTTTCCGTTTTTGATTTGTTCGTCTTACAAGTCTACATACTTTTGGAAATCCCTAATCAGTGTCTCTGGCATTCTGGAATTTTCATGTTGTGTACCATATTCTATTACTGATGTTCTCTGTAGAGAACTGTTCCTTCAAAATACATATAGATATGTATGTTTGTTTTTTAGGTTTTTTTTTAATTGATTGTACGTATTGAAGGGTGGGATTCTTTGCTGGAGATTTTTCTACATCGCTTAGTAAAGAGTAGGTGGGAAGCTTTAATTGGTTTGGAGCCTGGCTTGTTACTGAACACCTGTTCAGAAAATATATGTGTGTTTATCTCCCTAGCTTCTGAAAATATAATTAGATTGTTGTGGCATTGAATTTTAGTAAAGTGACTTTATGACTTGGAAAAACCATTCCAGGACATAGCATGTACGATGGTTGTTCACATGCTTCAACCACTGCGAAAACCTACTCCTTAGAATAGAATAATTTGATCATCTTTTTTGGCCATCAGTAGATTCTCACTGGGCATCTGCGATGGCTCAAGTCTATATATTAATGTCAGTCTTAAATTAGGTTAACATGATAACTCTACCCAAATTATGCAGCCTGTGTCGCTTGAATCTGGGTATATTATGAGTTGATTGATAATTAAAGGCACACTCTGGGCTCAAAATAAGACCAGCCATTAGTGGCATCCTTAGTAACAAATTAAAAATTTTTTCTCATTCCTCACATACAGAAATGCTTAAATTTCAGAGTGCAGGGAAAGGGTAAATGCAACAAAACCACCACATTAAGATGCAGTAGTTTTGGTGCTTAATGTCCTTTTTAAAAAGTTTTTATGGACAGAGTTCATAAAAGTGTAGAGTCAGGGCCGGATTTGCACATCAGGTGCCTGTAGCCACAAAATTATAAGGCGCCCTCTGCTCCGTAACCCCCAAAAAGGCAGATAAAGTAAGTATAATGAATTTATTTCCTGGAAATTGCAGACATAAAAACATCAACAAAAAAGCATCTATTCATATTTGAAAATTGTATACATGTATAAATGTATGTGTGTATATATCTGCTTGCAATGTATTCTGTGTGACTCTTTGAGCGTAGTGAGTGTTTGCAGCTGTGTAAATGCATGCAAGGTTAAAGTTAAAGTCCCTTTTCTGAATTGATCTTGTTACATTCTCTCTCCCCTCCCCCCCCACTGTCAATCAGACACCCAATCCTCTTACTTCCTGGTTTGCTTTACTCAGTGGACCTAAACTCAAGAGGCAGCAATTGCCCAGAGCACCTGCCTTGCAAAATCTTTTCATTGAGCTGCATTGGAAAACCTGTGATTGGACAGCCACGGAAAGGCTTTTGGCGGGGTTTGAAGGGGAGGGCTTGCAAAGGTTAGAGACAAGAGATCTGCAGCTTTTTCAAGCTGTTTTTATATATACCCCCAATTACAAAAAAAAGTATTAAATGCATGCATGTTTTCATGGTCAGTGGATCTACGAAAGTGAATTTTAATTATTAATATTGTTTGTATTTGTGTGGCGGTGTGAACCTTTAATGTCTGTTAGACTATACAAATGTGGTGAATAGAGGAAACTGCAGAAAGTGTTACGTAGCTCCAGTCATTGAGTTTGAAAGGCCCTGCCTGGATGAGTTTATACCGTTTACTGTACTTAGTCAGACTTGCAATAGCTCCAGGTTTCATATTTAGCTTCTGCTGGTTGTTGGTAATTAGATCTATGCAAGTCACTGAAATCCCAGTGTTCTCCAAACTATTTACTTTGAATCTGCCAAAGTAAACACTCAGTGACTAATGTAACCCCTTTTATGGCAAAGGAGCCTGTCTTTTGTGGTACAATAGGCCTGTACAGAGATGATGTATGTGTGTGTTATAGCTCTTTCTTCCAATAATGAACATTTCCTGCTTTTATGATGATCTTTAATAGATTAGCACAGTGTTAGTAAGATGAATGGATTCACAACTCTTTAAATAGGTTCTGTTACAACGTGCAACTGTAACTGCGAGATATTATGAAACAGGTTAATGTGCATGTATTATAATTAAAGGACCACTATAGTGCCAGGAAAACATACTCGTTTTCCTGGCACTATAGTGCCCTGAGGGTGCCCCCACCCTCAGGGACCCCCTCCCGCCCGGCTCTGGAAAGGGGAAAAGGGTTTAAACTTACCTTTTTCCAGCGCTGGGCAGGGAGCTCTCCTCCTCCAATCCTCCTCTTCTCCTCCCCGTCGGCTGAATGCGCACGCGCGGCAAGAGCTGCGCGCGCATTCAGCCGGTCTCATAGGAAAGCATTTACAATGCTTTCCTATGGACGCTTGCGTGCTCTCACTGTGAAAATCACAGTGAGAAGCACGCAAGCGCCTCTAGTGGCTGTCAATGAGACAGCCACTAGAGGATTAGGGGGAAGGCTTAACCCATTCATAAACATAGCAGTTTCTCTGAAACTGCTATGTTTATGAAAAAATGGGTTAACCCTAGCTGGACCTGGCACCCAGACCACTTCATTAAGCTGAAGTGGTCTGGGTGCCTAGAGTGGTCCTTTAATATGGCCAGGTTGCATTAACCTAGGCTTATTGGTAAACCTGGGTGGAAATCACTGTTTTTATCATAGCAAAGAACTACTCGCTTTTCAAACAAAAACTTATTTGCTTTTGTTTTGCAAAGGGTTTTATTTCCTCTTTTGCAAATGGTGCGATTTCGTTCTGGCTTTGAAAGAGGTCTCTCCAACACATGAGGCCTGTCCAAGTTGCGCTGTAGGAACTTTAAAGAAAGGCACTTTTTTCCGCAAATATAATTCCTTTGTAGAGGTAAAAAGGCCAACTTGAAAAAGCTCACAACAAACTACAAATAAAAAAAGTCTGGTTACAAGCAAGATGGACAAATGTAACGTGTCAAGCTATATAACATGACCTTCAAACAAAATGTACTGGGTCAAACCCAGTTAGAAGATTGGAGAAAAAAACTAAACAACAACCCAAGGAAAAAAAGGTAAGAATGAAAGGGGAATCCACAAGGAAGTCCTCGATTCCGTTCCTGAAACAGTATAGGCTGGTTCGTCCACCGATACCTTGTATAGATGATTAGAGAGGAATTTTAAAGTTGAACCATAAACTGTTCAGTGTCTCTCGCTTTCTTACAGCCTTCTACTACTTTTTGAAAATAATGTTTTGCTTTTTTAATTTAAAAAAAAAAAAAAGCATTTCTAAGGTAATGCATCAAGTGAATGAGGTCACTTCAAGCACAGAGTGTCCCTATTAATGGAGTACTGTTACACTCAGCAGTTTAATGTCCCATGTTGTACCTAGATGTTCCCATTAGAACCAATTGCGTATACAAAGGATATTGAATGTTCTTTTGTGTAGCTATGTCGTTCCCCTTTAAAGTAATGGTAAATGCCAACTAATCTAAAGATATGTAGGTTTCTCTGATCTCTGGCAGGCTAAGCTGTAAATTGCATTGTAATTACGCCTGACACGGCCTTGTAATAAGTTGAAGTAAATTATATGATTTTTATTAAACTGTATCACCTTCTCTTGGCAGTTAGTTCAGAGACTGGCTTAAGCCTGCTGTAATCACGTCTCTGATCCAACCTACAATTCCAAACAGAATGATTTAAAAATTGGCTTGAAATCAAGCTAAAAATTCCAATCAACGTTCCAGAAGATGGAGTAAAATATAATTGTAATTTAGGTTGGAAAAAATTGCCCCCTTGAAAATTCTTATCAAGTTCAACCTTTCACACGAGACAAAATCTCACCTCTTTTATTGACATAAGATTGTGCTAAATAAAGCAGAATAATTAGTAATTCACTACAAAATGACAATTTGATTTTACTTTCTTTTTATTCCTCACGTTCTTATCAGCAGACCTCAAATATTGTCTACATTAATTATGTTTACATACATATATATATATATATATATATATATTTATTTATTATTTCCTAAACAAAAAATCTTGGCAACATTTAAAGCCATGTATTGATACGGACTCTAGATAGTGAATTATGGTGCCTTATTGTTCTATATGTCAAAACAAAACATTTCTACTATAACTGAAATCTTCCTTTGTTGGTGGGGTACGTCTTGTCTGTAGCATTGTCATGTTACTGAACAGGTCACCAGAGACTTGATTTTACTCTTTAGTATTTGTGGCATATTATTATATTCTCTCTTATACACCTTTTTTTTTCTAGGAGTAAATAATTAAAATGTTAACTAGCTTAGACTGTAAGCTTATTTGAACTGTAAGGACTTTCCTTGTTATGTCTGTCAAATCTGTCAATATTATTATTTTTTTGACAATTACTTATTGTTAAATATCCCCATCATATAATTGTAAAGCTCAGTGGGAAATGTTGATGCTATATAAATATTAATAATAGTTATAATAACCATGACAAATATTATCAATAGTTATAATAACCATGAACCACCAATACTTGTATTCATTTTGTAGCTCTCCTCTGTACTTTGTCAATTCCCACAATCTTTATGAGAATTCATGCCTGATCTTGCCCTGCACATTGAAATGGAATCTTTACTCTTGATTTACAAATGAGTGCAATTACATTGTTTTCATGCGTTTACATTTTTTTTAAATAATATATATTGTGTATGTCAATAATATGACATGTAGGCCATTGTAGCTACACATGGTTTACAAATCTGTCTGCAAATGTTCCTAAATCCTTTTCATTTTGTCGATTATTTTTTTTTTCTAGCTCATTTAGAGTTAAAGTTGTATGTTTGTTTTTGCTTCCAAAAATGCATAACCTTGTATTTGTTTATATTGATATCATCTGCCATTGTCTGTCCTGTTCTCATCCTCTTTCTCAAAGTAAAGCAACATATATCCATATTGCTCTGACGTCACTTAAATTACAGTTATCGGAGACACCTTGGCATGGCTATTTTTGAACAAAAACATTTCTGAATGATCATGTTAATAACAAACCCTTACTATCAAGTTAACATTAACTCCTTTGAACAAATACAAATGAGCACAGATATAATTTCTATATTAAAATGCAATATTGGAAAGTAATGTTTTATACCTACTTGGATCTCTTCAGACGTATTAAGACATGCTTCCCAACATTGGGAGGCATAAATGTGGGATGGAGGTTGGTGCAGCAAGTAGAGGGCATATCAGCGATACTGTGAACCAAGTCAAGGTATACCTTGACCAGAATGTTGCTAAAGTGCTCTCATATGGGCAAGATTTCCTCAGTTCAGTTTGTACATCATTATTGTACACATTTTCTGTCGTCCCACTTCTGGAGACACAAGAGAACAAACGCAGGATGACAGGAAAAGTATGTCAGAACTGTCCCACTGAATCTAGGATTGTTGGGAGGTATCTTATTAGTCAGACACTATTACTTTGCTCCCTAAAGTTTCCCAATTGCTTAAATGACAAATCAAGATTTCAAAAAAATAAGAGGTCCATATATGAAAATGATTCTGCATATACTTATTTTTTATATTATTTAAATCGTGGTGTGTTTTTATTTTATTTTTTTAATACAGCTCGAGGCAGAAAAACTGCAACTGCAAAATTTAGAGCAGGAACACAAGAAACTATTGGCTCGTCTTGAGGAAGAACGAACTAAAAATAAACATGTGGTCCTTATCCTGGTTAAAGAATGCAAACTATTGTCCGGCAAAATAGCAGAAGAAGCTCAGAATCTAGATGAAGCAATGTCAAAATTAGAGGCAGAAAAAAAGAAGGGCGTCGAACTGGAAGAAGCCCTCGCTGCTGAAAAACAGCGCCTGTCACAAATGGAAGCACAGATGGGGGCTCAAATTGAAAAACAACTTTCAGAGTTTGACACGGAGAGAGAACATCTTCGTGCCAAATTTTCTCGAGAAGAAGTGCATACGAAAGAGCTACAAGATGAAATAGACAGACTGAAGAAAACAATAGAGCAACTGAAGTTGTCCAAAGAAAATGAAAGTAAAGCAAACCTCCCTTTTCTTCATAAAAACAAAGATAGGTACCCGGTTTCTGTAGGTACAGGATCTCGTTCTGTTTCGTGTCAGACGAATTTATTACTTCTTGATAGTGACTCTGAAATTAGTAAAAAGTCTCCCTTGGCTATACCAACCAAACCTTCAGTAATTAATCATGTCATAGCTGGCAACACAAAAATTAATGTATGCACAAATTCAGCGTTTGTAAAGCCAGGTTCAGACAGACAAAACATCCACAATGAATCAGTCAGTCTTCCTACAACTCATGGAGTATCTCCAAGTTGCACCAGGACAGAAGAAAATGGATCATCATCATCAGATGGAACGAGCAATACCTTGCTCTACCCAAATAACTCATACTGTGCCTCCCCAGCATCGCCAAGTTATCTCTCCCAATCTATGCAGAGCTTGCACACACAATGTCCAAATACACCCATAAATTCAGGTCTAAGTCCCCGTATCCAGGCTGCCAAATTCAAATTTCAGGCCAACGCCAACGAACATGATCAAAATGGAAACACCACACAAATGTCTCAGATAAAAGCATTATCGCCGAACCCCCGTGAGAATTTGGCAGCGAAGCAGATGGCAAGAAATACCGTAACCCAAGTGCTTTCAAGATTTACAAATCCTCCGGGCACTGCACAATTGAGGCCTGGTTACCCACACCCTATGGAAACCGGTACCTATCCTCCAGTGGCTGGGCGCTTAGGCCATCCATCCCATGCGTTGAAATCGACTTCCGTGTCACGAGTTGACAGAGGCAACCCTCCACCCATCCCTCCTAAGAAGCCAGGGCTCTCACAAACTCCGGCTGCATCACATCCTCAACTAAAGGCACCACCAAATGTAGGGGGAAAAATTGAGAACAAACCCATAACTTCTGCTCCTTCCAGTACAACACATGGAATCAGGGTATTGCATGAGGAATCTGTATCTAAGTCCTCTTCACCTCAGCTGCCACCAAAACCATCTATAGAGGTACCTGTGGCACCTGCGGACTGTGTCATACCAGCCATAGGCACATCACAGGTGGGTGCTTGGCCTCCCCAGTCCCCTGGATGGAAGGAACCTGCATGTTCAGAAAGTTCCCTTGTCATTCCCTCAACCATTGCCTGTACCTCCTCCATAATCCCTGTTAGTGCCTCATCCTGTAGACCATGTGATTCAGACAGCCTCCTGGTAACAGCATCAGGTAATGGGATATATCAAATTTACAGTGTTTTCTTTAGAAAATGTATCCCTTTCTAAGTTCTTACGCTTACCTTTCATTCCTTAAGAAAAACCTTTAAATTGCACATTTTGTTTGTCCCTCCTTCTTTCTCACATGGGGTATGATAATCTGATTTTGTTCCGATCTTAAATGTCACATGTACTCTTCCATTTTCTTCCCTCCCCCCCCCCCCAAAAAAGTTGGTAAATATAATTTTGAAAAAAATTGTGCATGTGCAAACAATCTGGCTTCAAATCGAAACTGGAATTCTAGAATTCCAGATATTCTGCTAGATACAAATGTTAAGCCATTATAAATGATCAGAACGATAAAGATTTCCTGTTAGTGTGGTTAGTCAAAGTTTGGCATTTTAAGGAAGATGTTGCTGCTTTTTGTAAGCCCCCTTTCAATATGAAATGTATGTAACATTGGTGCATATTAAAATTTAATTTTAGATTTGATAGCACCCGGCTGGATTACAGACACTGTGTCCTGTGACTGGTTTATCCACCATCAGTTATGCAGTATATGCAATGTTTAATCAATATTAAACACAGGACATATACATGTTAAACATGCTATTTCTACATAGGACATACACGTGTTCTATGCAGGGTTATACGGAACCGTGCATAAAGATATAAGCTTATGATTGGGTTTTCTTGTTTGCATTTTTTATTCTCAACTTTCACTGGAAATTAAGGAGATAGTCATCCAAAAAATAGTCCCATTAAAGGGTGTAGGTTTTTATACCGTTGTCGTTCTTCCCTTAAAAGTATACGGCGAGGTTGTGGGATTAGCCTGGATTCCAGTGTCCCGATTTGACACGCTTTGTTCTATTGAGTTATACGTCCTTGATCCTAGTGGCATGGCATTGCAGCTTTTGGTAAAGCGTCTAAGGGCTCTCAAATAATGTTTTGACTTTGATCATCTGAGCTGTAGAAAATCTTCACTTGCTTGGACTAAAGCTGCCTTTCTTTTTGTTTCTAGATATGCCATTTTCCATCAAACAGTCTTGGCTTACTGTGCTCTGCACTTGTACATGCAGTTTTGAAAAAAGCAGAACATTCTGCCAATTAGGAGGCCCAGCTTCACATAAAAGTTTCAAGAGTTTGCCTTGATATAAGTTAGGTCAGTAACTGAACCACTTTTATAATGTAATGCTGCCAAAATTGGTTTTTAAAACGAGACTGTACGGAGCCTCTTGTCTTAATTCTTAATATTTCTGCCTTTTGTTCTTTGTTTGTGTAGACTTATGGTTTATGTCACACCACCAAAAAAACATATTATACAAAATTATTTTAGTATTCTAAATTAGAGTGTCTTAAGTTAGGCAGTGCACCTATCAGACGAGGGATGATTCGTTAACTTTTTAATTTTTTATTATTATTGTATTTTTCGCTTGATCACAGGAAAGTCTGCAATGTACTGTTTAAATTCCGGATGGCAGAAGCAAATTGCATTTATAACTACAGGGTAGAAAATAATTTTAAAAAAGTGATTATTTTTTTTAATATAGTTTGCTTTCAAAGTGCTCATTTTTATTTAGCGCATGATGCTTTTTTGAGTTCTTGGTTAATTTTAAGCTCATAGATTTTCATACCCCATGACACCTTTTTATATTAAACTGCAATTATTTTCTTCAAATCTTGACAATGCTCTCTTCATTTCACATTAACGTGGAGTCATTTGTTCTCTGGATGTGATTTGGCTTGGAAGAGGGGTAAAAAAAAAAAAAAAGATTGAAGTATTGATCTTGGCTCTCAAATTAACCATCACCACATTCTGAATCTGGTGCCAGAAGCTGTTTAATTTCCTTGTACCCTCGTTCATTACTGCATGATATCCAGGCTTTTGCAGTTGCTATTCTATTTGGCTTTTTTTGTATTAAACATTCTTTCTTTTGCTTCTTAAATGAGTTGCCACATTCTTGCCCTGTAATTTGGCACATTATTATGTTGGAAGCTCTTTCTATCGGGTAAGCTTTGTAATCATTTTCCTTTTTCTGTTTTGCATTCTGTTTTTATATTCAGATTCTGTTTGCATTCTATATACATTTGCTATTTATGTTAGACGATTGGAAATCAATTGTATAGAGCAATCACTGCGACAGACCATAAATCAAGATAACATCTAGTGAATCGAACACGGTTGTTGTGTATGAATTACTTTCTGTGTAGAATGCTATATATATATATATATTTTATTTATTATATTTCTTAAGGACCCCAGAGTCTTTTGACATAATTGTTTTAATTTTTAAATTCTATTTAATTACAATGAAGTTTGTCTAGTATTAAATATCGCTGTAAACCATTCGAAATGTTAATAAAATTATATACATTTTCTCTTGCAGTATTTTGAAAGTTGCAGAATTTTCCAATTGTTCTCCTGTTGGTTTCACAAACTTCACAGAATTAACAAGATCTCTATTAAGTTGCTTCTTAATAGTTAAATAAATAATCTAAAAAGAGTTAACATTTTATTCAGATTCCCCACTAGTCCGCCAGTCCTGTGTCGTGTTTACCCCAGTTTAACCTGCTGTGTATGTACTGAGGTTTAAACTATTAAAATGAACCTGTCATTTAGAATATTTAAAGACATAGATTATAAAGCACTATTATTTGGTAGAATAAAAATCAATTCTTTATTTTTAAATTTTTTTGTCAAAGGCAACAATTTACATAAAATATAGTCTGGTTATCTACATTCCAAGAAGCTGGATGCTGTTGGGAGGGAGGTAAAGGGGACGGGATAGTGATGTGACTGCATTGCTGGCTCTGCCCAAAAAGGATAGACTTACAAATTACTGGCAGGTCAGCCTTGCGTTTGGGCAGGCCAGGCTGCCTGCCAATAAAGCTGTTTCACTGCTTCCTGCAGTGTTCGTGTGCCCTAAATTCAGCGCAAGCGCGTCTGATGCCCTTGCGCAACACTGTTTGGGGAAAAAAGTCAAGAGGTGGGACAGGACCCAAAAACCAGGACTGTCCTGCCTAAATCTGTGCAATTCCTATTGCATTATTACTGCCCTAGAATATTTTTTTTGATTAGTTGTCACCACACTTGGGGACTTCTATATTGGAGATTATATAAAGACTTCAGTTTTTCCATTTTAAGTGGTAAATCTATTGGCGTCAAAGGGGCTTTCCAGGTATAATGACCAGTGCATGTTAATGGAGTGACTATGGTACAAGTAGCCTGACACTGAAAATGTTTGCGCTTTATCTAGTGCCAGAGCCCCACCCATCTACCACTGATGGCTTAAGGAGAAGTTTAGCTTCCTTCTTGAGCCATACAAATATTTGTATTGCTTGAGAAAGCTTGACAGTTTCCTTCACTTACAGCAAAATCCTCTGCCCCAAACAAGGCTCATTTTATTTTTTAATTTTAATACCAGTTCTATATAGGCAACATAGTAACATTTCTTACGAAGAATCTAGTTATCATAGGAACAACTCCTGTTAGGGCATAAACTTATGTTTTGTTATTTAACACCATTTTTATTCATCTGTTGCTTTAACTCACAGGCTGGTGTCCCTCCCTAACTGCTTTGCTAACAAGCGGTGGTCCTGTTCCCCTGGGAGACTTGACCACCCATCTTCACCATGCTGCTGCCCAGGGAAATGTCACTTTATTGTCAATGCTGCTTAACGAAGAAGAACTGGATTTAAATCATTTATGTAAAGATGGCCTTTCTACCTTGTATTTTGCTGCTGCAAACGGACACTCAGGTGAGATGCTAGTTCGCAACAACCTTTTTGCTCACTTACAGGGATAGTCACTGAAGTGAGAATGTCAGGAATTCAAACTGAATTTCAAATTTAAGGTCAAAAAGCCTGGTTGGAAGTTCAGCTACTTTGGTCTTAGATTTGAAATTCACTAAAGCAAATGTCATTAGTATTATGGAATACAATTAAAAATGTTACTAAATCCTTCAATGTTTTTCCTTAAAAATGTACTTGCCATCCACAAATCGCGTGTACTACAAATTCTCTTTCGACTGCAAATGTTTCGATTACAATATATTCTTAAAGGACCACTATAGGCACCCAGACCACTTCAGCTCAATGAAGTGGTCTGGGTGCAAGGTCCCTCTAGTTTTACCCTGCAGCTGAAAACACAGCAGTTTCAGAGAAACTGCTATGTGTACACTGCAGGTTTAATCCAGCCTCTGGTGGCTGTCTCCCTGACAGCCACTAGAGGCCACTTCCACGATTTACACGGAGTAAATAGCACTTATTTGACGCTTGACGTCCTCACGGAGTCCAGTGTCAAAAAGATCAGTAATGCAGTTTTGAATGTGTGCACACCTCTGGCCGCGCGTGCTCATTCGGTTCCACTCGGGAGCTGACGTCGATGGTGGAGGAGAGGTCACCAGTGCCGAGGGAGCCCGGCACTGGATTAAGGTAAGCAAATAAATGGTTAATTAACCATTTATTTGCAGCGGAACGAGGCCCTAGTCACCTAAACGATGACTAGGGCTCTATAGCGTTAGGAAAACTTATTTGTATTCCTTACGCTATAGTGTTCCTTTAACCTGGCAAGTTGCTTACTCTTCCTGTAAAGTACTATATATATTTTTGTGCATCTAGCCAGCGCTAGAATGGAGGCTGTGGGATTCATTTAGATTAATTGACGCTAATGTAATTGAAAAATATGCACAGCCACAACTTTCCTTGATTATAACATATACCTGTTATTGTCTGCATTTAAAACTTCTACAATGTACCCTTTTAAAGGTTTTTTTTTTTTTTATGTTTAAATATAATTTTTCATGATTTCTCGCTTTTGCCTCTTTTTGTTTAATTTGTAGACTGTGTTAAGATGCTGCTGACGTCAGGAGCACATGTCGATGCTACTGTATCAAACGGCTTTACGGCCTTATGTACGGCAGCTGCTCAGGGACATTACAAGTAAGTAACATCCTTCTGGATGTACCGGGAAGGTTTCCGATCCTCCTGTTAATCTTTTATTGAGAGTAGATCTAGGATTTTATATTGGCTTCACCTTGTTAAACTCGTCCTCATAAAAATGCAGAGGGAATGGGGACAGTGCTGATGGTGAAATTGTTGCAAAATCCTTTAAGGTTATTTGGTAACGTGAGAATTGCTAGGAATTCAAAGAGAATTTTCAGCTCAAAATAGATGAATTCGGAAATCTCTCCAATTCAGTTCAGTTTTAAGTTTGACTGTTTTCGCCCTGAATGTAAAATTCACTTTGAATTTTCCGCAATTCTCACTATAGTGAATAACACTGATTGTTTTAAATTTTATACATGCTTTTTGATCCACCTTCAAACAAAAAAACCCAATTAAAATTAATTTATTGCAAATCAGAGCTAGTTTGGTTGTTCCCCCAATCCTGGTCCTCCCATGAAGTGAGTGTTGTGCATAGCATACACAGGCAGGGGTTTAGGGAAGTCTTAGTTCAGCTATCACAAAACAACTCCATTAATGAAAATCCATGAATGAAGATGCTGAGCATGGAACTAGCTGCTAAGCAGGTTTTATTAATTTGAACAGTTTGATTGTTGTTTTACTGAATGTGCATGAACCCTCCACATGATGATGTACATATGTTATGCAAGATCGTTTTTTTGGGCTTAAATGTAAAGCAATGTTAGTAAATTGCGGCCGCTTTAATGAGTAGGGTGTAGAAAGATGGGGGAAGTGAGCTTATTGCAATATCAGCTGAATGAACATTACAGTATACAGTGTGATGATCAGTGTGTCCCTATAATAATAATAATTTAATAAACACATTGCATTTCTATGTGTCCTTCGTACAGATGTGCAGAGATTTTAATTGCATTTAATGCTGACATCAATCATGTTGGTGGAGGACAGACCCCTTTATATCTGGCTTGCCAGAACGGAAATTCAGAAATTGTTAAACTTTTGCTGGAAGCTGGAGCTGATCGAAGTATTGTAACAAAAGTGAGTAAAGATTGTTAAATCATATCCGATGGCTGATTTTTACTATCCGATGGTGATCTTGGCAATAAAAATGTGTTTTCTATAGTGCTAATTATAGACCTCTATCTAGCTATCTGTTACAGATAGATAAAACCTTCTGGTATGTGTTGACATGGTGTCTGCACTTGAAATTTAAGTTGAAATTCTGCTACATCATTCAGAGGGATGCTTTTTTTTCTTTATAGCATCAAACATTCCAAACTACATAAGAGAGATTTGTTCTCCTCCTCATCCTCCCCAAGAACTAGGTGGCTTAAATGGACACTGTAGGCACCCAGACCACTTCAGCTAATTGAAGTGGTCTAGGTACTGTGACCCTTTTGCACTTAGTGCTGCAATTTAAAACATTGCATTTGCCACTGGGTGCACTTCCGGAATCGACGTTTGGTCCGTTATCTGATGCTGGACGTCCTCACGGACCTCCAGCATCAGATTTTCCCCATAGGGACTTAGGCGCTGGATTCAGGTAAGTGGCTGAAGGTGTTTTAACCCCTTCAGCCCCACAGGAATGGGACCACTCGGGGAAGGGGGGGGGGCGGCAGGGGCAGGGCTATTAACCCTATAGTGCCAGGAAAACGGCTTTGTGAGAAACCTGTTATAAGAAAATCAATTTACCTTATAGGAACACTATAGGATCAGGAACACAAACATGTATTCCTAACTCTATAGTATTAAAATCACCATCTAGCCCCCCTTGCCCCTCTTACAACTAAGATTTTGCTATATTTAGGGGGGTATTTGTCTGCAGTTGCTGCCTCTGCCCCTGATCCACCTGCTTGGCTGACATCATTAGAAGTGATTCTCTGAGCCAATCACAATGCTTTCACATAGGATTGGCTGATACTGTCAAGGATCACCTTCTAGAATCAATGCATCTATATGAGGAAAGTTCAGTGTCTAGCATTCAGTGTCTCCACCCTCTGCATGCAGTCACACTGTGCAGCACTGCCCCAGTAAGCACCTCTAGCAGCCATCTGAGGAGTGACCAGTGAAGTTATCACTAGGCTGTAATGTAAACACTGCATTTTCTCTGAAAAGACAGTGTTTACAGCAAAAAGCCTGAAGGTAATGATTCTACTCACCAGAACAAATGCAATAAGCTGTAGTCTTTCTGGTGACTATAATGTCCCTTTAACCCCTTAATGACACATGACATGTGTGACATGTTATGATTCCCTTTTATTCCAGAAGTTTGGTCCTTAAGGGGTTAAATTGCTGCCATACACATTGAATACACCATGTATCATACAGATCTCTGGTGTATTCTTTCCTCCGTTACAGCCCGCTTCCGAAGTCTTCTTTGATTTGCCCTGCTTGGGACACATCCCCAAGCAGAACAGAATTCGAAAGTGGCGTCGACACGCTGGCTTTAATGTCAGTGTGCCTGCGTCTGAATGTAGTCACACCAGCCATTCTTATACTCCCTAGCCAGCGCTAGAAGCTGTAGTTGCTATGGGATTAGAGCAGAGGGACCTCATGTGGGAGATCTTTTCTGCTCTCCCTTGTCAGTCAATGCAGAGGCATTGACTGACCGCAGTGAGGAAACCCTATATTTAACCTATGTTGGTGTACATTTATATGAAAATGTATATATACATCTATATATGCATTTTGGTTTGGTACATCCACATATTCTACAATGACATCGTCACCTTGGACACTACAAAAAAAGATAGAAAATACAAATAATTGTATTGGATTCTAACCCATTCAGAAGATATACATGAGACAAACAAGGTCATCATATCTTGTCATTTGACCTGTGGCATCTCATTGCGCATGTATGACATTATCATGGGCCAACTTCCTCCTGTAAGTAGACATGACAAGTAAATTTTGGTGGGTCTTCACAAAAAATGAGACCTCCCCACCTCAAGTGATATATGCTTATTGATGAATAATAATACGTTTAAGCTTATTATGCTCAATTTGCATCACAGAGTGCACATTATGGAGCCTTACAGACTGTTTGTAGCCTTCTTTCCAGCATAAATTATTAAACTTCTATTTTTTTATTTTTCCCTTTTAGGATGGCCGAACAGCAATCCACGCGACTGTAGAAATCGGAAACGTTGACTGTCTAAAACTTCTTATGTATTTTGGGGTCTCTATTAATGGAGACCGCATAAATTCCGAGGAATCCAATGGGAACATTAATGAGCTGAATGAAAAAGAGAGCTTATTGTTACAAAAAGAAAAATCCATCGCTTTTTCTTCCCTGCTGAATGCTTCAGACAGAGAGGGATGGACAGCTGCGCACATTGCGGCATCGAAAGGCTTTAAGGTACAGATTGCGCAACAATTTCAATGTCTAATGGTGGGCCTATACCACTAAGCCTATCTGCTTCGTAGTTTAATTCAATTAACCCCTTCAGGGCCAGTAATCGTCTTGAACAGTCACAATAACTCATTTAATTAACCATGTCCATCATGGGGTTAATTATCCGGAACCATTTACGCACAGAGACAATGAACACCGTTTATTGAATATTTTCACTCTGTGTTTAAACTCAGTTTTAGTTCATTTTCTTTTTCAATCTTTTTACAATTTCAGAATTGTAGTTTTTTTGTTGTCTTTGTACAAGTGATATTTTTGCTTATCCCTTTACTCTCAAGTCATAGAAACATAGAATGTGACGGCAGATAAGAACCATTCGGCCCATCTAGTCTGCCCAATTTTCTAAATACTTTCATTAATCCCTAGTCTTATCTTATAGTTAAGCTAGCTTATGCCTATCCCACGCATGCTTAAACTCCTTTACTGTGTTAGGAGTCCTCATTAACACATATTAATGGTGGATCACGTCTTCACTTTAATAATAGATGCTTCATGCAGATAGTTGTCCCAAGTGTTCGAGAAATAGACAATACGCAACCCGGGCTATTTATAAATAACAATTCTGGGCCAAAGTTCTAAAGAGAGAGCTGTCACCATGGAAACCAACGTAATTTCCAGCTTGGAATCTAATACCAGCTGCATTACGGTGGATGTAGATGGTGTACAGTTCCAGTGTTGTGAGGATTCCAGATAAATGAAATACTTAAAGGCATACTAAAGGCACCAAAACAACTTTAATAGGGGCTGCTGTGAGGGGTGGGTGGGGGGGGGTAATAGGAGCTTTGGTAAAGGGAGATGGATGGGATATGTAGCAGTAGTGAGGGGATAATTTAGTAATAAAAAAAACATTAAAGAGTGCCCGACCCTTGGCCCGACCGTCCGGTCTGGTGGGAGATCAACTTGACTGCACCCACTAGGGGTGCTCCATCCGGCCAGTGCTGTGAAATGCATAAGAGCGTTGCTGAGCTAATGCCCGGAAACATTCTAATACAGTGGGGGGAGGGAGAAAAAGTCCTCCTTCTTCTCGCACAGCATCCGAGCTGCCTGGGCGGTGAGGGAGATCTTTGATTTCCCCACCGGCCATGAAAATTGGCGGGACGGCACACATTGGTCATGGTACAATCCCATGCCACCCTATAGCGACACCTATGGTTTAAACATTAAATCTCTCTATACAGTAAATATGTGTAAGTTACATGCAGGAGGGTGTGACTAGGGCTGTATAAATAAAGTGATTTAACTCCTAAATGGCAGAGCATTGAGCAGTGAGACTGCAGGGTATTGATCTATACACCAAAACTGCTTCATTAAGCTAAAGTTGTTTTGGTGACTATAGTGTCCCATTAAAGTAAACAATGTTGCCATCCAAGTTTGCCATCTTATCGGCAAATAAAGGATCAAAGGGAAGCATGGTCTACTTAATATGTGAAAGTCACCCTTCCTTTTCTCCCCATAACACCAACCTACTGGAAGCCATAAGACTTGGAAGCCACTTTGGTCGGTAAATAGTTAATCATTCTGGATGATTTCAGACACGTGAATCGATTTCCACAACTCTGTTCCTTATTTTCTAGTTGGCTGAATATGCTGATGTTTTCTCTTTAAGAGGTATTATTACAATAATAACCACATCCCGCCCTGGGGGGTCTACACTTTAATTTTGTTTCTATTGTTCTCTGATGACTTTTCTCTCAGTGGGAGAATTAGTCACGCTCCCCAGAAATATTTATCAATTAAACTGTCCTGTGGCATCACTAATGCTTTTGAGACAGTGCTTCTTCAGGTCTGAACGTCTTGCTATTATGTATCTGTGCTAATGTCTTCTTCATTTTGCCCTACATTTGCTTGTAGGCAAGTCACTTAAAGTTCAGTTAGCATGAGCTTCGGGATTACCACCAACTTCGCTTATGGCTGGAGGCAACAAGCACAATGCAGTTCATCACTTTTGTTGTCCTGGGCTGGAGGATTGGAACATTACTGTTTATTTACCACCATATTCAGAGAAAATCTAGATTACTCAGACTCCTGTAGTATGCTATAGACCAGGGGTAGGCAACCTTTGCAACTCCAGCTTTTGTGGACTACATCTCCTATGATGCTCTTCCACCCTTCTCGTCACAATGCTGGCAAAGCATCAAGGGAATTGTAGTTCACAACATCTGGAGTGACAAACGTTGCCTACCCCTTGTATAGCATATGTAATGTGTTGGTGATTCACATGACCATGCACAAGTAGTGGCTCTAGTGTAAGGCCACGTTTTTGTTTTGTGTTTTTTATGGCTCTTCGGGTTTTTGTTATCTTTTAGAAGGCAATGTTTATAATTTTTTTTTCTACCTTGTTATCACTGCAGCAAGAATTTAAAAATGTTTGTTTTTTTTGTTTTTTGCTTCTTATTTTTCATCATATTTTTTTTGTTTGCAAAAAATGTATCGATGTACGTAGAATGCAATAAACCGTAGCCGACAACAAAGGTTACAAAGGAAACCTATAAAAAGTCCAAGGGTCGGGCACGCAAAAGTTATTTACAGAAGATTATGGAAGGTTTACCCCCGGAAATTCGATCAGATCAAGCGGTTATTATAGTATTGCATACTCTGCGTGATGACTAATGGACAAAAATGCTTTGGGTGAGGGAGGAATGATCAAAAGGAAGGATTCGGGACGGACCAAATCAGAAAAATAAAAAAGGTAAAGGTAGGGATTTCTAAAGGAGGTTGAGGTAAAAAGAAAGAAAGACAATAGTTGTACAGCGCTGTGGTATATGTCGTATAAATAAACAATAATGATAATTATTAAATAATTGGTAGAAATGAAATCTGTAGAGGTTCAGGAGACATGAGGATTCATGATAGTATTCTAAATTTAAATGGAGTAACTGATGTCAAATAAATAAGTTATCATATTTGCTATAATTGAATATTTGATAAATATTTCATTTAAGAAAACAATCCAGGTGTGCACCGCCTGAAGAAATTCATTCCTTGCGTCTGTGAGGGTTATGCAAAAATGTATTTTTGCTATAGCATATTAGCGTTAAGTGCAAATGTTAAAAGAAATTTATATATATTTATATATATATTTTTTTCTGCCGAATTGCTTTGTCATCAGCCACAGATGGTGGTTGATGGTGGAGGTGGGTACCATGTTTTTGTCTTGTTTTGCATAGTCCCAGGGTATAAATTAGGCAATCTGTCTTTTATAAGTCAATTACATTTTAACACATTTTGTAGGCAGTTATTCATAAAGTTTTCTACATACGCTGAACAAAATGTATCAGCTTTAAAGTCATGTAGAATCGGGTTCAGAGGTCCCTATTAAATCTCAGTGCTGATCGACTAGGAGAGTATAGTGATGCCATTCGATTCGATTCTCTTAGTGGACTGTGGTCACAGAACCAAAATGACACTTAACTTTATTTTCTAAAAGTTACAGTTCTGTCAACAAAAACAAGTTAATTATCATTATTACCATTGGTTTAAATGCTCTTAACCCCTTAAGGACACATGACATGTGTGACATGTCATGATTCCCTTTTATTCCAGAAGTTTGGTCCTTAAGGGGTTAAAACGGAATTCTTCATAACTACTACATTTCCTACAATTCACGGCCAGACGAACACCCGTCTGAGCAGCCTGGGAAATATAGTCTAAATAATGTCTTGGGTCGCAAAGTTGACCATCTTGGCCCTAAATGGAAATATTATCTTACTATATGTACGAAACATTGCAAATTGAAACAGGATATGATTGGCACGGATGAAAGCGGATGCTCTGCCTTGCACCATTCCTGCCATGATTGCACTGATACATTTGAAGTTATGTCTGAGTTTTCTGGGGCCTGGGGATATTTTGTTACAGAATGTTACTGCGTGGGGTTTGCATGAATAATAAATGGATTCTGCTTCTAGAGTGGAATCTCCAGGTTTTTGAGCCGCAGGCAAAGATATAATAAAACGCATCAAAGTACCCACTGCACGTCATGTGAAGAAGCCTTTTAATTACCAGCCTTATCTCCTACAGAGATATGTTCTGTTTTATCATTATGCAATGTTTTGCATGTGCAAAAACATAAAAAAAAAGTATTTTCTTTCTTAAAAATAAAAATAGAAACTACAATTCTAAGAATGTGAACTTGAGTGTGTGAGCGTATAATGTGAGTGCGTGTCTAACTCTACACATATATAAACCAAGGTTATTTTTATTGTATCAAGAACATCCCAGTGAATGTGTCTTCGAAAAATCTTCTAACAGCTTTTAAAAGAAGCATTTTTTCTATCTATATCAATGTATGGACATTTTATAGACATTTACGGTTTTATGGAATGTTGCGATCAATGTATGTAGAACTCTTATGGAATCTAGCGATCAATCTATGTAGAACTCTTAAGGAATGTAGCGATCAATGTATGTAGAACTCTTAAGGAATGTAGCGATCAATGTATGTAGAACTCTTAAGGAATGTAGCGATTAATGTATGTAGAACTCTTATGGAATGTAGCGGTCAATGTATGTAGAACTCTTTTATGGAATGTAGCGATCTATGTATGTAGAACTCTTAAGGAATGTAGCGATCTATGTATGTAGAACTCTTAAGGAATGTAGCGATCAGTGGATGTAGAACTCTTATGGAATGTAGCGATCAATGGATGTAGGACTCTTATGGAATGTAGCGATCAATGGATGTAGGACTCTTATGGAATGTAGCGATCAGTGGATGTAGAACTCTGCTCTATTCCTTATGTCAAGGGTAGGCACCAGATGTTGTGGAATGCATCTCCCCTGACGTTTTGCCTTCATTATAGCTGTAAGAGCATTATGGGGGATGTAGTCCACAACAGCTGGAGTGCTTTACAATGCATGAGGACATCAAACATCAAAAAAGTCCAACTCGGTTATGAATGCTGTCAGGGTAACAGTCACTGGATGTATCTGTGAAAGGGGAGCCAAACAATAGGGATACTGCATAGATAAGTGTATAGCTCATACCTCTGAAGTCTTACTGCTCAATTCTCTGCCATTTATGAGTTAAATCACTTTTCTTCCTGGCCATACAGCACCAGACATGCCTCCCCTGGCTGTGACTGACACAGCCTGCCCGGAATAAAAATGGTTTCATTTTCAATCACATGTTAACTTGCTTTATACGTTTATCTCTTGCTCTGTAAACTAATCACACATAGAAGACTCCTGCAAGATAGAAGAAATTCCAAATTAAACAATGTGCAATGAAGGAAGTTTAAACATTAGATATTTCTTTACAGGAAGAGTTTGGGAAGGGTGTGCTCATTACATGCAGGGAGGTGTGACTAGAGCTGTATATACAAAGTTATTTAACTCCTAAATGGCAGATAATTGAGCAGTGAGACTGCAGGGGCATGATCTATACACCAAAACTGCTTCATTAGGCTATAGCTGTTTTGGTGACTATAGTGTCCCTTTAAAATAAAGTCGTCCCGGTGCTTACAGAGTCGTTTTAAGCCCAGAAACAACATTGACTTTGCCAGGGACAATGTGCATCAATAGAGTTCTGTATAATGTAATATGCGCTCGATGTTTTAGTGGTTAATCTCCCTGATCTTTCTAATCTATTCTTTCCAGAACTGCTTGGAAATATTGTGCAACCATTTTGGCTTTGAGCCAGAAAGACGAGATAACTGCAACCGCACCGCTCATGATGTGGCAACAGATGACTGCAAACAGCTCTTGGAGAGCATCAGTGAGTTAATTTCACTTCTCATTCAGAAAGTCAATCCTGCAGGTTTGTAGTTAAGCAATGAGAGCTTAAATAGCTTGGTAAAATAGGACTGGCCTTCAAGAAAAGAATTGTCATGTTCCATATCGTTTATCTGTGATCTGTGATTGCTTGCAGCCTTAGGAGGAAAAAAAATGTTCTACCGGCTTTGTGAATCTGCGATGCCTGTAAGAATGTAATCACTACAAATGTCATCAGGCTTTCCTTATTTATCTCTCTAACATTTATAGTTTATAACAGTGCATGCATGTATATCTGTCTCACAAAATGGCAATTTATTCAGCAGCATTGGTTGAACCTGAAATTGCCACAGCTGGCTCATTGTAGTGTGAGCTGCAGTCCATATCAGATAGTAATGGAATGGCTCCTCTCCCTTTCAAAATAGTCGCTTATCTTATTCATTCTATCTGAATGTTAGAAATTTGGTGCCCTCCCCCCCCCCCTTCTCTCCCACCCCACCGTTGCATGATTGTGGAGGGGGCTAATAAATTGCACTACTGATGATTTGTTAGGTGTGTCTGTGATCATAAATGTAAGATTGAGAAAAATATCAGCTCACTAGTGATTATATTTCATGCGTCGTTGTACACCGCAAAGATACTGTTTATGTAAAAGGGCCACATATTTATTTTTTTATGGGATAGATGAAGCAAATCGCATGCTTCATTGCATGTTTTTTTGCGTCTCTGATCACAAAGTATCTGTTGCAAAAAATATTCCTCTTCCCTGACAAACCAATGAAAATGACCTATACCCACCTTCTTCACATCTGATCAATGGAAAGGTGGTAGGTGCATAAGAAAAATTAAAGGCTTACTCTCCATTGGCTGTCTGAAACCAAAATGCTTTGCGTGCTGGTAAAGATGTCAGTTTTGCACAACTCTTGTTCCGGTCTTGCTAATGACTCCTGATGTCACAGCTAGAGATCGAGTTAACCCGGCAACAGACAGGATAATCTCAGTGCGCGCAGTGTTTCATAGCAAAACGTTGCACATATAGACTACAGGCACCATGACCACTTCACATCACTGAACAGATCATGGTGCTTGCAGTAACTCTTAAGACCATAAAAGAACATCTGAAGTTACCTAAGTCCAGTGCTGTTCCCCAAAGCCTGTATCTTCTGCCGGTGGAAAAGGGACCTTAGTTTGTGATGCAGAAAAGAAACAGCCACACACATAAATTATCCAGCATGGTTAAAGATGAACGGTTCTAAAACGCCCTTGGACATTTAAATTCACCCAGTCACCATTCATCACTCCCTAAACTATACAGGGTCAGCTATGCGGATTGCTTAGTGTGTTTTACCGTCCAAGTGGGGTGCAGTAATAAAATATTAAAGTGTTATTGGGGGGCTTGTAATTTTTGCACAGTTATGTTTGGTGGTTTTTAAGTAAATGCTGTATTCACTTTCGGGAAAGTTATTAATTTAAAATATCACAATAAGGCTCTGTGTGTCCTGTTCCTGCATTTTGTTTTTAGTCATTATTTTACAGAATGCATGATCTGTAAGTAATAGGACTGCGCAGTCGGGAAATGAACATTATAGTCATTCTTGCATGCAAATAACAACTTAGAAAATTAGTCATCTTTTTGCAGAGGTTGAAAAGAAAATACATCTTTCACAGAGAAAAACAAAACAAAATTCAGTTCTCCTTCATGAATGTTACCTGGGGTTAAATTACTTTTTTTGACTATGTATAGGGGTTCTAAGCATTCATTTAAAAATCATTATAGTACCAGCAATGCAATGAGCGAGGAAAGAATGTATGATCCTGTTTACACACAGTATAAAAACAGCTTTTTATTTAATAGATTCGCTGCGGATCCCTGTGAGAATTTCGCTTGAGGAACATCTCCAGGTCTGCTATAGCACAATTGACTATGAAAGTCAAGAAATTTGCTCCATTCGCATCCATAGACAGACAACATGGGATGACTTCTCAAAGGCTGTGAGCCGAGCGGTAATGGAACATTTTGCGACTGTTATGTCGGACGGATGGGAGATTCGAGAAGACATAACATTGAATAACACTGGCGAATTCTGCATTGGGTTTGGCGCGCCTTGTGACCTGTCATTCAAATTAGGTATTCCAAATCTTCATATCTTGAGCTATTTGTAGTTATTCATTAATTCAGTAATAATCATTAGTTCAGAAATTGCGGAGAATAAACAAGGGCATATTTCTTTTATTTTCATACTTCTTCAAAACGATTTTTCAAGCTACCGGTAAGTTATTTTGGCTTAACAATCGTGGTTTCCTTGTTTATTCTATGCAATATCCAGGGACATGAAGACATTTCTAGTTTTCTATTTCTCAACTGCTTGCTTTTTATGTAGAGGGAATTAAAAAACTCTTTATGGACACTTAAAGGAACACTATAGTCACCCAGACCACGTCATCCCAATTATTATTATTATTGCTGGTATTTATATAGCGTCAACTAATTCCGCAGCGCTTTACAATATTATGAAAGGGGAAGAAATTTACAATACATGAGACAATTACACAGTGACCCAGGAACAATAGGTTTATGGGGATCCTGCTCAAACAAGCTTACAGTCTAGATGAGGTGGGGTACAAATACACAACAGGGCAGCAAAGGTGACAGCCACCAAACAAGGTGGAAAAGTAGCAGAACTGGAGGAGAGAGTGGAGTATGGCTCATTAGGAGAGCAAGAGACAGACTTGGGTAAGTATAGATAAGTTACTCTGGGAGTCCATAAGCATTTCTGAATAGATGTGTTTTGAGGGACTTCTTAAACAATTAAATACTAGGGGAGAGTCTGATGGGGGTAGGCAGGCTGTTCCAAAGAAGGGAGCTGTCCGGGAGAAGTCCTGCAAGCGCGAGTTCGCATTAGGGGTGTGAGCAGCGGATAGGAGAAGGTCACCGGCAGAGCGGAGAGAGACCGAGAAGGGGATATCTATGAATCAGGAAAGAAATGTAAGAGGGGCTAGATTTGGTTAGAGCTTTATAGGTAAGGGTTAGTATTTTGAATTGACACCTATAGGATACAGGGAGCCAGTGTAAGGATCGACAGAGGGACGAGGTATGGGAGGAACGACGGGTGCGAAAGATCAGCCTGTCGGCAGCATTCATTACCAATTGTAGCGGAGCAGTTGGGCTTTTGGGGAGACCAACTAAGAGAGAATTACAGTAATCCATGCGAGAGATTACCAGAGCATGAACAAGCTCCTTGGCAGCATATTGCGGTTTGGGTGTAGTGGGGCTGTCCTTTTGAAATAGCAATGTTTACATTGCCAGGTTACATCCACCCCTAGTGGCTGTGAGTATAAAGATGCTTCTGTGCACTGGCCAATTAATACTGAGTCACATGCCACAGAAGCCCATAGGAAAGCATGCAAATTAGGTCCCCAGTGTTCCAATATAAGGAGCATTGGATTGGACCATTTCGGAGAAGGCCATGCCCTCACCTTGATGTCTAAGGAAGGGGAGATGTGAGCAGCGCCAAGGGAGTCTGGGCACTGGAAAAGGGTAAATAAAACTTAAAATTTTATGGCAAATGCGGGTGGAAAGGACCGATATCTAATTAGGAACTAGGACACTATAGCGTTAGAAATACAGTTTTCTATTACTAACTCTCTAGTGTTCCATTAACAATGATAACCAGATAGTCACATTCCACCTTGATCTTGACGTAAGTGGGTAGTTCAGCATTATATACAAGCGTTCAAGATTAAAAAAAAGGTTTCAAAATCTGTGATCTGTAGTAATCCCACACAGGTGACCTTTCAGTAGGAAATGCCAGCACGATGCGAGATGTTCCAATAACACAGCCATTGTTCTGTCCATTTAATGAAGACACAAAGTGGGATTGTCAGTAAATGATTTTCCACACTGTCAAGGTTGTTTAAATCTGCGCTATGTTGGAGACTTTTGAGAGTGACATCATAGAATTTTTTTTAAAGCAATACAGTCACATCTCATGTTTTTTTCTAACCGGCTCAGTTATCCTATATTTATTTATTTATTTTTTTAAATATTTTTTTGTGATATCTGAAATCATAATGAAATGTCGAAATCCACTCCTGTGTCCCAAAACAGGATGAATTCCATTTGGGCTTCCTGTTGATCATTGTTATAACGCCTACCCTTTGCACCTTCAGCTAGCAAAGACAGGAGAGGAGAAACATTTACAGAGTTATTTACTAATGTGAGAATTCAAAGTGAATTGCAAATTTCAGGCTATAGCAGTTGAATAGAAAACATAGCTGACTTAGAGAATTTTTCTAATTCGGCTACTCTGACCTTGAATTCTCACTTTGGTGAATAGCTTTGTAACAGTGATTCTATTTGCCTTCCTCCCGTGCATTCTGTTCCTTGGCTGCAATATCCGTTACTGAATCTCTAATATGCCCGTACATGTTAAAGACAATAGAGCATCAAATGGGAAAAAAAACATTAAAATAAGTTATTGGTGCTTTTCCATGGTGTACATAGTTACATAAGCTGAAAAGAGACATGTGTCCAATCAAATTCAGCCTTCCTCACATTTGGTTTTTGCTGTTGATCCAAAAGAAGTCAAAAACCCCAGTTTGAAGCACTTCCAATTTTGCAACAAACTAGGGTTATAAAATTTCCTCTTGACCCCAGAATGGCAGTCAGATTTATCCTTTGATCAAGCAGTTATTACCCTACATTGAAAGATTATATCCTTGAATATTCTGTTTTTGCAAGTATGCATCTAGTTGCTGTTTAAACATCTGTACGGACTCTGATAAAACCACTTCTTCAGACAGAGAATTCCACATTCTTATTGTTCTTACTGTAAAAAAAACTTTAATTTGCTTTAGACTAAATCTCCTTTCTTCCAGTCTAAACTCATGACCTCGTATCCTATGTATAGTCCGGTTTGTGAATAGATTTTACGCAATGGTTTGTATTGGCCCCGGATATATTTGTATAATGTATTTGTACAATGCTAATGTTTTTCTAAACTAAAGAGGTTTAAATTTGTTAACCTTTCTTCGTAGCTAAAATGTTCCATTCATTTTGTAGCCTCCTCTCTGCACTCTTTCTAGTCCCATAATATCCTTCTTTAGAACAGGTGCCAAAAATTCCACAGCCTACTCAAGATGTGGTCTTATCAGAGATTTATATTCAGAAAAGCAGTGGTTCCCCATGAAACCACATATTTTATAATTTGAATATACGTACTATTTAGTTAGGCCATTTAAAATACTTTTCTATTTATTATTCTGTCTGTATCCTGACTGCGTGTTCCTTCATACTTAATAATAAAAAATGATTCCTTACTTCACACAGTGCATATTGATTGGCGACCTTCGCAGCGAAGTACCCTAGCAACAAAGATTTTTTTTTTTTAATGTTTATACGTCAATTGCTATTTAGGCCACAGAGGAGCCTTATTTCATTATATATTCTCTTTAAGATGTCTAACTTTCGCTATTCGAGAATATCCATCTAAGGTTCTCGATGTGCATCTCTCCCGTGAGCTATTAAAATCTGGGAATCTGATTAAATGTTATTTGCTTGATGTATTCTTTAGATTGGTAACCGTTCAGTTACTTTTGTGAGTAAAGTAATAATAATAATCGTATGCCCTCGCAAGCGCCGTACAGTGGAATTCTCCTGGGGTAAAAGGGCAAATGCCACAGTATGAAGCATTTAAAATGTGATTATTTTTTTTTAAAGCAATCGTAAATGCTTTATTTTTATAAAATATAATTTTACACTAAACATTAACATGACTATAACTAAAATGTAAACTAATGAATACAGGCTGATAAATCAGTAGGTGTAATCACGAAGGACAGAGTTAAAATGAAAAGGAAATGGAAAAAAATTTAAAGAAACATTAGAGGAAGACTGTATCACAATATGACGATCACAAATACATCTTTAAATATGTCAAGTGAGCTTTAATCTCTTGTCTAACATTTTTCCCTATCCACCTACCAACTATATCCCCTATCCACAGTTAATAAACATAGTCATTTTTAATTACCTATAATACAAAATATATTTTGTGTGCTATATATGGAATCTCATTAGCGCCACCGTGATCTAAAGAGGCTTTTGCACATATTGTAACCAAAATTAACATTTTTGATTTGCAATATATTGCCTAATTTCATAATATTTTTGTTGCAGGAAACAATAACCATTTTATATTTTCTGTGCATCCTCCTGCGGTTTATGTAGCCTGGACGATTAATTAATTCTTTGTATACTAGTGATAACTTGTTAAAACTTTATTCGTAGGAAATACATCCTGGTCCATTGGTCAGATTTTTCTTCAAGCACCATGGGAATTCGTGAAGATGAGCAAGGTGGAATATATCACCGTTTTAATTCCCGGTACGTTTAAATGTGATTGTGTAAATATAATTCCTTATTGTATTCTTTGGTTTTGCAAAGCTGGGATTTTTGCAATTACACCGATCTTCTGAATATTTAGTGCATCATTGTGTCCATATTTTATCGAGAATCTTTGATTTATATGTTTTAACGTATAAATTAAAGTCTGAACGCCCCAACTTTGCAGGTGTGATATTTCTAGACCTACGGACAGTTAGAGCTGTAGCTGCTGATTAAGATCTCGTTTGCCTCTGAGGGGAGTTGTTATCTGTGCGTCTGTTAGTCTGGTGTTTTAGAATGTAGCCCAACTACCTAGTTATGAGACGGGGTTAACTTTCCCATGAGAATACACAGATACTTTTTGAAAACTTCTAAACACAGATGAAATTCAGTATCCATGTAATATTTTGTATTTGCTTTAGGTAAATGTATAACCGGACTATAAGAGCATATAGTCCCTAAAATGTTCAAACCATTTGTAAATTTTATATTTCCATAGAGTATCATCAGATCTGTCCAACCTTGTAGGCAAAGAGAATGGTTTTCCAAGACCTCAATAAATTCTTATTTAAACCATCTGACCGTCGGTCTAATAGTTCAATATTTAATGGACGCTCTAGGTACTGTCCCATGGCAGTCCTTGGCCACCAATAGTCTAGTCCCCACTGGAGTAATGGCTAAGGCAGAAGTTATACACTTCCATCTAGCCACGCCAAGTCATCCCAGCAATGGCACATGATGTTGATGTTGTTGTGTGTGTTGATAAAGGCTCCACTGTGGGCCAAAAATGTGATACATTTTTTTTTTTTTTTTTTTTTGCTTTACTCAAAATATTGCTGTGCTGAATATAAAAAAGTTAGAAATACTGGTTTTAAAAATATCTTTGGTGTGAGGTGAAACGAGGGTGAGCGGGGGATCACAGTAGGACATCAATCAAACACAGCCAAGATCCCATATCCCTCTGTGTTAAGGTTGCTTTGACGTAGTAGCACAGGAAGATATTACCCCCAATATGTATTTACATTGAAATTCTAAGCGTGGGTTGTTCAGAATAATTAAGATTTATTAAACTATTCTAGCCTATCACATATTTCTCTGGGTGCAAAATGAGCAAAGACTGCACTTAGAAGGGATTAAAACATTTTGCTTCAGCAAAACGAATTTGGTTTGTCACACCTCCCATCAATTTAAAGCCCAATCTGCTATCAAAGTCTTTTCACGGAGCCGTGCCTTTGTGTCTCTAGTAAACCTTTTTATCGCTCGTCTAATCTTAATAATTCTTCTTCTTTTGCCATTTCAATTAAAGTCCTACTGACTGGCGTGTAGCCACCTGCTGTTTTCTCAAAGTTAGTTTACATTTACAGATCATTCTCTATTAAATACTGCATGGGCTCCCGGTTAAATGGCTCATTTTACGGTATAACAACAAACGATCAGTGGGGACTGGTGCCTTTAGTGTTTTAACGGACATGTGCTTTCAAGTATATATCCATTTCCTTTTACTATATGCACACTGTTATGAAAGATAAATCATTTACTCCAGTGAAAGGGAAGGTTAATTCTTATCAAGGATTTCAGCCTATGAGAGCAGAGCTATATACAGCTTTATCACGCATTAAGCATTGGATTCATTTTGAATGGAATACAGACATGTTTTTACTGAATGTAAAGCTCTTACCAGGTCACGGTCACGTAATAAATGTACTTTCTGCACGAGAATTCATTTTATTTCCGTCCACGAGCGTTGGGTGTTTTTGTTCTCATGCTGGTAGCTTTGCTTCCTATCTAAATGTATATTGTGCTGGCTGCTTTGCGATATGTGTGCTATTTCTGACATACATATATTTCACCCATCCAGGTCCAAAAGACGGCTGCCTTAATGGTGTGGCTTACGCATCTGTGATCCCCATCCATATATTGCAAAATTTCCTCCGGCTGGTATGTTAAGAATAAACGGCAATGTGGGCATCCTGCTGCGGTTGTGTGTTTCTGTACATATAATCAATGTGGATTTTGTATTGCTTTAGAGAGACTAGATTTTATCTATTCAGACACAAACTGAGCTTGTAGGGAAGCTCTCTGGAGAAAATAAAAAGCATTTTGCTTCCACGTTTTTGGGTTTATTTACTAAACAGTTAATTGTGGCCAATTGTAAACAAAACTGCAAATGTTAGCCAAAAAATGCAGTTTTTGTTATCTATTTTAGTTTTCTGACTTGATTATTTTTCCTTGACTTTTAAATTACATTTTATATTTGCATGTATTCACAGTTTAGTAAATAAGCCCTATCCAGGGCCGGCCCAAGACATTGTGCTGCCTGGGTCCAAGGATGAAATGCTGCCTCCCCCCGCCCAACCTATATGCATCTGCAATGGTAGTGTGCCTATGTGTCTATGTGTGTGCTGGGGCTGAATAGTGTGTCTTTGTGTGCTAGGGGTGTAGTGTGTGTCTGTGTGTGTGTGCTGGGGATGTAGTGTGTGTCTGTGTGTGTGTGCTGGGGATGTAGTGTGTGTCTGTGTGTGTGTGCTGGGGATGTAGTGTGTGTCTGTGTGTGCACTGCAGCAAATATACTTACCTATACACTGTGTCTGTATCTGTGTGTCTGTGTCTGCATGTATGGCAGTGTTTGTATCTGTGTGTCTGTATATGTCAGTGTCTGTATCTTTATATCTGCATGTGTATCAGTGTATCTGTGCAACTGTATGTGTACCAGTATGTGTATCAATCACTGACACAGATACACACTGACACGCATACAGATGTAGACACATTGATATGCATGCAGAAACAGATATACAGACTCACACACTGACACATGCAGATACAACCACTAACACATATGCAGAAACATACATACAGATACAGACATGCACACTGACAGATACACACTACACACACACACACACACACACATGCACTACACACACATACACAGATACACACTACACACTCTACACAGATGCACATACACACATGTACAAAGTACACACATACACACACATCTACACAGCCACAGATACGCACACTACACACAGATACACACACACACACACACACACACACTACACATCACACAGACACACACACAGATACACCCACACACTACACACAGGTACAAACACATACACACATACATTCACTACAGACACATATACACTACACATAGATACACACAAAATACACACATACACTGACACACACTACCCTCCGGTTTCCTACCAACTGCTGGCAGTGGTTGATGGGAGTTGGGGGCCTGCTCTCCCGATCCGGCCCCATCCTCGCTGACACTTCCTCCTAGCTCTTCTGCAGTTATGAAGGGGCCAGGTCGCACTGTTAAAGCGCTGCAGCACATGACCAGGCCCATCTTTGCACATGTCCATCAGGTGGTCCTAAGGGCATGGGACTGATGGACCCTTACACAGGTTCCCAACCCGTGCGGTGCAACTGAAACTCATGTTTTAGATGATGACAGAGGTGGCAGAGTGCCGTCTGGAACCATGGCTCCACAGCGTTCTATGGACGGGCTGGCCCTGGCCTTATCGTATGTGGTATTTAGTATCTGTTTGTGTCCATTTTGTTATTTAACAGACTGATTCATTCCATATAAAAAAATACATATTATGCTGTTATTTTTCAAATTTTTTAATTATGTTTATCAATTTAAAATAGAAAAAGTCTAGAAAATGTATCTTTAAAGGAACACTATAGTCACCTAAATTACTTTAGCTAAATAAAGCAGTTTTAGTGTATAGATCATTCCCCTGCAATTTCACTGCTTAATTCACTGTCATTTAGAAATTAAATCACTTTGTTTCTGTTTATGCAGCCCTCGCCACACCTCTCCTGGTTATGATTGACAGAGCCTGCATGAAAAAAAAAACTGGTTTCACTTTCAAACAGATTTAATTTACCTTAAATAATTGCAGGGTCTATTAAGCTATTAACATAGCACGGGATAAGAAAATCAGAACTTGCAATAAAGAAAGCCTAAATAGGGCTCTCTTTACAGGAAGTGTTTATGGAAGGCTGTGCAAGTCACATGCAGGGAGGTGTGGCTAGGGTTCATAAACAAAGGGTTTTAACTCCTAAATGGCATAGGATTGAGCAGTGAGGCTGCAGGGGCATGTTCTATACACAAAAACTGCTTCATTAAGCTAAAGTTGTTCAGATGACTATAGTGTCCCTTTAAGGAGACTGCAGAAGTAGAAGCCATGGGGAAAAGATCCCCTGTTATCAATCAGTTCACACTGCAGAGTTATTGCAGAATATATCTCTGCCAACAGTGCATTGTGTGCCTTGTCTGTGCCAGACCTGAACTAGTTTGTAATCTCAATTGATAAATCTTTAATATACATTAAAAAGAATACAGAGCTTCTCATGAAACAAAAGGGTTAACATTAGTTATCTGAGATTTTCAATGTTGTATTTTCCGGAGAAGTGAAATTGAATATGTGATTGCATAGTTAAGATGCGCTTTGAAAATAACAGAAGTTTTTTTGTTTTTTGTATTCCAATGACTTTGTACCAGATTTGAACTTTACATGAGTTCTTCAAGTCGATAGGAGTGAGCTGTTCTCTGCTTACTTTATAATTAGGCACTGTAACCATTCATTGATGTCAGAACTCAGTGGGACATAATACCAGCTGTGCCCTTTCTCCATGACAGTATAAATATGTGGCTAAAAATATTAGTTCTCTTAGTGTCTTTTATTCCTAGTACATAATGGCGGCTTTTTACTCTACAGACGTGATGTTCTTCTGTGCTTATAAAAATCACGCACTGCAGGTCCCAGAAAGCTTTCACAAAAGTTAAAAGCAATTTTTCTTTCAAACCAGCCAATTAAATGCAATGTATAGGCAGTCGGGTATACCTAATTAATAATACATTCATTCTAATAAAATCTGGTATTAGAACAGTAATACATTATAGCACACTATAAATAAATATTTCAGCGTGTAATAAAAGAATAAAACCAATAAACGCTTATCTAAATCACGGGGATTCAGGCACGCAACAGAGAGGTTGTATATAAATGGCTTTTATATGAATTGGCACTCTGAGACAAATTTAATCATGTACAAATGACGGGCTTCCCTGCTATGCATTGTATATCTGCAAAGACCCCGGCATTAATGAGAAAGCATTTAAGAATGAGAGCTTCTGGGATACAGTAATGGCAGCTTCCGGTCTACTTTATTATTGAGAAACCCATGGCCAATAACATAAGCAAGTTTCAGAACATACTGTATAAGAAATCACGTGATCTAACTACATTATTCATAAACTGGCTACTGTTTAATTTAGGTGTGTAGTTTTCCATAAATATTAATGATGACTAGTGATGTGCCGAACGGTTCGCCGAACGGTTCGCCGCGGACGGCGAACATATGCGGTAAACTTTGACCCTGTACCTCACAGTCAGCAGACACATTCCAGCCAATCAGCAGCAGACCCTCCCTCCCAGATCCTCCCACCTCTTGGACAGCATCCATTTTACATTCATTGTGAAGCTGCATTCTTAGTGAGCTGTCCAGGAGGTGGGAGGGTCTGGGAGGGAGGGTCTGCTGCTGATTACCTGGAATGTGTCTGCTGACTGTGAGGTAGAGGGTCAAAGTTTACCGCATATGTTCGCCGTCCTCGGCGAACCGTTCGGGACATCACTAATGATGACCTCTTTTTAATTTGTTTGAATCTGCATCAGAAATGAAGACAATCCGTTTAATAGACTTTTCAAATGATTTATCTAATTTAATTCGTTGATGGTCTAACCTACCTGGGCTCGCAGGTCTATGATCGACATATGAGGTCCTCTATTTCTTTTACCAATTGGATAGCACTGTGGTAGTTGAAGAGCTTTCCAGTCTAAAATAATAGAGATAATTTGAATTTTGAATTTGCATTGTATGCCAGGCTGTGCCAGGATAGCCTTATATTTGAAGGCAATCTGAAATAAATACTAATAATTATTTTTTTTAAACAAGTTAGAAGTGCAATTATTGCTAATATTTAAATGATCTTTTTAAACATGGAATGTAACCCACATAGATATATGGTTTATAATCAATGTTTAAATATGTAATTCTGTCTTGTGTAGGTGCTCCAGGAGATACTTGAAAACAAGAGCCAGGAAATGTATTCTTACTGACAAAACAATATCATTAATAAATATCATAGCGCAGTATTCAATTTACTGTAACGCATTACACGATACTGCTACCTAGTGTTCACATATAAAAACTGCAACTCACTGTATGTATATATTACAGCTACATTTAGGAATCTTGACGTGACCTTGACAAATACTAGACTTTATTGTAATTATTATTGGTATTTATATAGCACCAACATACAGTGAGGGAAAAAAAGGTTTTTGATCTCCTGCTGATTTTGAACGTTTGTCCACTGACCAAGAAATGATCAGTCTATAATTTTAATGGTAGGTGTATTTTAACAGTTAGAGAATAACAAAAAAAACAAATCCAGAAAACGCATATCAAAAAAGGTTATAAATTGATTTTTATCAATCAGCAAGATTTCTGGCTCCCAGGTGTCTTTTATACAGGTAACGATCTGAGATTAGGAGCACTCTCTTAAAGGGAGTGCTCCTAATCTCAGCTAGTTACCTGTATAAAAGACACCTGTCCACAGAAGTAATCAATCAGATTCCAATCTTTCCACCATGGCCAAGACCAAAGAGCTGTCCAAGGATGTCAGGGACAAGATTCCAGACCCAAACAATGATGGAATGGGCTACAAGACTATCGCCAAGTAGCTTGGTGAGAAAGTGACAACAGTTGGTGCGATTATTCGCAAATGGAAGAAACACAAAATAACTGTCAGTCTCCCTCGGTCTGGGGCTCCATGCAAGATCTCACCTCGTGGAGTTTCAATGATCACAAGAACAGTAAGGAATCAGCCCAGAACTACACGGGAGGTTCTTGTTCATGATCTCTACGCAGCTAGGACCATAGTCACCAAGAAAACAATTGGTAACACACTATGCCATGAAGGACTGAAATCCTGCAGCGCCCACAAGGTCCCCCTGCTCAAGAAAGCACATGTACAGGCCCATCTGAAGTTTGCCAATGAACATATGAGTGATTCAAAGGAGAACTGGTTGAAAGTGTTGTAGTCAGATGAGTCGAAAATCGAGCTCTTTGGCATCAACTCAACTCGCCATGTTTGGAGGAGGAGGAATGCTGCCTATGACCCCAAAAACACCATCTCCACCATTAAACATGGAGGTGGAAACATTATGCTTTGGGTGTGTATTTCTGCCAAGGGGACAGGGCAACTGCACCGCATCAAAGGGAGAATGTAAAGTGGCAATTACTGTCAAATCTTGGTGAGCACCTCCTTCCAGCATGACAATGACCCAAAACACACAGCAAGGCAAGAAAGGAGTGGCTCAAGAAGAAGTACATTAAGGTCCTGAAGTGGCCTAGCCAATCTCCAGACCTTAATCCCATAGAAAATCTGTGGAGGGAGCTGAAGGTTCGAGTTGCCAAATGTCAGCCTCGAAACCTTAATGACTTGGAGAGGATCTGCAAAGAGGAGTGGGACAAAATCCCTCCTGAGAGGTGTGCAAACCTGGTGGCCAACTAAAAGAAACTTTTGACCTTTGTGATTGCCAACAAGGGTTTTGCCACTAAGTACTAATTCGAAGGGGTCGAATACTTTTTTCCCTCACTGTATTCTGTAGCACTTTACAATAAGCTAATCCAAACACTAATAGGACTTATTAGTGTAGAAAGTATTTGCAAAAAAATACATTTCTTTGTTTTTTTTCAAGCTATACCTCCTAAAATATAACTTGGCTTTTAAACAGGTCGAACAATATCACAATGTGATTTTCCAAGGGCCAGAAGGAAGCTTCCAGGAATATATTGTACAACAGCTGGGGCACTATATGAAGGTAATCTGCAGTATGAAGAATTGGGCTCACCGGGGAATCTGCAGGCCTGAAGCTGTTTAATATGTTCCCTTTTTATTGTAACAGCAAAAGGAAGAGGCTGCAGGATTTTCATGTGATATCGTAAAGATCGAAGTGGAACCTGAGTTAACCAAAGAACAGCTCGTGGATGTGTTCATCAACTCGGGTAAGAAATTAATTTAAGAGTAAAAAATCGTGTGATGTGAACGTAACGGAATGCCTTTTTAAAAATCACTGTCTGTTAATTAAAGGATTACAGATTAATACCGGGGAACGCATCATACAATGGCATACAAACAAAACTTATACATCCACTTCAATTATTGCTTTGTGTACCAGTAGTAAAATTGATTTAAAAAACACTTTCTGAAGTGGATATGGTGCCAGGAGTGCCACAGTAAACTTTTTGTCCATTGACCTCGTGTCTGCCAGTTCACAGCCTCCTGTGAGGAGCTTCTGTTGGTTCCACAGACCTAAGCCTGGCTGTGCAGGGTTGACTTATTATCTGAACGTGTCAGCTGATCACTCTCAGCCAATGAGAAGTCTGAAGCAACCAGTAGCCAGCAGACTTGGGTAGTTTGTCAAACCATTCACAAATGGTTTGACTACTTACATATTAAAGTATCATGCTACTCTTGGCACCATAATCACTACAGTGGGCTGTAGTAGATATGGTGCTTGGAAAGTTCCTTTAAAATGTGTATGTAGTCAACCAATAAGAAGACAGATTCTGGAAAATGTACTGTACCCTATATTTAACATAGGTATGTTTGTGACGGCTGAATTAAATACATGTTGAATTCTACTTCATGTTTCCCGTCACCACTTTCATGTCGAATTTTGGCTCCCTGCTAATCCCTGCTCTAAGCGCTGCAGTTTGCACCTGTCAGTCAGTGTTCAATGTTTCTCTATGCCCTCCTCTAATACAATATGTGCCCTGACTGTGCCAGGACTGAACTGGATTGTCATGTCAATTGTTAATTCTTTAATATACGTTTAGAAGAAAATGGTGCATCAGAGGGATAAAAAAAGATAGGCGATTATGAATGGTTTATTGAATTGAAATCATTACGGTTTGAATTCCTTCAGTGACTTGTGACTTCTATTTCAGGTTCTTTGATTTCAGTTAGCGAACCACCTTCAAAGAAGAAAATCATTGTTATTCTGGAACATTTAGAAAAGTCCTCTGTTTCGGATTTACTGGGGGACTTAATGGCTCCTCTGGATAATCGAGGTACTGAAACTCCATACTGTGTTCAGAGAGGTAAGTTAGAGCGGTTTGTTCGAGTTCTTACACATAGCCACCAGTTAAACAAACCAATCTTACATAACTGCTGTTCAGTCAGATGTGATGTCCTTAGAATTCTTTTGTCTCTCCTTTGCTGATAGCCAATGGACAGTCGGATTCCTATTATTTTCACGAGAACTGCTTTTTCATGGGAACTGTTGCCAGAGCTCGTTTGCAAGGGTCGGAGTTGCCTGCTCAGCAGTACTTCCGCTGGGTCCAGCTGAGATGGGATGGAGAGCCAATGCAAAGCGTGCTCCCGAGGTTCTTGAAAAGGAAAGCTGTATTTAAGGTAGGATCTTCGCAGTTCAATTAACACAAACTTAAGAGATGTCTCACTAACAGTAAACCAGAACTAGAACATGTATTTAACATCTAGAAAAAAATGGATTATGCTACATTTATTGCCTGACTTAAAGGGACATTCAAGCACCAGAAATACTACAGCTTACTGGAGAGGTAATGGAGTAAAAAGCCAAGGGGAGCAGTCCCAGAAAAGTGGCTTAGCAAAAATGAGTCTTGTGACTCCCAAAGCCTGGCCATTCTCCTACTGACTCGGTAATGGGGAATAATATCAGAAAAGCTCTTGTCAGTTTGGAAGTGATGAAGAGATTAACAGCAACTTGGCAGAGATATATCCTGCTACACCATACACATATTTTCCTAGATAATGAGGATGGGCTGCAAAGGACCAGGTTTACGATTCCAGTAGATCGCACTTAATAGTATCCTTCTTACACTATACCCAATACAATAAGCTGGAGAACTTTAAGAGTATTATGTGTCCCTTTAAGACAGGGTGAATTGTCTAATTTTAACTTCTTTTTTTTTTTCCCCCAGCTTATTTCTTTTTAATTCATACCACTCTTTGTCAGCTTTTGGTCAAACTAGCATTTTGTCTTTTGATTTCTTTTTAATGTTTGTGTTCTCTATAAAAATTACGTAAAATAAAGAATATATTCAATGATAATTTCAGAGAATTTACCATTACATTGGAACTAGCAGGTACCCTTTAGATTTGTAAATTACTGCATAAACCAGCTGAGCTATAAAGGAGCGGAGTTGGAGATCGTTTTGGTGTCTATAGTGTCCTTTTAAATTTAATAAACTCAGTAAAATATGAAATTAGCTGAGCAAAATCTGCTCTGTAAACCAGAAAGAAATACCTAAAAGGCTGACTGAGCATCTTGGATAATATAGTTCATTAACATCCTAGATTGTATGATTACCATTCACTATTATCCCCTGATCTTAATCCCATGAAATCGTGTAAAAAAAAAAAAAATATATATATATATATATAATGCAAACTTCAGTTAGTGATAATGATGTGATGTGTATGTAGTGTGTTTAAAGTAAATGTCAGAATGTGATTTAAAGCTTCAGGACCTATCGTTAGTTAATAAAATGGTTATATAGACCTATAGCAGTTACTGATAACATTCCTTCCACAAATCATTCACATTCTCTTCCCAACATATTTAAATCCTATATCAATATTTATGATCGTATGTCAATCAATATATTTAATTTGTTTATTTCTAGTTTAAAGGTAAAATGCCGCCGCCGAGCGACCCGGTCTGTAAGGGCATAGACTGGGTTAATGCTGTGTGGTACCAGCTGAACTCCTGCTTGTCACGATTAGGGACCCCGGAAGCCCTGCTTGGTCCACAGCAATTCTTGTCATGTCCCGTGGTTCCAGGAAATGCACAGATAATAGTCAAGTAAGTAGAAATGGTAAAAATTGCACCTCCATTTCCATCAGCTGACTGATACATTTCTGCCTTGGCTATCCCCACTTTTATTTTGTGTCATTCTTCTTTTTACTTTGTTCTCTTGCCGTCCTACCTCCTCTTTCCTATAATTTGTATGTGTTAAAGTGGCATACTGATCAGGGAATCAGGGGGACTAACGGGCTGTAAGGTTAAAGGGTTACTCCAACCAACAGACAGTATTTTTATTCTTTTATTGAAAGACTAGATTTGGTTGTTGTGACTTTTTAACATTGGTAATAGACAAATTAGTTAGCTAATGAGCAGATTTTTAGATGATTCAGCTCATTGCACTTTACAAATGACCTCCAACATCCTACCAGCAAAGCTTTGAGCATCGGTAACAGATCTATTTGAAATCAAAGCTGAATCCTAGTACAACTAGTTTTGAATTCATTTTTGTTTCTGAGGTCCATAATTAACATGTTGTTCTATAAACTTTATATTTAAGGTGGATGTCCAAATTGTGGAATGCAGTCATTGTTCCCAAAGTCCAAGAAGCCATCCTTTTCATAGCTTCAGTCAAGAGGTCTTCTACTCTTGGTCATATCACAGCTACCAAAACCCCAAGTCAAGGTCAACAGGCAATCGTAAAGGCTGCTCTCAGCATCCTGCTTAATAAGGCTGTTTTACATGGCTGCCATCTCTCCACAAACGGTAACAATTGATAAGAAATTGCTAGGGATTTATTATGTGGAGTACATTCAAATTCTTGTGAATTGACTTTTGTAAATTCCAGCTCACGATATTCCACTACTAGACCCTTGCTAGTGTTAAATACAAAAGTTATGTCAGTATTTTTTTTTTTTGTGGTTTGTTTTTCATTTTTGTATGTTATTTTTTGATATTCTATTAAAGCGTTAGAACCTACAGGGTTGCTCACTGTGTGAATTGTATTGTAATCATCTAATTTGACTGGCACTTATTTGATCTCCTTACCTTCTAAGATGAGAGAAGAAGCGACCCCCACCAACTTTACTTATTTAATGGAACACTATAGGCACCCAGACCACTTCATCCCAATGTGGCCTGGGTGTCTTGTGCACCTTGTTTTAACCCTGCAGTCATTCTACATGAACGCAATGTGGTTTCTCAACTATTTCTATAATATGGTGTCAGACAAAACCGCCCTTTAAAAAATATATTATTAGAGCTAATACTGGTATATCAATAGTAAATGTGTATGTGGATACACCAGCATTATCTCTAAAAGCTTGCACTTAATATTTTTATTTTTATTTCCATGTAATTGTAATGGTTTTTTTTTGTTTTGTTTTTTATAAATACTGATTAGGTTAGTATTTTGTATTACTAACTGTATTTTTTTATATATTTTATTGTGGATTGGGTACTATTAATGTAAGAAGGGTAGCAGTTAATGCATTCGTTTTTTTTTCGGCCTCTATCTCTGTTTTAATGCTTATGGGTGAAATTTTACGCAGTGACCAAACCCAATCCAGTTTTTCGATGTCGTTAACAGATTTAGAACAGTACATTGCTGATTTTAAAGGAGGACATGCTCCTATGTCGATGAGTTCTACTTATAAACCCGGAGGAAAGAAAAAAGTGGAGAATGGTGCGTGGAGAAAAGTGAGCACAAGTCCTCGTAAAAAATCCAGCCATCTGACATCTTGGAGTAAGCCAGAGGAGAAGCAAGAAGGTAACATTTATAAGATGACGATCAACCTACATTATTTATGCCTGTCAACTATTCGCTTTAAGCAGCTATGAGGCTCTTGGGTTACCAATCTATGCAGAGGACACCTACTTACTGGGACGTTGCTGGTGGGATTGCTGCGTAGCAGATACCAGCTCTGCAGCTGTCCTGAATCCGAACTTGGCGGTGGCATTGCTGGGAGCTCTCTGTACAGATTGCTCACCCACCCTCTACTGATGCTGCGAGACAGGGTGTGATTCCACCCCATCCCTGACATCAGTACCGAGCTGGAGTGATCTGGGGAATCCGTGCAGAGAACCCAGCAGCAAACCAGTGGACTTCAGGGATGAAGGTCCACTCCAGGTCCCCCTTACAGGCAAGAAAAGGGAGGCTGGGTGGATCTAATGTGCAACAACAAGAAAAATTGTGTGTTTGCATGGATGTAAGAGTGTGTATATTAGTCTGTGAGTTTATGTATATTATTCTTTTCAAATAATTTTTATTAAAGTTTTATACATTTTTTAACAAATTATAGAAACATTATGTTAGGAATAGGGGAGGAAAGGGAAACTTGCAAGTGGGAACGGGTATCCATCCATTATAATAAGAAACACAATAATGTATATGACATAGATTGTGCAATGATACAGTTCAACACTAAATCAATTTTTTACAAATGATAGACTTTTTAAATTTCTTCTTCCCATCTATCCCAATCATATTTAATTTTGCGAAAGAATGTGTATTGCTCCTATGTGACAATTTGTGCGCTTTGTTATCTAGAAGTAAGTTCAGGACTTCTTTAAATGATGGTGTATTTTTTTACTTCCAATACCTTGGCAAGCATGAGGTAGCAGCAATCAGGATGTGGTCTTTTATTATTCTATCCGTTCTACTAACGGACTCAGGGAATTTTTTTAAATAATGCAATCTCTGAGGTTAAAACACTGATCGTTCTATCTACTTTAACAATTAAATAGTGAATCATTCTCCAATACCTTGCAATTTTGGAACAATACCACCATATATCCCAAACCCCCACATTCCCTCCAACACTGGTCAGAATACCTGTTATTCATATTATGCAATCTAGACGGAGGCAAGTACCAGGGATACAATTTTCTTTAAGTGATTTTCGAAATGGTCAGTACAAAAACAAATCCCTTTTAATGCTTTGAAAAAAACGAACCATTCCTCAAGCTCGTATTGTGTACCCAGCTCCGTCTCCCAGGATACCATATGTTTAAATTTAGCCATAGGTTTAGCATTGTGTAGTGAATCACACAAAGGTAATGTACCCTTTCTATTTGCATCATATAAAAATGTTTTTCTAGTGATTTATAATTTTTGTCGGTGTCCGGTATATTATATAATTATTTCAATTTTTCAATGATCAATATGCATTCTTCTTTACAATAATTCGTTAATCCAGGTTTAAGTTTACATTTTTTCAAATGAAAGGATGGCACTACCATACAAAAAACTTATCTACGTTTGTTATTGGGTATTTTTTTCAATAAATCTAGACTCAAAAAAGGTATTCGGTCTTTCAATGATGCAATCGGAATTGCTCTATACACTCTCACAGTGTGGCTATTATTTTTAAAAACAATGTCCCAGGCCTTGAGAGTGGTTTTTGTTGATAAAAATAGTTTAGCGACTCTAGGCCTTTTTTCAGGTCATAGCCAGGGTAATTCCGTAAGTTTAAACGGGAGAATTTTTGACTCTTCTATTTCCATCCATCTTGGCTTGTTAGATTGACTATTAAAACTCACGACCACTGCAGCATTAGTCGCAAAATAGTATTTGTATGTATATTATTCTGTGTGCATGTATAGATGTGTGTGTGTGTGTGTGTATGTATGTATGAATCTGTCTGTGTACATGAATCTGTGTATACGAAAGTGCATATGAATGAATCTGTGTATATATTAGTGTGTCTGAGTACATCTGTCCGTGTGTGTGTTAGTATGTGTGAATATGAGTGTAAATGTGTATATGGATGTCAGTACATGCTTATAAGTTCCTTAACAAAAGGGAGTTGGGGTGGTGCAAAGGGATGCACAACATTTTTTACAGTGGAGGGGGTGATTATAGATTTCCATCCCATATGGCATGTGTCTTTAATGTGCCTCTGCATCTACGAGACACTAACTCAAGTACAGTTACTCATGGTAACACTCCACTAAACTCAGAATTGTTAATCGAATGAGCAGTGATTTAAGTTGTAGAATTTATTAAAGGACCACTCTAGGCACCCAGACCACTTCAGCTTAATGAAGTGGTCTGGGTGCCAGGTCCAGCTAGGGTTAACCCTCTTTTTAATAAACATAGCAGTTTCAGAGAAACTGCTATGTTTATAAATAGGTTAATCCAGCCTCCAAAGCCTCTAGTGGCTCTCATTGACAGCCGCTAGAGGCGCTTGCGTGATTCTCACTGTGAAAATCACAGTGAGAGCACGCAAGCGTCCATAGGAAAGCATTATGAATGCTTTCCTATGAGACTAGCTGAATGCTCGCGCAGCTCTTGCCGTGCGTGCGCATTCAGCCGAAAGGGAGGAGAAGAGGAGGAGAGCTCCCCGCCCGGCGCTGGAAAAAAGGTAAGTTTTAACTCCTTCCTCTCCCCAGAGCCGAGCGGGTGGGGGCCCCCTCAGGCACTATAGTGCCAGGAAAACGAGTATGCTTTCCTGGCACTATAGTGGTCCTTTAAGCCAGACATTTTTTGCCTAAATTATGCGATTTGGATTTCAGTCTACTTCCAATTCATAATTATCACAAAGAAGTAACTCACATCAGAACCAGAGTTCATTCATTAAAGACCAATTTGTATTACGTTGAAATCCAAATTGCAAAACTGGAGTAATAATAGCTGGTTTGTAAAATCTTTCCAATGATCGCTTGTTATCTGTTGTATATCTTTCAGAGGGTAAATCAGGTTAGCTGGTATTTTATTGCACAACCAGGACAGGCAGACGTTTTGTTGTTCTAATGTTTTACTTCCTCATTATTTGTCTAAACTAGGAGAGGCTGTCGGCATTGGAAGGAATCCAGCACGCCACATCTCTGTAGGCCTTCCAGTATAACAATAACTAGATTGAAACCTATTTTATTCCTGGTAGCTGAATGGTACCATAACCTATTTTTTATAATACATTTCTTTTTAACACAGAGAGAGCGCTGAGCAATGTGAAGAAACAAGGAGATATTACGCCACAAAACAGAAAGTAAGGTTTTATTTTTTACATGTCTGTGTATCTTATCAAAAACAATGGCTGACTGTTATCTTTTCTTATAAGAAGAGAACTCTTTTGGACAGCAGACATGAACTGTATGAAAACAGTGTTCTTTTTCTTTTCTTTATAATCTTCTAGAAACATGCTTAAACTATTCAAAGGAACACGAGGCACCCAAACCACTTCAGCTCATAAAAGTGGTCTGGGTGCAAACTCCCATCTCCCTTAACCCTGCAGTGGTGTAAACTGCAATAATTACCTCTGAGTGTTAGCTCCTCCTTTAGAGGGACCTCCGTAAGTGAAACGGACTTTTGGTCATCTAAACAACGCTGGACATCCTCACGCCCTGCATGAGGACCTTCGGCGTCATATTTTCCCCATAGGAAAGCATTGAATAATAGGAGAACCTAATGCAAGTGCGGCCATTGCTGTGCATGCGCATTAGGTCTCCCCTGCCCGTGGATGTCGGGGGGGGGGGGTTGGGCATGGGTGGAGCTGAGCCAGCGGTGAGGGACATCAGCTCTGGAGCTAGGTAAGTGCTGAAGGGGTTATTAAACCCTTCAGCGCTGCTGGAGGGAGCCTTGACAGAGGGGAAATCTATAGTGCCAGGAAAACGAGTTTGTTTTTCTGGCGCTATAGTTTCCATTTAAAGTCACCAATGCCACTTCATCTCAGTGACGTGGACTGGGTGCAGTGGTCATTTAGTTTTAACCCATTGTAAAACACTGAAGTACTGACAGCAAGTAATATTCGGTGACATGACGAGGAAGCCCCCTTGGTACAATGCTTTCTTATAGGGAAACTTCGATGTGTGAGCAGCACTCACTGCGCATGCACATCAGGTCCACCATGCTAGTCTATGCATTGGACTGTACCATCATAGAGAAGACCATGCCTCCTTGATTACATCACGGGGTAGGAGAGGTAAGCTGCGCCGAGGGAGCCTTGGCACTCGGAATAGGTAATTATATCCTTTATTTTCTTAATTTTTAACACAAACGAGCTGACCTGCATTTTACTAGGGACAGGGAACTCTAAAGCATTAGAAGTATAGATTTGTATTTGTAATAATTTAGTGTTCCTTTCATTGGACATTCCAAGAACCACAACCAGTGCATCTTATTGTAGTAGTTATGGTGCTAGGATTTGTTTACTAAAAAAATAAATAATAAAACACTTTAATACTCACTGCTTTCATAATTCTTACCCTCATCTCCATCACCCAAGTCCCACCCTCTTCCTGAGTTCCAGTACATTCCCCAGTAGATACTATTAGTTTCTCCGCTGGCTGCTGACCAGCCGTGGAAGGGACGGTATAAGTGGGATGTGTTTACATACTGTTATTTGGTGTATTTAATTATGATTATTTTTTTTGTGTATCAGAAAGCAACCTGGGCAGAGGTGAGGTAAAACAGGTTAAATACTGAGGTGGACATTTTTCTGTTTTTCCTTTTAGGAGATCGTTTGGGAATGACCGTACCAGATCTCTAAACAGTGATCAGAGACTGTCTGTCGGCTCCGATGATGAAGTGGACCTTGTAAAGGAGTTACAGACTATGTGTTCCAGCAAGTCAGAACCAGATATTACCAAGGTAAAAAAATAATACGTAGGGTATTATTTACTTCCTGTATGAAAATGGAGGGGGTGGGGGGAGGAATTAAGAATAGTTTTTTTTCTAAAAGATTAACCTGTATTTTAGATTATGTTTTTTTGTTGTTTTTTTGCCAATCGATTTTTTTATTAAACATTTTCGTATTTTGGGGTACAGAATAGAAAAAGGGGGGAAGGGAATCATTTTACAAGCACTTGTATTCATTCGTTTTATATCCAGGTTCCCAAAAAGGGAGAGGGTTACAACATAACAGGGTTGTAGCAGTTACATGTATGGAAGCAATTTTTTTTTAGTTCTTTTTTTTGTACCATCAGAACATCATCTTTTCCCGGCAGTGTAATGCCGTCTTGGGTTTTGTGTGGGCCCCCTCTGTGTTCTGAGCTTTCCATTTCATTTGCTCGCCCTGCCGTAACTATTTACATAATTGGTACATTTCTGTCATTTTTCTCTCTCTCTCTTTATGCTTATGTGTGTGTGTGTCCCCGGGTTTTCCCTGTGCTGTGCCTCTTCCCGCTGCCATTTGACTCCTTGGTTCCCTAATTCTTTATATCTCGTGCGTCTCTAAAACCTCTTCCCATCTCTCTCTGGCTTTTAATGTGTATGTGGATGTTCCGAATTGGACATTCAACTTTGTTTCGTACATTAGGTTAGTAGAGATTTGAGTCAGTAATTCATTTTTTGCGGGTCTAGTGGTTTGCTTCCAGGCCCTTGCGATCAGTGTGTTTGCGGCTATTAGAATATGAGTATTAGTATCACTTGTGGCCTGTTGTACAACTCTAGTTTCATGAACAGCAACCCACATTCAGGTTGTAAGGGCGTATCCGTATTTAGTGCATTCTTAATGATTTCTTCTACCTCTTTCCAGTATGGTTTTATCTGGCTGCATGTCCACCATATGTTGTACATGGTCCCCTCCTCAATCCTGCATCTCCAGCATATTTTAGATGTTTGTGGATATATGTTTGCCAGTCTAGCCGGCACCATGTACCACCTATACTGTAGTTTCCTCATAGGTTCCAGGTGTGATGCGCATCTAGATCTCCCTTTGTGGGCGGTGAAGGCTTTTTGCCATTGACTGTCAGTGAAGTGTTTGTGTTAGTCCTTTTGCCAGTGCTCCTTGAATTTTTCCGCTGGTGTTATTTTGGGGTTATCGTTTAGCATTGTGCAAAGTATGGAGAGTGTCTTTTTTGGAATGTTTCCTGTGTCGCATATTTTGTATATTTGTTCCAGGGGCTTTGGTGTGGTTGTGCTAGTTTCGTTCTCCAGAAGTGATTTTATTTGGAGGTACGTAAACAAAGTGCTATTAGGTAGTTGATATTTTTGTTTCAATGTGGGGTATAGTTCTAGTTTGCCCTCATGATATAAGTGTTTGATTTGTGTGCATCCTTGCTGAGTTCATGTGCGGTGGTCTAAAGAGGGGTTTACAATGTGTAGGATTTGTAATGGGGTTGACATTGCCCAGCTCTTGCTCTGACCGAAGAGTTGTGTCGTTGAATCCCATGTGTCTAAGAGTAGGGAGGTGGTTGTGAGCAATTCTTTGTATTTGGGCCTCAGTTTATGAGGCACCCAGAACATGTATTTTATACCCCCAGGGTATATCTCTGCAGCCTCCATCTCTGCCCATTGAGGCCTGTTTCCTCCTGCGTGCAGAAGGAGACTTGTGGACATAAGGGCGGCCCTGTAGTAGAGGCGTACGTCTGGTAGTCCCAGGCCCCCTTGGTTTATGGGTTTGCTCAGAATCGCGGAGGCCACCCTTATTTTTTTGTGTGCCCATACGAATGATGTGAATAGGCGTTGCAACCTGTTCAGGTAAGTGTGTGGGAGGAAAATCTGCAGTGTTCTTATTAGATACTGGAATTTAGGTAGTACTACCATTTTTAGGGCCATCAGTTTACCCACCCATGACAAGTATTTGTGTTCCCATCCTTTCATTGTTTCTTCAACCTCCTTCAGGAGCTTGACATAGTTTAGCTCAAGTAATTGATTAGGTTGTTTTGGTAATTTTAATCCTAAGAAAGTCGAATTGGAAATTTTCTTTCAATTTGTCTATCATGGCATGCGTCATCCCTATCCCCATGGCTTGTGTTTTGGTAACGTTCAGTTTATAATATGATTGTTCCCCATACTCCTTAATTTCGGCGAGGAGGTTTGGTACTGAAATATGTGGTTGTGTGATTGTCAACATGATGTCGTCTGCAAAAAGTCCTGCCTTGTATACCCTCTTACCCATCTGTATCCCGTGTATACTTGTATTGTCTCTAAATTGTGTGGCTAGTGGTTCCAGGGCTATGATGTACAGTAGTGGCGACAGGGGGCAGCCCTGCCTCGTTCCGTTGGAGACCCGAAACGGCTCCGATAGAAACCCCTAGTTTAATACTTGTGCCTCGGGTGAGCTGTATAGTGCTTCCACCACTGCTCCAAATTTGTCGGGTATTCCAAACTTTCCTAGGACCACCTTTTAAAAAAAACAATGTAGTCTATCAAAGGCTTTTTCAGTATCTAAGGACAGAAATAAGCCTCCTTTTTTTGTGTCTGTAGTTTGTATAGAAGGTTTATGGCTTTCCTTGTGTTGTCTGCCCCCTGCCTCCCCCTCACAAAGCCCACCTGGTCGGTGTGTATTACATGTGGTATAATTTGTCCCAGTCTTGTGGCATATAGTTTGGCAAATAATTTCGCATCTGTGTTTAGGAGCGAAATGGGCCTAAAATTTTGCGGCACTGTGGGGGGTTTGTTGTGTTTTGGCTGTGTAACGATGTGTGCTAACATCATCTCTTTTGGTAGAGATTTTGTGATTGTGGCATGATTGAACGCTGTTGTTAGGTAGGGTGCTAGTGTGTGGCTGAATGTCTTGTAATATAGGTTTGTTTGGCCCTCTGGCCCTGGTGATTTGCTCGTTGGCAGTGTGTGGATGACTTTAAGAATCTCCTGTATTTCTATTGGTTTGGTTAAGTCCATCTGTTGTTGTGGTGTGAGTTGTGGTAGCTTAAGTTTGTCTAAATAAGCCTTTATGCTTGTGTCCGTGGGTTGTGTCGTGCTTGGGTCCCCTTTTAGATTGTACAGGGTGTGGTAGTATTTTGCAAATTCTTTGCTTATTTCTCTGGGTGTGGTGCGTTTTTGGCCTTTGTTGTCTAGTAAATAGGCTATTTTTTGGTTGATCTGTTTCTGTTTCAGTTGATTAGCTAGGAGTTTACTCGCTTTGTTTCCCTGCATGTAGTGGGATATTTTAAGTTTTTCATGTTAGTTTGCGTTTGTTCCAGTGCTTGTTGGTGTATCAGCCTAAAAATGATCATGATGCAGTGGTTTTTTTTCTGCTCTCGGTTGTATTTGGTTACTCGTGTTTAAGTCATATAGTTCTTGTTGCCATGTTTTTAGTTTAGTCTGTGCCAGTTTCTTGATGTATGCTGCCTTTCTAATTAGCATGCCCCTGATTACTGTCTTGTGTGCCTGCCATATAGTAATTGGTGACACCTCTCCGTTGTTGTTCAATGTGAAGTATAATTTGAGATCGGCTGTAAATTCTTCCGTGTAGTCTTTATTTTGGAATAATGTGTCATTTAGCTTCCAGGGGCTGCGGTGTTTAAAATCGTACATGTTTTTCATGTCAAGGAGCACTGGTGCATGGTCGGACCATGTTATTTGTTTTATTTCACAAGGGTGTACTTGGTTTAGGTGGGGTCCTGAAATGAGAAACCCATCTATCCGGCAGTAAGAGTTATGGACATTAGAGAAATGAGTAAATGTTTTGTCCCCCAGGTGTGTGATTCTCCATGCATCATAGAAATGGTACTCATTCATGAGTTTCTGCAGGGCTTTGCATTGTCTTTTCAGTGGGCGCTGTCTACGTCTGTGTTGCGGTAGTGTGGTATCTAATTTGGGGTCCAAAATGTGATTGAAATCCCCGCAGATTATTGTGAGTCCCTGTTGTATTTTGCTTGTTTTTTTGAGGATGCTCTGGAGGAAGTTGCGTTGGTTCGTATTGGGCGTATAGATGTTTACTATTGTGTAAATCATATCATTTATTTTGCCCTGCAATAGGACGTATCTGCCATTGGTATCAGCTTCATGGTGTTGTGGCTCAAATTTCATGTGTTTGCTTAAGAGGATAGAGGCGCCTCTGGATTTAGCTGGTGATGTGGCATGATATTGGTGCGGGAATTGTATTGGTTGGATATTGGGGTGGTCATTATGTCTGAAGTGTGTCTCTTGGAGACATACGATATCAGCGTTAAAGGACTTGAGCTCTCTGTTTAGCATATGTCTTTTTGCGGGGGTATTCAATCCCCGTACGTAGTATGTGCATATTCTCACGATGGTTTCTTGTGGTTTGGCTGACTGTAGTGTATCATGCTGTTTGTTTTGTCTGGGGGCAGCACTCCTCCCAGCTTTGTCAAGCCGAGTGCTGGCTCCCCTTTGGTGCTCAGGGTGTGGGTGTCCCGTAGAGACTGTAGGATAGACTTGTGTACAATATAGTTTATAGGCTTTTGTGTTGTATGTGAGAAATGTGTCAATGTGGGGTCATTCGTATTTCCCCCCACCGTTTGTTCATCAAGGATACCGTAAACATAACATATAAACATAAAGTTAAACATCAACATAACAACAAAAGTATATACATTCAGTAATACTGCTTGAGGTATGGCTGGGCACTGCGTTGTCGTGCCTTGGGGTTGAAGCTAGGCTTCTCGACCTGGTGTCTCCCCGCTACTATAGCTTCTCCTAGCCTTTTAACTTGGTATCGCCCTATATGGTTCTATTTGTTGTCGTCACAATCTTTTCCTTAAAGTAGTTGTGGTTTGTCTAGCGTTAGGGTGTTTCTAATGATCATCTTGCCAGTAGGATTGTGTTGTCTGTGTGCGGGCAGTATAGTGGCTGTGTAACCTTGTCCCCGACCCTCTAAGTAACCAGCCTTTGTTTTTAGTCTATATGTGAGGATCCAACCTCTCTCTCTTCCTTAAGCCTCCCTCCTCAGTTTCCCCTGGTGGTTTGCCTGAAAAATGCACATTTTCTATAGATGCCCTGTTTAGTAGTATTATATTTCATTTACATTACCCGTCCCTGGTTTCAATCTGGCTTAGTCTCTGTCTAAGGGGTTCACCCCTAGTTTGTGGATGTTGTCGTGACAGTTCATTCATTTTTTCTTTGATTTTCTCCAGTCTGCTAGTGCCTGTCTCCGTGGTAGCCTGGTCAGGTACATTAATGTCCCATGTTTTAAGGATTTTTCGTCCTTCTTCTGGCGTCTGTATAGCCGTGGTTTTCCCTCTTCTGTTGACCAGGATTTTTGTTGGATATCCCCAGCAGTATGGAAGGTGGTGTTCCCTTAGACTCTGAGTTATGTCTCTGAAGTCTCTGCGGTGTTTCAATGTGAAAGCTGAGATGTCAGCGTATATTGCGATTTGTTTAGTTTTTTGTAAAACTCTGGTAAGCTTTTGCTCATCTGTTTGCGTTTAGGACAGCATCTTTGGCGTGGTAATAATGCATATGAAGCAGGACATCCCGTGGTGTTTCTAGAGGTAAAAAGCTTTGTTTTGCTGTGCGGTGTATTCTGTCGATCAATAACATCTTCTGGGGCCATTCCGGCAGTAAGTGTTTCAGAAGGCCTGTTACATGGGCCATGAGGTCTGGTGCGCTCACCGTTTCTTCTATGCCCATTATGCGGAGATTGTTTCTGCGGGCACGGTCTTCCATGTCCGCAAGTTTCACGTCCTGTGTGTCCAATCTGGACACACAGGAGTGTTATGAGCTGTGTCATATTTCGCCATCTTGTCCTCCACTCGTGAGGTTCTCGTCCCCAGCTCCTGTAAGTCTTTCCTATGGTCTTTCATTGCGGAATCTAGCTTTTGCAATATTTTAGTGGACATTTCGTCCAGCAGTATTTTTAGGGTATTGTGCGTTAGCACTGGTTCTGTTTCCGCCGACTGTTCCCTGTGGTCCGCGTTTTCGTCGGCGCCATCTTGGGCCTGCTCTTGCGGTTGCTGGATTTTTGCTTGTCCGGCTATGGAGACAAATAAATTGTTTTTTTCAGACTTTTCCATGGCTCTCTTCCCTTTAGGCTGCGACATTATTTAAGTTTTAGTGTTATATTTGGGATTAATTGCTCTTTGAAGCCGTTTTTGGCGTGGAGCTGCTAACACATGCGACCGCTCCTGTTCACAGCAAGGCCACGCCCCAGATTATGATTTTTTTTTTAATGTTTTGTTCCAGTGTGTTTTTACAGTTCCATGTGAGTAGAACTGGGAACTAGAACATTGGTTATCTCTTATATACAACTACCTTTATGTTTGTTTTTGTCACTGCGTATTTGTTTGTGTTTCTCTTTGTGTCAAACTGAACAGATAATAGAACACACATTGTTGTTCTATTTTAGTAACGTTAAGTGCAGGTATAGGTGTATATGAATCTTTAAATGATATACTTCAGTATTTGTGGAGAGCCTGCAAGGAAGTTCTGTAACGTGAGTCTAATGCACCTTTTTATTTACTTTACATAGGGAGGAATATTTGACTAAATGTTACAAGTGGCTGGGAAAAATTCAGAATTATGTAGCTGTATATATTGTACGCTTGTGACATTTTTACTTTTAAACAAACACAGACCAAGTTGAAATACAACATTTAGAAAGTGAGTTCCTAGATTGGATACAAGGAAAATTTATCTTTTAGCTTTTTAAATTTAAAACTCATTTAAATGTAATTGGGGGAAAAAAAGGTAATGTAAACTTTTCTACAGATACTTTTATCAACGCTATTTTTGTATATCTTTTGATGTAAACGGCTGTCCTGTAATTTTACTTTCACAAGAAATAGTCTTCCTTAAAAAAGGTCCCAAAATTCTAAAAATGTTGCCATGTGGATCATACTGCTATTTATCGCAGTTTATTTTATGTTGATCCACGTTGATTTCTTTGCAGATTGCTGACTTGGATAGCTGTTTGGTTATATTTAAGAATCCTACAAATGACCAGATTTCAGCGATTGTTAACAAACCGTCTTCCCAGAAGCCAAATAAAGTAAGTGGGTTAAAGTGTGGCCTAGACTAGTTGTAGAAAGTAGGTTTTTTTTTCGGTTAACATTGAATGATAAATCCTAAATTTAAAAATGATGAGTTTTAGTCTGTTCTAGTCACTGCGTGGCTATTTTAGAGTAAAATTTTGGAATTCCATTTGTAATTCACTAGAATTCTTTGTTTAGCTAATATACCATATAAGTTTGTTTTATTTTTCTTTGAAAAGTATGTGCCTGCATAATTTTGTTTTTCAAAATTGTCAACCACTCTAAAATAGCCACGCAGTGACTAGAACCTTTCCTTTTCCTTTTTTTTTTTTTTACCAGGAAATTTTTATTTTATTTTTTTTAAAGGTAATATCAGATATCTGTTTTGTTGTTTTGTAGTGATATTATTCAGTGTACATTATTGAGAAGTACCGTATATACTCGAGTATAAGACGAGTTTTTCAGCACATTTTTTGTGCTGAAAACCCCCCACTCATCTTATACTCGAGTGAGTGTCTGTATTATGGCTCATTACAAGCCCGGCGGTACTGTTGGGGGCTGGCAGAGAGCTTTCCTGCAGCTCCTGTCAGCTCCCTTCTCTCTCCTCTGGTCCGGTCAGCTCCACTGCAAGTCTCGCAAGAGCCGCGGGGTCAGAGAATTGCCACGGGTTACTGTGGCAACACTCCGCGCGGCACTCAGACCGCAAGACTTACAGGGGAGCTGACAGAGGAGCTGACTGGACTGGAGGAGAGAGAAGGGAGCTGCAGGAAAGGTAAGTTACAGCTCTCTGCCAGCCCCCCTCCTACACAGCTAATGCCACTGGATCACCAGGGAATGAGAGCCCCCCTCCCTGGCCAGCTAACAAGCAGGAAGGGGGGACAAAAATAAATATAAATAAAGATTTAAAGAATAATAAAATAATAATATTAAACATTTTCATTAATATTTAAATAATAATAATTACAAAATTTTTATAAAAATGCCCACCCCCCACCAAGGCTCTGCATCACACACAAATACACTCTGCATCACACACACACACACTGCACTCATACACACACACTGCATTATATACACACACACACCGCATTCATACAAACACACTGCAGTATATACCCACACACACTGCATTCATTATATACACACACTGTAAATAAATATTCAATTAAAATAATTTTTGGGGATATAATTTTATTTAGAAATTTACCAGTAGCTGCTGCATTTCCCACCCTAATCTTTTACTCGAGTCAATACGTTTTCCCAGTTTTTTTGGGTAAAATTAGGGGTCTCGACTTATATTCGGGTCGACTTATACTCGAGTATATACGGTATATAGATTTGTCAATAAGAAAGGTATCTATAAAGGTTCCCCTCCGATTATTAACATAATACATAATGTGTCTCTAATACTGAATAACTGAAGGGGCACTGTAAAGAAATTTAAATGGTAAACCTAATCATTTGTAATTTCATATTTGTGATTGCACATCGCCCCTTTCTCTGGCCTCCCTGTGTTCTCTTATGGTTCCACAGTCACATAAGCTGAAAAGAGGCATGCGGCTATCAAGTCCAGTCTTTCTCACATCTGTTTTTGCTGTTGATCCAAAAGAAGGCAAAAAAAAAACAGTTTGAAGCACTTTCCAATTTTGCAACAAACTAGGACCCAGAATTGCAGTCAGATCTCTCCTTGGATCAAAAAACAAAGAAAATCTCCTATATAAAAATAAATGAATAAATATGTGATTGCAAGGGAGACTGTTGATTAATTATTTCCTTAAAAATAATAGTGCTAGGTGCCTCTTTGTCATCACTATGCTATTATTGAGCAACTTGTAAGATGTCTGAGACAGGAATGAATTTCAAGACTAGGACCTACCTCCCAACATTTTAAAAGGGACTCTTTTTAATATTAATGGTGTGAGTTGGGGTTTGGCCAGGGACGCGGCTGATCTGAAAAATTTTAGATTACTTACTAATAACAATTTATGTAACTAAACTGTAATTTAGAACGAGCAATGTTTCTTTTTTACACAGACTGGTTTTTAAACACATTTATTGTAGTTCAAAGACACGTTGCTGTATTATTGCTGTGGAACTCTGTTTTACACTCAGACGCACCAACAACATGGAGCTCCTAAAAAAGAGTGGCATTAGGATAGAAAATACAGACAAAATGATTTTGCCCCAAAATAAGGACTGTCCCTCCTAAATAGGAACACTTGGAAAGTATGGATGAGTTACACAAAGTTTAAACTTGCTTGAGTTTTAGAATGTGTGTGCCCACTAGGAATATTCTTTGTAGAATGGGCTGTATTCTCCCTCCTACTCTGCTTACCGTAAATGTTTTGTGATTTCACAGGATGGGGTCTGTCCTCCCCACAACATTGAAACGTCAGAAAGCGGCACCAGCAGACAGAAACAAAAACCCGAACCTGGTGTTTCTAAAGTGAAATCTTTACTCCCTGTACCTAGAACTCAAACCGTACGCTACAACCAGCAGAAAAAGCAGCATTAATACAAGGCAAAAGGCCATTCATAGTGACTCTACCGATGAGATTGGAGCTTGCACAATACTATAGCTCTCAACCAAGGTAACACACAAACCTAGTTTCATGTGTTACCTTAGACCAGGGTAGTGCAGTCTGCAGCCTCCACATAGAAGACTACAGCCAACTTCCTCACAGAAAATGGAGATCATGGTCCCACATCTGGATGCCCTCAGACTTGCCACTGCCCTTCACTGCAGATATTCCCGTGCATATTGCCCAATCGCAATGCATTGTGGGGGCATTCTTGCAGCCAAGGCATTAATATTTAGTGTACAGACAATAAATGTAAATAGTAAACCAGGGGTGTCCCCGCAATATAATATGTATATGGGGCCATAAATAAATTCTTTATATGTAAATATGTTTATAGACCGTTGTTGTACGTTGATTATAAGAAACCTTTCTTGGAAATGCTGTACTGTTGATTTACAAAACCCAGTATGGTGATTATTTTTAAATGCTGATAATTTGTTTTGCCAAAAGTGTGACAGATTGCATTCTGGGTATCTTCCACAGCCCGTGTAATGGATGGAATATTCCGTGACTAACATGTTTATGTTGTAGATTCTTTAACGTGTACAGTGTTGTTTCACATACAAATCTTACACGCACCTAGCAAAAGTATTTTTAATATTTTAGATTTCTGTGCACTCAAACGTTGTGGCAATAAAAAATAAAAATGCACCCATTAAGGTCACAATTAACGCACCTTTTACGCAAGCCATATACAATATGTTGACTGTTCCTTTGACATCCTGGAAGACGATTTTGCAGTAAATATTCTGTAAAATTTGTGTCTGTGCTCTACGCTCTACATAGCTTTTCATAGCTGCTTCCTAATCTCCATAGCAAATTCATTATAAATGCAATAAAAGCAGTAATTTATAGCATGATTCTAGGCACTGCTTGTAGATAAAGTCGTTTTTTGTTTTTTTTTCTACAAGGAATACAATCTTATAATATAACTGTACTTGGGTCCGGTACATTTTACAATTCTTCCTAATTCTTCCCCTTAAAACTTTTCCATAACCAGTGTTCAACATGGCTGTGTGAAGACTCACAATCTGATCTCAGTGTTAAAAAAAAATTAAAAAAAAAATTTAAATTGCCGTATTATCTGTTACATAGTATTGAAAAATAAAATGTAACATGTTTTATGTTGTTCAGAGATTACCTTTTAATATTTATTGAAATAAAACAAATGGCATGTTATATGCAGTTGCTAAGGGCTTGGTGTGTTTTTATGTCCCTTCCGTTTAGTAAAAAAATGTATAAAGGTAAATCTAGGTAAGTCAAGGTAAATGGTGGTCACACTAAGAGTTCAGGCTTATTCTATTCATGCAAAAAGAGATAGATACATAACGAACAGACACAAAAATAGAAAATAGCTGAGACATGTAATTACACATTTTCCTTAAAGGAACACTATACAAATTCTGGCCCTAGTCTTATTCAGGTCCCCCCACCGGTGCATTAAAATTAAAAAAGAAAATGTAGACTTACCTTTTGCCTCCATCAACGAAGCTCCTTCAGCAATGCTTACCTCTCCACCTCCAGTGATGTCACAGAGGAGGCATGGCCTCCTCTGCTGATGTCCAATCCAGTGTTCCTCATTGAGGAGCATTGGGCACCTAACGCGCATGCGTGGAGAGCACTGCACGCGCATCCAAACATCTCCATTGGAAAGAACTGAATCAAAGAATTACAATTGGGCTTCAGCACCACGTGGCTGGGTTTTTCATTTTGACAGCCACTAGAGTGATCTTAACCGAAATGTAAACATTACAGTTTCTAGAAAAATAAATAAATAAAAAGACTGTGACATTGCACTAGGACCACTTTATTGAGATGAAGTGATCTGGGTGACTATAGTGATCCTTTAAATTAAAAATAATATTAAAGTTAATGGTGGACCCTTCTTCCCTCACCTTAGAAACTGATGTAAAAGAAGTGCTAGTAAAATTAGATGATAGCCATTCCTGGCTCTATACATCAGCTAGATTATTCTTCATACCTTGTAGATACAATACAGATACAATCTGAAATTCATTTTGAATGCCTGCATTAAAAATTGATGTCTTAGTAAAGAGAGATCCCCACTCAAACACTCATTTATTGCTTGATTAAGGTGTGAATTGTTGAGAATTCAAAACAAACTCATTGTGAATTACAAATTTAAGGATAAAATTTGGGAAATTTAAAAGGTCTGAAAATAAAGACCACTGGATCTATCAGACAGCCACTAGAGGCGCTTCCTGCTGTTTCATTGAGTTTAACTGTAAAACCATGCCAGACATCCTCACGCTTTGCTTTCCTATGGGGAAGGCCTTAAGTTTGCACGGTAGTCGCTGCACATACAAATTAAGTTCCCCCTGGCAATGACGAGGAGGCAGAGACGGAGCTTGCACCAAGGGACCTCCGTGCTGGAAAAGGGTACGTGAGAAGTTGTTTTTTTTTTAACCCTTTTAACGATGCGCCGGGGAGGTGCGGAGGCAGAGGGACACTTTATTGTTAGGAATATAGCTTTGTATTCCTAACACTGTAGTGTTCCTTTAAATTCAGGGCCGGATTAAGGGCATCATGAGCCTGGAACTGAAGATTATGGTGGGCCTAATTATGAAATCTGAAATTGTTTTTGGTCTCTAATGCAGAATGCCAGTAACATTTTTCTTCCCTATCAATTGCCTATATTCAATATTTTTATATCCTTGTCACATGTTTAATGATTGATTTAGATCAGGTGTAGTCAACCCTTTAATACCTACCGCCAACTTTTGTATCTTTGTTAAAGGTAAAATTTCCTTACCGCCCACCAGTACCGCAGTTACTAATTTTATAGCGCAAGTGCAATTATTATTTTTATTTTATTTTTTCCTATTTTCTATTCTACTTTTCTTTTTTTTCTATGTGTGTCTGTGAGGTAATGTATGTGTGTGGGGGCAGTAAGTGTGTGTTAGGGGGACTGTGCGTGTGTGTGTGTGGGGGCCATTGTGTGTGCGTGAGGGGGAAGGGGGCCAGTCTGTGTTTGTGTGTGGGGGTAGGGCAGTCTGTGTGTGTTTTTTGAGGGGGATAGTGTGTGTTTGTGTGTGAAAGGTGAATAGAGTTTATGCTGTGTGTAGGTGCATGAGATGTGAAAATCTTAATGTTTCCCCTTCCCTCGTTCTTACCTTTTACCAGGGAGGGGGGCATAAAGCACTATTGATCCAGTGGTGGCATGTTCATTTTAGCAGCTGACTCTCCTGTCCTCCTGCAAGCACAGCACTGTATCGAAGCGTTGCCATGATAATGCGCGGCAACATTCCAACCAGCCTGCTCGTGGGAGAAACACAAAGCCTCCCAGGCCATTCCCTCCCTCTGCTGGAACGAAGTGCCAGTGGGTCGGTGAGGGAGATCTCCTCACCAGCCCGAGAGGGCTTACAGCAAGGCTGGCCCTGCATGAACCGGCAGGGGAGATCCTTTCAACGGCCATCGAGACACAGTGGGCATTTTTTGCAGAACCCACCTGAAATCCCAAACCGCCAAAGACATTTTAATTTAATGAAGGTGGCTTTAGAGGTGGCATTCTACATTTTCAGGACTTTTCTTATATACATATCATACATATGTGTGGTTGATCTTAAGTAACCTGAACAGATGTAAGTAAAGGTTGCAAACTCTTTTATTTGTGCTATAAAAGTAATAAAGGTTTTTACTTACCTTTTTCCAGCACCAAGGACCCCTGGACATTCGTTATCTCTTCACCTCCAGCAGCGTGTGTGTGTGTGTGAGTGAGAGAATGTGTATATGTGTGAGAATATATGTGTTTGTAAGATTGTGTCTGTGGCTGTCTGAGTGTGTTTCTCTAACTGTGTGTGAGCGCGTGTGTGTATTTGTATCTCTGCAGACTTGCATATGCATATATGCATGTGTGTCTGACAGTGAGAATCTGTGTGTGTGTGTGTGTGTGTGTGTGTGTGTGTCTAGCTGAGAGTTTCTGTATGTGTGTGAACATGTGTCACGTATTCATCGGCTTATAGAAATGTGGTTAATTACATTTACTGTCCACATAGGAAAAGTTGTGCCGAGCAGCAACCTAATCCACAGAAGGGTTAATGCTGAGCAGCAATTATGCAAATGAAACCTGGTAACTGACTTTGGGGTCAAAGGCCGGTCACAGCCTATCAGAACTATAGGAGGGGTATTTAGGCCCAGTTCTCAGCCTGCTCAGTGCCCTGTCGTGGTTTCCCTTGTGGTTGTCTGAGAGCGCATTCCTGTTTATAGTTTTCTACCTGTCTTTTGACTTTGGCTTTGTTTATTGACTTCTCTATATTCTGGTATCCTGACTCCTGGCTTTCCTCATCGCTGTGTCCCTTTCTGTGTTCCCTGACCTCGGCTAGTATTTTTGACTATTCTTTGTACGTTAAATCCGGCCATTCTAAGGACCGGTAATACGTTACTTATTTGTCATCCGTGCTGTACAGTTCTACGTGCTGGATCAAACAGTAATCCTGACATTACGACATGGCCATAGATCCTGTAGAACTGTGTCAGCACATAGCTGCTTGCGAGAGGAAATTAGAGGAGAATGATCACCGCATGGATCAATTCACTCAGGCTTTAAGTACGCTTCTCGCTAGAACGGAGCATTTGCAGCCTGCAGCGTCTCCTCCTATAGCACCTCTACCCTGTGTACCTCCACCCACTGTTAATAGGACTCCTAGCATCTCCTTATCACCATCACTACAGTTTGATGGCAATATCCAGGAATGCAGGGGTTTTCTTAATCAGGTGGAGTACCATTTTGAGGCCTCACCAGGGTCATTCCCCACGGACAGAGCAAGAATTGGTTATCTAATGAATCAATTAAAGGGCAAGGCCCTTGCCTGGGCTAATCCGTTGTGGGAGAGTAATCGGAGCATAGCTCATAATTACCAGGAATTCCTTGCCGAATTCAAGCTCACGTTTGAGCCATTGGGTAGAGAGGATGACGCCTCCACTGCCCTAATGCACATCAGACAAGGTAACCGGTCTATCTCGGATTATGCTATTGAATTCCGTACCTTAGCTTCCGAGGTAGACTGGACTAACAATGGGTTAATCTCAGCATTCAAAAAGGGTCTCTCAGAGACTATACTAGATGAGATAGCCGCTAAAGAATTACCTAAGAGTCTTAACGAATTTATTACGTTTGTCATGCATATTGATAATAGGTTAAGACTCAGAGAAGTCACCAGAAGCAAGACCAGACGTACGGCTATGTCCCTAGCACCTCAATTCTCTAAACCTGTTTTGTCTAACCTCCCTGTACAGTCCGAACCCGAACCTATGCAGTTGGGGGTCACTAGACTGTCAGAGGCCGAAAAACAGTATAGGAGAAGGGAGGGGTTATGCCTATATTGCGGTAGAAAGGGACATATGATAACTAATTGTCCAGTGCGTCCGGAAAACTTCCGCACCTAAGAACCTTAAGGGGACAGATCTTAGGTGTGATGGAGTTGTCCTCTAACAAAAACAAAAGTAGATTCCTCCTTGAGGTATCTATTTCCCTTGATAACAAGAAGTTTTCTTGCAGTGCCCTAATGGACTCAGGTGCTGCTGGAAATTTTATTGATGTCCAGTTTATTAGGGGTAATGAGATACCAGTCAGGGAGAGACCTACGCCGCTAGCTGTAGAGGCTATTGATGGTAGACCACTCACACAACCGCTTATAACCCACGAAACTGTCCCTATTATGATCTCCATTGGGGCCTCCCATAGGGAGGAGATGACGTTTCAGGTTATTACTTCTCCATCATGTCCTATCATATTAGGGTTTCCGTGGCTGAGTAAGCACAATCCCTATATTGACTGGGCTAATGGGGAGATATTAGAATGGGGTAAAGAGTGTATGGGGAGATGTATAAAACCAGTACTAAAGAGATTGGATACTATTGACTTTCCCACTACCACTCCCCAAACTCCTGGAGTTCCCATACAATACCGAGAACTTCAGGAATTGTTTAACAAGGCTCAATCCGATGTATTGCCTCCCCACAGAGCATATGACTGTGCCATTAACCTGTTTCCAGGCGCTATGCCACCTAAGGGGGCAGTTTATGCCTTATCTCCCCAGGAGAGTAAAATAATGGAGGAATACATCAAAGAATCCTTGAGCAAAGGGCACATAAGAAAGTCATCCTCACCAGCTGGTGCAGGATTCTTTTTTGTTGAGAAAAAGGGTGGTGAGTTACGCCCTTGCATAGACTA